CATAAATATTGTGAAGTGGCGTCGCAGTTGCCACAAATTGCACGGTGTGCACAGCAAAAAAATAATAAATAAAAAGGAGAAAAAGAGTCTGACTATAGTGGGGGCTGACTGCCCACAACCTGAGGCGTTGCAGTATAGAAAACATTTCTCAAAGTTTGCAGCTGCTGTTAAAATGCATTGGTCGCTGTTGTTGGCTCTGTTGTTTGGCCATGTCAATGGCCGCCTATCGAAAAGGACTTCAGCTGCCGATTGGCATCGGTATATACACATATTTATGAAAATATGTACATATGTATGTATGTGTGTGCATAGATAGTGCGTTCCATTACTCACTTGACAACCAGCTGAACCTGTTGGCGACTGTCACCGTCATCGTCACCCGAACGCCATGCGGTGGCATGTGGTTTCATTTTTGGTTGCAATACCGACAAGTTCATCAACTGTGTGGAGCCTGCATGATCATTTATTTACGCTGAACAAAAAGCATATTTGCAACGACACCTTCAGCAACTACAAAGGCCACTTCTTTAAGTGGGCGCATAAATTAAAGCGCGTCGCGATAAACGCCTGCATTGCGATGCAAAACAGAGCAGAAGAGAAGGAGAACAGGGGAGTAAGAAAAACAAAGCAAAGCAAAGCAAAGCAAAGCATAGCAGATTACTGAGCAGTAAAGTCAAGAAAAGCTGAACAGCATAGCAGCGAAGATTGAAGCAGGCATAAGGAGAAAAGCAATGCTAAGAGGTTTCTTTTATCAGAGGATGCATGCTGTGGTTGTTGTGCTGCTGCTGCTGTTGCTGTTGTTGCTTTTGTTGTTATTGCTGTTGTAGTGGTCTCTCGTTCATTGAACTTTGCCTGAGGGCAGCATATCAATTATTATTGTACAGCAAGGAAGTAAACGGCGACAGCGGCAAGTGCAGGCGAAGACAAGCGCCAAGCTGCAGGGGGGGTGCAGATAAGCAGCAGACACACATGCACACACACACACACACACACACACATACATGCATGAATTGCAGCCGAAAATGAATGAAATAAATAAAAAGGAGGAAAATAAGCATTGATAAAAGCACGCTTGATATGTATTTACCCGTATGTACATTTGTATGGTATGTACATACATACATACATATGTGGCAACAAGGCAGGAAACGTCACATGAATCATAAGGCCAACATTGGTAGCCCGCTGGCCTCAGCAACAGCAACAACAACAACAACAACCATGCCTTGCCACATGCGACTTGCAACATGTAAATGTAAATGCAACCCAAGGTGCATTGGTGGGTCGCAATGAAAGCGAAAATGGCAAATGAAATTATTCATGTTAATGGAACTGTAGATTTAAAGGTAAACGGCAAAGGCAGACATACAGATAGGCAGACAGACAGGCAGAGAGTCGATCGGTCAAGTCGGCCATAACTATGACTCAACTGCAGCAACGACAGCAGGGAGAACAAAAAAGCGTCTACAAATACGGGAAGATACTCGTACATATGTACATACATCCACACATTCATACTCGTATATGCTTAAAATAAGTCAAGCAAAGCCAAATTACGGGCGGGTGTAGGAAAACTAACAAAGGAATCGAACAAACGCAATAAAAACTCGAAAAACTGACAGAATGCAACGCCAAGGCACGAGGGTGAGGATGAGGGCGAGAGTGCGGCGCGATGGGGGAAGCAGACAACCAAGTTCCCTTAGTCTGTGGAAATCGTCGAGTAAAGTGCGTCGCGCTGTTTTATTTCAAGGACAATTGTCAGCTGCACTTGATAATATCCGACTGTAGGGTGTGTAGGTGTGTGCGTGTGAGGGTACATATGTAAGTCTATATATACTTGTATACATACGCACATACGGTGGAAAACGGCTAAAGGCAAACACTGAAAATATAGCAGCATAGAAAATAACAGGCGTGGTCCAGAGAGATCTGTATCATGACAATTAAAATCGTGCCAAATGTTTTCAACTGATGTGTTCAGCCGTTATAAATAAAATGCATATACGAGTATATCAACCATTTGCTATAAATATCTTGCTATAAATATCGAGCAGTCGTTTCGATTACAGAATTAGGATTGCACGAGGAATAATGCGTCGCCTGAAACAGTTATCTAGAAACCGTAAGGTACATCTCAGCCAGAAGATCTTTAAAAAAAAAAGACATAAATAAGCTTGCCATACATATAGTAATCCAAGCAAAGAAAAGTATCTTGTTAGACGACTTTATGAGCGCACATTTCGCGTCTTATTTAAAACTAGTGCAAATCCCTTTATCCTTTGGGTACAGGGTATACAAATTGTTCCCAAATGCGTAGTTTGAGCTTTTTCCTCAAGCTTAACTTCACATTCAAAACCGTTTTACATTTCAATTATAATTTATTATTTATTTTCCCAAGTTCCCGATTTGAATGATCAAATAAGAATAATCAATTTTCCTAGTTCCTAGTATGTAGTTTTCAGCTGGGCCGCACCGCAATTAAAAATTGAATTGCTTGACATTTGAATAAGAAACGTTTTTAGCTGAATGAAGCGTTAAATTAGGGCAGTTTAGAATGTAGATCTGAATGCTGGCTCCATAAATTATTCGATAGAAATGGAAAATTAAATAGAAGCATTGATTTTTTATTTTTTTTTTTATTTAACTTATAAAGCCGGTGAGTAATAATTATGCGTTAGTAGGGAATTAAAACTTTTTCATGCAATTGTGTGACTATTCAATATTCACCTTTCTATTATTGGAGCAGCTTTAAGATTACGGACTCAATTCGATTGCACACGTATGTATATATGTATATGGAATGTTCTGCTAAATATAACCAACACTAGTTCAACATTTCGAATTTTTTTTGCAAATTATCGGTAGAATGGGAAACACCTCAAAACAGATAGTGGTTGTAATTTCCTCTTCACGGATTGTTGAAATTATAGCAACAAATTATATTCCATGTCGTGAATGGAAATTTCTTTTGGGGTTTTTTTACTGTACACACATATAAAACTATTTATGTATTTATCTATGTGTAGTATGTGCGTCTTAAACTTATGTTGTCAAGAAGACAAGCAACAATGGGTTCAATAGCAGCGGCTACGGCAGCAACAACAACACACAAATTATTTGTGCCGACTCGCTCTTAAGGCTGTATGGAACCCAACTGAGTGAGGAGGGAATAGTGAGTGAGTGTACCTGATTTCCGGCGCACACAACGGAAGCATTCGATTGTCGCCTGCTGTCAGACCCAATCCATAAGCAAATGAGACAGAGCAGCGGCAACAACAACAATACAGCAGGCAAACAAAAAACAATACATCAGCCGTTGTCGCCTCACAAACGTGACTCACGTCCACTGGTCGTAGGATTTATGTATATGTACATACATATATATGTATACATATGTATATAGACATATATATATACATATATAATATGTGCATAATGTATGTATGTATGGTGTATTGCGCTGCTTTAGTCGCCGCTTAACGCCTGTCGCCTGGCATACTAATTGCAAAAATACTGGGCGGGCCAATGGCTAACAAATCCTTATTGAAAAATATTGATTTGCCGGCAAACAGCAGGCGGCATCACAAGGGTGTGTACGTGTATTTGCGGGGGTGGCATTGGGACCTGTACCTGCAGGCGGCGTGTGCAAAATGAAGCAAAAAACGAGGGAGCAGGGTGTAAAGGAAATGGAGAGGAAGGTGCAATCGTCTGGCAGTCATATAGTAAAGCACACGCCCTTGCGCATCAGTCGCAGAGTAAAAGGCGGGCAAACGCAGGCGGGGGCGTGGCTGCGGGTGCGGGTGCTGGTGCTGGTGCGGGTGGTCGTTCAGTTTAGTCAACAGATACACACGAAAATTGTGCGTTTCCAACAGGAACAAAGGAAAAGTGTATGCACTGAACAATGCACTGGTTAGAAGATGATAGAAAAAGAGGAGCGTTAACTTAAACCTAAACAAGAGCAAGTGCTGCAAAAAACAACTGATTGGCATTAAACAGTTAGAGGCGGTGGGGCAAGGTATGTGCATGTTATGTCTCTTTATATAGTTTGACTGATTGGAAAACAAGTCGTTTACAGTAAGGTCGTCATCTCGTCATCTTCAACATCTTGTTGATGGCAACAGCCGCCAGGAGAGCGTCAAAGTGCGCGACGCGCACCTTAACAGACAGACTCTATACAGAAAGAGCGAGAGAGTGGCGGCGAAGAGAGTAAAGCCAATGGCAGGCACGCCAGCCATTGAATGCCAATGTCAAGGCAATTAGCCAAAAGCCGGTTGGAAAAATCAACAGCGAAGAAGAAGAATCGCAACAACTACAACAACAATAAGAGCAACTGAGACGGTAGCACAAACTCTAAGCAATTGTAAAAGACAAGGAAAAAGAGGCTTGAAAATCGTAAAACAGGGCAAGCGCAAAATAAAATTGAAAAAATAAAGAAAAACAACAACAACAAGAAGGCAATGAAATGAAGACTGAGCCACGAACGTGTCTCACCAGTGGCAGGCAAGCCAGTCAACAACAGCAGCACACATGAGCGCGACTCCAAGCAACTGTGACGTTGCGACTGCTGCCGTGGATTTTATGACTTGCAAGAGGCACCCGCCACCGACTGACTACTCAAGAATAGTTGATGCGTTAGTTACACCTGGAAGTGGAGCAGCAGCAGCACCAGCCCCAGCACCAGTCGCAATTGATGTTGCAGCCTTTGCACGCAGACACAGGCTGTTGTTTGGTTTCTGTTGGTTGGGGCCTTGGGGAGCGGAGGCTGCATGTCTAATTTACAAAAGCTGTCTATACCCCAACAACTCACACGCACGAACGGCTTATTGACTGACTGACTGTCTCACTAAAAGGCAGTCAGACAGACGAACGGACAGACACGGCGAGAGAGAAAAGTTGGTGGAGAAAAACAAAAAAAAAATGTTATATACAATATTTTTTACAGGCAGGCACTTGATTTGTGCCATCTTTGGGCATGGCACGTTCAAAAGGAATTCACTTACTTTCTTTGTTTTTGCAGCTGCTGCACCCAATGGATTGTTGCAGTTGTGATGCTGTGGCCAACGTTGTTGCTGTTGCTTGTAGCCTTTTGCTCTTCTGGCTTTGTGTTTGTTGTCACTGATTTTGCCGTTGTTGTAGCTTTTTTCCTCAAATTTTTTGCTTTTCAAAATGTATAGCTTTTTGTCCTTTTTGCGTTGATGGGTCACGCGCACGTTCTATTATGTTTTATATGCTGTTGCTTGCCGCTTTTCTAATTGCAATCCGTTTTTTTATTTGCCGGTGTTTTATGTTTTTGCAACACTACGCCTATGCTATGCGTGTGTGTGTTTGTGTGTGTGCGCTGCCGCTACTGCTGTGTATGTCTGTGTTACACCCTTCACTTCCAATTCGAATTTTAATTTCGAATTTTCCAAGCGCCTTCTCCTATTGCAAAATATTCACTCACAATTTACAAAAAAAATAAAACAAAAAGTAACGTAAACGAATCACAGGCAGCAAATTTTATTTCCTTCTAAATTCTAGTTATTTTTCCAAGTATTTTATGTCAGCTTGCTTGTATGTGTGTGTGCGCGCGAAGATGTTTTTTGCCGTTATATTTTGTTGCTAGCGCCTTAGCATTAATTAGCTAGGCGAGCATGTATATGTGTGAGTGTAGTAGTATGGCAAAAGGATTTTTCACGTTTACAAATTGGATGAGAGACGCATGCGCACAATAACCAATAGGTTCCGAATTAAAAATAACAACCGTACACGACTCGTACTCGAACTCGAATGAAACTCACTTACGAATTGCCGGTCCAGAAGTAACCAAAACCAATGTCTGCGCAACAGCAGCTCACCACTGTTAACTCTATCTGTTAAGTTATCGATAGACGTAACAGCCGATGGCTCTGTTGAATGTACATACAATGCAATTTTTACATTTACGATTCGATAACGTTGAAAAGCTACAAATATAAATAGTAAATACAAGTTTTATTTAAGAGACTCCCAATCATTTACTTTCTACCTATTTTTGAAACATGCCGCTGTTCAAATCACCTGTAAATACTTCTTCAGCTACTTAGTGTTGAATACACAAAATACGCAGTTCACTAATGCTTATTTGAAAATCGATAGACACGGTATACTTTACAGTGCCGGTGAAAGTGCTGTTAAGAAAGGCAATTTGAAATTGTAACGGTAAATGTCCAAAGGAAATGCGCATAACTTGAGCGCATCGCAGATTTTTATTTAATTGCTATTTGGCTGCGGCCACCCAACGATGCGTCTTTGTCGCTGCATTTGTTTTAACGAAATTCTACTAGTTCCACCGGTAAAAGTCCATAGCAGAGCTGACGTGCAACAAACTGCTGCATCTGCATTAAAGAGTTTGGTACAACTGACTGCTCAGGGTCGGCTCTGCATGCTTGGCCACACCAACTGCGCTATGCTCTGTTTATTGTGGCATGCAGTTAACTGATGTGGCTGGAGATGCACTTAGCATTTTTGGTGTTATTTTTATTGCATTTTATTAAAATTTGCACGGTATATTTTCGGACCTCTGAGCGTAATGAGGGTGTAAAATTAGTTGTGGTGTTGTCTTGGCAGACTGAGGCTGATTTCACCACCACCACCTTCAGTAGTAGTTGCTGTTCGTCACTTCAAATCAACTAAATTCGAAACAAAGTATAAATATTTATAATGCTGCAATGCACAGCTACATATTTTACAGTTGTTAATCGCTGCCCATCTTTCTTATTGTGTATTTTGCTGCTTAGCTTTTGGATTTGATGTTTCTCTTTTTCATGCCTCTTTGATTTTGAGTAATTTTAAACAAGTTAATTAATGTTTACTTACCAGCACGCAAATGGCGCGCCAAACGAATTGAAAAAAGCCAACTGTTATGCTAAGTCGCACAACAGCACGCTGTTAGGTCAAACATATGTTTATCGGTTGGTGTTAATATCGACTTGTATCGCCTGTCACCAGACAAGTCTGTCACCGCAATGCATGCACGTACTGGAGTTGGCAGCCCAAACAGCTGACTTACAAGCACACAGCCCTCACACCAGCCGATTAGCAAGTTGTCAGCACCTATAGAACTAACAAACACACACACACAGCGCAAAACTCGCTCGCGATACAACAAATCAAAATTCTGCTGTGCATTGTGCTTTAATAAATAACAGTCATTAACTAATAATAAATTTAACAACTAGATCAATATTATACCATCGCACTCGAATAGTCTTATTTACTATAAGAAGTTACAAGTCAATTATCTCGCGGAGCAAAAGGCAAACTAAAAAAATTGGCGTTGGAACATTTTTTTTTTCGTAGCTAAACATGAATACGATTGATTGTAGTTAAGTGCGTAAGGAAGCTGGCGCGTGCATTATTTTATTACAAGTTGATGCAAAAGTGCACATTCAAATCACACTCCGGAAATCTGACAACCAAGCTAATAAACAGACAAATACAACAACAAAGCCAAGAGAAGTCAACGCTGGTTGCTAGTATTTGGTTTTGTCGTCCGTTTGTTTGTTAGTGTGCGTGCGTGCGCGTGTATGTGCGTGCATGTGTGGGGGTGTGAAGAGCGGCAGCGCGTGCTCGAAATCACCATTACCAACTGTTTCCGCGTTTGACAGCACCAGGGAAGAACAAAACTTGACAACAACAAAAACAAAAAAGTGTGTCTTCTCACGAGGCAGGGGTAGAGGCAGGTCCGAAACGTTGTGAACCTGAGCAGCAGACGCCAAGGACCAAGGACACACACACAATCGCACAGAAACCACACAACAAATTGAAACAGAACACAAATGGATGTGTTGGAATTACTACGTGCAAGCGCTCAGGGCTATTATAACACGATATTCTCCGATGCCTGGTGTCACTATGTGTCCAAGCATATCGAATCGACCGTAAGTACGCCTTACGTGCCCCAATATGCATTTCTTTGTTTGCAGCGTCGTGAATGCAGTATGTATGTATGTGTGTATGTACGTATGAGTCAGCAGGATGCAGCCCCTGGATTACAATTGGCGATCAACTTACGCGAGCGTAAAATCCAGTGGGTTTGTGTCTCGACTAATTGATAAGCTGCACGCTCTTGCGCTTTTGTTTTTGTTTTTTATGCTGATTAATGCTGTGATTGTTGTCGCTGATATCAGCTATATGGCTGTGGTTATTGTTGTTGTGGTTTTCGTTTTATTTCTCTTGTTTGCTATCGCACAAGCCCCCAACCAAGCATATGACTCTGTGCATAGATGTGAGTATGTGTATGTTGGTGTGTGCGTGTGTTTTGATACATGTTTGTATGTGTGGATGTTGTGTCTTTGGGGCGCATTTCCGTCAACACTGAGCGCGCCATCTCACATTGTGGCTGCGCTCACTGTCTAAATATATAATGGATATTAGACTGAAATCAGTCAACCAAAAAGTTGGTAAATATAATAAACAGTACAGACTTTTAATTTATGTTTGTACATAGTATGCATAAGTACATATGTACATATGTATGTGTATGCATTTGTTTTTTGCCTAAGCCACATTAAATGAGTTGCCAATAGTCAGCGTCTCAGTCGGCTTATCTATTCCCGAAACTGATAATGCCAATAAGATGGCCCTGAATGCGTATTAAATAACAAAACCTGAGACGTCAATCCATTGTCTTCACACATATTTATATGCATATGTATGTATTTACATGGATATATATATACATATACATATATGGGCAGTATCATGTTACTTTTGGGGTCTTGTTTTTGCTTGATTCATCATCGTTATCACTCTTAATCGTCATCGTCATGGGAAGCACGTGGGGCAGGCAGGTCAGAAAGCTTATGCTAAATCCGAGGGCATATGTGAGCAACCATTGTTGGGCCGATCGCGCCTTAAATCAGTTTGCCATAATTAAATTAACCTCTGGGGGCCAAATCAATTTAAGCTCTTTCTCTCATCATCTACTACATACATACAAACATACATACTTTATATTTATCATACATGCATATGTACATCGGTGCGCTAAATTGTTACACTTGTTACCAACCGAACGTCAATCGCACAGGTGCGTATTTTAATTTGTCTGGGAGCTCCAGCAGACGGCGCCATACAGCAACATACATACATACATATGTATTTATGTAGAAACGTTTTGCTACAATTAACTAGAACTGCATACGGCCTTTGTATGTGTGTATGTATGTATGTATGTGCGTCTGGTATGTAGTAGAGTACCCGTTCATGTGAAAGACCTCAAACAATTGGAGCCCATTGCGTGCACGTCAAATTTTCAATTGTACAAATTCCAACTGGAATATCATTGCTGTAAATTCAAACAACGATTTGTACTATCTTTGAGCAGTCGACGTCGGCGTCGACGTTTCGCTGCTTTTGTTAACGCCGCTGCTGCCGATTTTTATTCATATTTTACCGCACTTGAAACCTGTTATAAAAATAAACCAATAGAAATGGCAGGCAGGCAACAACAAACACAACAATAATAACAAAAACAACTATCACAAATGCAAATGCGGAAACTGCGCAATGCAATGCAATGCACTAGCAAGAACAACAAAAACAGCAACAACACTACAAATCGCAATAGCAACAACAGCAAGTGGCTGCAAACGTTGAAAACTTAAGCGCATGTAAATTTCAATGCCAGCCACTCACACGTGGCTAAATATGTACATATGTATGTATGTATATATGTATTTACATACGTATGTACATACATACATATGTATGTAAGTGTATCATGATGTGAAAGCAAATAATGAAATGGGATCATGGGATCGTCGGGATTGCCGATTGTCTCGATGGATATCGAACTTCGTCTGCATTCCCGAAATTTAAAAAAACAAAAACAAATGAAACCCTTATCTTAAGCTTTTCCAACACTGTTTATTCTTTATTGCTTTTTTTACATTTCCTAGATTCCTACAAACAAAAGAACTTGTATTGTTTGTCGAATCTAAATCGCATTTAATGCCACAATTGGTAATTGGAAACATTTTTTATATTTAAATAAAAAATGTAAATAACATAAAATATTTTGAGCCAATCATTTTATACCTACATACATATGTACATATATGTATGTATGTGGGCGATAATAGTCCAATACCAATTAGAGATAACTTTATTTTGATATCTACAGTCACAAAAAAACCCCATCTTCCCGTGAAATCTGTCGTGGTTGGACCTATTTACGCAAATAACTATCACATTTTTTTCGAATGGACTATATACATAAATACATACATACATATGTATGTATGTATAAAGATAAATAGGTCATTCCTTTCAGACAGACTAGCAGACTGTCCTGACGGTGGTTATTTGCTCAGAACTAAAGTTTCTTGTCATTCGCTTGAAGAACATAGCCAAGGGAATATACACAGTTTCCCGATTTGCTTTCTCCACAGTCTTTAGAAATAAGCATGTGAATGCCAATAGACACCGTCATATAAAATACATTGAAAAATAATAAATGTTTCCATATGTATACAATATGAAGAAGTTATCCCTCTTGATGATGATCTCCAATTTGTTGAATGTGCTCGCCAATTTTAAAGTGACTTTAGGATTTAATCGGTTCCATATCATTATTTATTGCTGCTGTTACTGATCAGTAGTTGCTCATTTAATGGCTTTTCTTTTTATTGCTTTATTCGCCCCTAGATGTATCTTTATTGCGCTCTGGGCGTGCTCACCGCGTTCTTTATCGCCTGGTTCTTGTACTTCAAACGCCTGGCGCGTCTGCGTTTGCGCGATGAGCTCACACGGTCGCTCAGTGCCGTCACCTCGTCGGGTGGCGATCTGCGAGGACTGCGTTTTCGGAAACGTGACAAAATGCTCTTCTATGGGCGACGGATGCTCCGGAAAATGAAGAACGTCTCCGGCCAGATGTATAGCAGTGGCAAGGGCTACAAGAGACGGGCTGTTATGCGCTTTGCCCGCCGCATTCTTCAGCTGCGTCGCGATAATATGCCGTTGGAGATGAAAACGGTCGAACCGCCTGCTGAATATCTCGAAGAAAGCCATGAGGGCAGTGAGCGTGTACCCCCAGATGCGTTGTACATGTTGCAAAGCATACGCATCTTTGGACACTTCGAGAAGCCTGTTTTCCTTAAGCTATGCAAGCACACGCAAGTGGTGGAGCTAATGGCGGGCGACTATCTGTTCAAGATCACCGATCCCGATGACAGCGTCTATATTGTGCAATCGGGCTTGATTAATGTGTACATTTCGAATGCGGATGGCAGCACATTGTCACTAAAGACGGTGCGCAAGGGCGAATCGGTGACATCTCTGCTCAGCTTTATAGACGTGCTGTCAGGCAATCCAAGTTACTACAGAACAGTCACGGCCAAGGCTATGGAAAAGTCTGTGGTCATACGGCTGCCAATGCAGGTAAGTGTCGAAAATAAATCTGAATAATGCAGTAAGAAATATCCATCGTGTGCGTGCAGGCCTTTGAGGAGGTTTTTGCAGATAATCCTGATGTGATGATTAGAGTGATTCAGGTGATCATGATACGTTTACAACGCGTACTCTTTACCGCACTTCGCAACTATCTGGGTCTCAATGCCGAGCTGGTGCAGAATCACATGCGCCAAAAGAATACCGGCATCACATTGCCCCCATCCCTGATATCACAACCATCGCGCCTTGTCGTGACGGGAGTGGGAGCAGGAGCAGGAGCATTAAGCACAGGCGTAGCATGCCCGCGGCCACCCGTCTCACCGTCCCGCCATTCGCGCGAGGAGCACACACTCTCCGATGTTGATCCCACTCCTAATTCGCTCTTCGCCGAAATCCACGGCGATGCCCCCAACATTGATTTGTACCATCAGCAGCATTACAGCGTCTCTGGTGGCAATTTGTCCACTCGTCGCTCCTCGCTGACACATCTAGGTCCCGAAACTGGGTCTGGGGCGTCCATCGACTTTCGTCTGGTTCAGTCCTCGGCCGTCGAGAGTTTGCTCAAGGAGCTGGGGCTCAGCGATGAGGACGCACCCGTCATTGAACCCTTTGTGGAGGTGCGCGAGTTGGAGCCAAATGTAACGCTCATCACCGAAGGTAATGCGGATGATGTTTGCATGTGGTTTGTTATGACCGGCACCCTTGCTGTCTATCAAACGAATGCTGATGGACCGCGCGCTAAGCAAGAGAAAACCGAGGTTCTCATACATTTTGTACATCCCGGCGAAATTGTTGGCGGCCTGGCCATGCTGACTGGGGAGGCTAGCGCCTATACGATCAAGTCGCGCAACAACAGTCGCATCGCCTTTATACGACGAGCTGCCATATACCAGTAAGTACACGCACATGTATATGTTCCATTTCAGTGATAACTTTGTCAAATCGTCTTCTTCAGAATTATGCGACAGCGTCCACGCATTGTCCTGCATTTGGGTAACGGCGTTGTGCGGCGCCTCTCCCCGCTGGTGCGTCAGTGTGACTATGCCCTGGACTGGATCTTTCTGGAGTCTGGTCGTGCTGTTTATCGCCAGGACGAGAGCAGTGACAGCACCTATATTGTGCTCAGCGGACGCATGCGTTCCGTGATCACACACACCAGCGGCAAAAAAGAAATTGTCGGCGAGTATGGCAAGGGTGATCTTGTGGGCCTTATTGAGATGATTACGGAAACATCGCGTACCACCACCGTCATGGCAGTGCGAGACTCTGAGCTCGCCAAACTGCCCGAGGGCCTGTTTAATGCCATCAAGCTGCGTTACCCCATTGTGGTTACGAAACTAATCAGCTTTCTAAGTCATCGTTTCCTGGGCTCGATGCAAACGCGCACTTCCAATCCACAGAGTGCGCCCGTCGAAGCCAATCCAGTAACCCACAAATACTCCACGGTCGCATTGGTACCGATTACGGACGAAGTGCCGTTGACGCCATTTACCTTCGAACTCTATCACTCACTTTGTGCCATAGGTAAGGCCCCGCTTAGCAACAATAACAATAATATTAAAAACAACGTAGTCAGCAGCGAGTCTCTCAAAACCAAGAAATATTTCTACAGACTACGAGTATAACTGAACAGACAGAAAGATGGAGTTCTATGCCTTTGCCGCATCACATTATTATTTTCTTAAATTAAATTTATTTAATTATCTATCAGAGAATAAATCATAGCCCAATCTTTCATTCCAACACACAATTCTCTGTTCCGTGTCCAAACAATCTCCCGTCGTTTTAGTCCGCATGCACTTTCTTAACTTTTTAAAAATACCTATTTATTATTTGTTTAATAATAAGTCGACAGATATAGGCTGTTGGTTAAAAGAATCTGTAATGATCGACCCATGGTTTTCGCTATGCATGGACCTTTTTTACCATGATTTCGTGTTATGAAAAAAAAAACGGAATAGCTAGGGAAAGGGGGATTAGAATTAATGAATTCATTTAAATTTAAAATATTTGAGTAATAGATAAGAACTAACATCGTCAAAAAGTGATTGAAACAGACCACTGAGATTTGAAGTCTACCATATTTTATTCTGGGTGTTAAGAACTAAAATACCAAGAACAAAATAACCTTTTCCCTTACACAGAAAGCAGAAATATCTACATAATTAAAAAAAGACTAGCCATAGCTCTTAGAAGGTTAAATAAAATGGAGGCCTTTTAAAAAAAATGAGGAAATAAAACGTTTTTTATTTCTGAACCCCGTCCACAAATGGGAAAAGGACCCCATTTATGCTTGTCATGATGAGGGAAATCTATATAGAGATAAGATCAGGTAATCACCAAATTACATCACTATATTCTGAACATTCATTATAAGCGGTAACTAGATAAGTTTATTTTTTCGATATTTTTCTTAAATGAATTTTTATTTATGGTGGTGCTTACAGTTGCGTCTATATCAGCTAATAATTGGTTACTTTTCTGTGATTTAGGTCCCACACTGCGACTCACCTCGGATGTGGTGCGAAAACAGCTGGGTGTTAATATATTTGAGGCGGCAAACGAGTACCGACTGACATCATGGCTGGCGCAGCAGGAAGATCGCAACATAATCACGCTCTATCAGTGTGACAATTCACTAAGTGCCTGGACGCAACGTTGCATGCGTCAGGCCGATGTTATTCTCATTGTTGGTCTGGGCGATCGCTCGCATGTGGTGGCAAAGTTTGAGCGAGAGATCGATCGTTTGGCCATGCGCACGCAGAAGGAATTGGTGCTGCTCTATCCGGAGACGACAAACGCGAAGCCGGCGAATACGTTGAGCTGGCTGAATGCCCGTCCCTGGGTAACCAAACACCATCATGTGCTGTGTGTGAAGCGCATTTTCACGCGCAAAAGTCAATATCGCATTGTGAGTAGACACGACTTCTCTAGTTTGTGTTGCTTAAAGCATTTTCAATTGATGCCATCTCTTTCGATGTCATGCAGAATGATCTCTACAGTCGTGTGCTGCTGTCCGAACCGAATATGCATTCCGATTTCTCACGCCTGGCGCGCTGGCTAACTGGCAACTCGATTGGTTTAGTGCTTGGTGGGGGCGGTGCACGCGGTGCTGCCCACATTGGCATGCTGAAGGCCATCCAGGAGGCTGGCATACCGGTTGATATGGTCGGAGGCGTCAGCATTGGCGCATTAATGGGCGCACTTTGGTGCTCGGAACGAAACATCACCACTGTTACGCAGAAGGCGCGCGAATGGTCGAAGGTTAGTGGTAAACGATGGAACATACAACCAGTGTCCTTAATGATGATCCTCTTTCCTCAATCTCATCTAGAAAATGACCAAGTGGTTTCTGCAACTGCTTGATCTCACCTATCCCATTACGTCTATGTTCTCGGGCCGCGAGTTCAATAAAACCATACATGACACATTCGGCGACGTGAGCATCGAGGATCTCTGGATACCCTACTTCACGCTCACAACCGACATTACCGCCAGCTGCCATCGCATTCACACAAATGGTGAGTGTGCCTGTGGCCTCAGCTCTTCGCTTAGCCGTTCACCTACTCTTCCTCTGCTTGGTCGATTTATTGTCCAGTTGCGTTCACAACGCCAAATAATTGATTTAAATACATATATAGATATGTTCATTGCAGTAATTAGAATCATTAGTTATTTTTATTTTATATACATATAGACATTCGTTATTTGGTGCTGTGTGATCTTAACTTAAGTTACGAGTTTGGTTTGGTTTTTGTTTGCGTTTGGGTTTCATTTAGTGTTAGAATTTGCTTACACCGCAACCCGCACAACACTTACACCTCATAAGCAGCTTCCGTCCCCTACTATAGGTGGCACTCAGTTCTTAACTCCTGCTCATTTTGATTTCGCTTATTCACTTATCATTTCCTCTATGCTATCTGTTCCGTTTATCATCCTAGTGTGTGCGCCCATTTACTTTGTATTTTGATATTTACGAGTATATGTATGTAGCTCTGCTTTTAAATTCCTTAAGCTAGTATCTTGCGACTCATGAGGCTGCTTGGTAACTAATTTGTCACATTCTTTGTACACACACACACACAACATACACACCTTGTCATAAACACAACAGTCACACACTGTGGAACTCTCAACCATCGATTCTATAAACTCAGGGTCCAATCTCTATTCAAAAGGAAAATACAAATATAATGAAATGTGGCCGGAGCTTTGTTGACTATCAGATCTCAAATTATTTCCAGCAACAATTTAGAATATACTTCAATTTAAAGAACACTCCTAATTATTTGAGACAGAACAAAATTTAAAGACTTTGCTTTTGAGAGTTTGTTTCAATTCTAAATTATGAACATTTTCAAAAGTAATCGGGATTTTTTTTTAACAAAATCTGCATCTTCATTGTGCATTGTCCTAGATACTTCAAATTATTTTCTTATTTCCTCAATGTTGAATGCTAAAAATTTATTTAAGGAATATACATTGAATTAAAAAGTATCTGCTTGACTTAGCAGGGTTATATAGACATGTATTTATCCGCTTCCCATTTCCATAACCTCCCCCTCTTTGTATTTTTTTTTAGTATCTGGTACTTTCATTCGCATTTCATGTGTCGGTAAATGTTTTGTTACTTATGTACTTGGCAGCAGTTCCACAATCTATTTATATATGTATGTCTATATGTATGTGTGAGTGAATATTTGTTGAAGATTGAATCTATTGCTGTGCGTTATGCCAAAATTTGGTTAAAATATCTTGAGCGCTATTCTGTTCGCTTGCACTCAAAGCTCTTTATATCTTTTTCTCTTTCATACAACACATGAAACACTTCCAATCCATCCATCCCAACGACAATCTTCAATTCAACATTCATAATGAAAAATGAAAAAATTGAAAAACTAACAACAACAAAAAATAATTACACACACGCACAACACGCTCCTCTTCTAAAACTGTAACGTCAATTCAGGATCTCTGTGGCGTTACGTGCGCTCATCCATGTCACTCAGCGGCTATATGCCGCCCCTATGCGATCCAAAAGATGGACACCTTCTGCTGGATGGCGGCTATGTAAATAACTTGCCAGGTAAATAGCAATTTAGCTCATAAAATTAACAAACAAACAAAAAAAAAAAAAAAAAAAAAAAAAACAACTATCAACAAAAATCGAAGTTAATCTTTTCTTTCAAATTTTCACATTTAGAGTTGTGGCACACTGAGCGCAGAGTGTTGGATAATGTGTTAATGTATGTTCGTTACTATTAAGTGATAAGCACCACCCAGTCCCCAAACAGCCATCACCAAAACCACAAAGATATTTCCTAAGAGGCATATGAAAACCTCTGGCAATTATTCAATCAAACAATCAAATGCCTTTCATTGTTTGAATCTAGCGCCCGGCCCTCAACTGCAAGCCCGCCCCTTAGTTGTGATTATTATAATTATTATTGTGTTGTTGCTGTAATATCATATCGTTTGGTGTTTGCCAAACCCATCAGTATTTCGTGTTCGCTGTTGTTCCTCGATCGATAGACACAATTTTGATTTTTGTGAGCCCACCATTTGCAATTATCCCCCCTTGTCCACAACTTAGCACAATAACAACAACGCAAAGATACACATACACACACACCTACACCTACACACATACATACTTACATACTATGTACATATATTTAATAAACACACAAATATGTGCATACAGTCGTTTGTACATACAAATACGAACTCTGTCATTGCTAGCTGCACAAAAGTTTAATTTAGTTGACTTTTCCCATTTTGTTTCTACATACATACTACTTAGTAAATACTACTTTCCCTGTTTTCTTAGTTTTCCTTTTTAGCACACCTGTTTGTATGTATGTAAATTGTATTTATTTATGTATATATATGTATGTACTTATCTATATATATCTATATTTTTTCACATATTATTTGAGACGAATATACTCGTACTTTGATTTTTGATTTTTTGTAGCTAGAAAAAAACATGCATACGAGTACCATACTATGTATGTATGTACATATGTATGTGTAGTTCAACAAATACTTATTATACTATGTCATGGTTTTTGAATTGTTTTTCTTTGATTTGTTTTGTTTGCCACTTGCACTAGCAACAACAACAACAATAACAAAAACCATATAACAGCAACAGCGGCAATAAAACTGTCTCTTTATGTCTATCTCTCCCTACCACACACACACACATACAAATACTACAACATTTAAATTGTCAATACATGTGTTGGGTCCCAAAAAAAAAAACGCCAACCGTCCTGGTTCTGAAATCAAATAATTAAATAAATAAATGTGCCGTTTCATCATCCCCTCTCCCCATCGCCCCCTCACAATTGCTCAGGTCATCTGTGGCGCTACTGCCGAGCCAGTATGTCCATTGCTGGCGTCTTCCCACCCTTCTGTGATTATCGTGACGGGCATTTGCTGCTCGATGGCTGCTATACGAATAATGTTCCAGGTAACAAACATACGAACAAACATTTCTCGATTCACATAGATACATACATATATACAATGTACATATATATAATTTTATGTAAATATGTATGTATGTATGTATGTATATGTATGTAGCTCCAAAATTCCGTTATCCAACGCTCAATGCTCTGCTCACGCTCTGTCTCTCTCTCCCTTACCGTCAGTTTGCAAATTCTAATCTTACTATCATTTACATTTCGCCCATACAAACAAACACACATATATATACATATATGTTATATATACATACATACATGTGTATATAACACCCCTCCACATGGCCTCCACATAGCCGATGTGATGCACAATCTGGGCGCTGCCCACATTATCGCCATCGATGTGGGCTCCCAGGACGACACAGATCTGACCAACTACGGGGACGATCTGAGTGGCTGGTGGCTGCTCTATAAGAAATGGAATCCATTCACCTCGCCCGTCAAAGTGCCCGATTTGCCGGACATACAGTCCCGTCTAGCCTACGTCTCATGCGTACGCCAACTGGAGGTAAGTGCCATAAATACATACATACATACATACATACATAGATAGTGCCAAGCCTAGAATACAAACATACTAGAAATTCTGTGTCAATGTAAAATTATTTAATTTATGTTCGAACTATTATAATTAAAAACGAACTGAAGCTTTGATAAAAATCCGTTAGTCTAGGTAGCTAAAATATGATTTCTCCAAGTTGTTAATATAGAAACTGATTTTTATAAAAACTTTATATTAATTGGTTCGTACATGGTCGGTCTCGACATTAGCACAATGAAGCGTCGTTTCAAAACTGAATCTCTAACGAATTAGCCCTAAAACTCTGTTTGAAATAAAAAGACGAATGTCGTCTTCTGTTATTCATTCTTCCGGGTGTGGCCGGCCTTTACACCAAAAGCAATACACCCCTAGACCTTTCTTGTAGGGCATAGATATAATGTTCTACTACAACAATTTTTCTTGGCACCTACTTTTAAAAGCAATCTTTAACAAATATATATATTTATATATATATTGTATATTTGAAAAACAAAATTGCTTGTAATTGAATAATTCATGATAGTCCCTCTATCAATGAACATTTATTCAGTAGATATTTTCTACAAAATACCCCTCTGTCTTTGCAGGAGGTCAAGAATTCAGACTATTGCGAGTACATACGACCGCCCATTGACAAGTACAAGACCTTGGCCTTCGGCAGCTTCGATGAGATACGCGATGTGGGGTACGTCTTTGGGAAGAACTACTTTGAGAGCATGGCGAAGGCGGGTCGTCTTGGCCGTTTTAATCAATGGTTCAACAAGGAGCCGCCAAAGCGGGTTAATCATGCCTCACTCAATGAGTATACATTCATCGATTTGGCGCAGATTGTGTGCAAACTGCCTGAGACATATGCATTCAACTCGGCGGACATCTTTAGTGAGGACGAGGACTGCGATGGCTATATATCGGAGCCGTCTACACTGAACACGGTAATGTCCGCAGATAATCCGGCTTTATTTGTTCCTTTTTAGCTTCGTAATTTTCAGTTCATTCCCAGTCTCGGCTTACTCCCTCATCTGAGATCAATTCATATTATCCTATATCATGCTTTAGTTTTAAGAAAGTTTAATGGGCTTTTTGCTAAACTGTTTTGTGCGTTATATAATCTTAGGATCGACGTCGAATTCAAGTGACACGTGCCGGAAACTCGCTGTCATTCTCTGAGACTGAAATGGACTCCGATATGGAGATCGACCTGAAGCTGGAACGCAAAATGGACAAATCTACGCAGTCCACACCGCCTACACCAAGCACACCGCTTAAACAGGATACCGAAGTGGGGGCGCCCAGCACTTCAACTCCAGCAACGCCAGCCCCCACTAAATTAGATAAAAAACCAGAAGCGATACTTTCAACTGAAGCGACAACAGCAGCGGAAACAACAAAAACAGAAACCCATGTGACGCCGTCCCCAGAGCAGAGCACTAATGAGACACTCCAGGCGGTGGTCGAGGCGGTCAAGGATCTGGAAGCGCCAGAGGCATTGGAAACGCACACTCCGTCAACGGACAACAAACAAACCGCGAACTCTTTGGAGCCGGACCGAAGCGAGAAAGAGGCGCAGCAGCAACTGAATACCAAAAATAACTAGTGGCCCTCAAAGAAGAGAAGCCGCCAATTGTATAATGCCGGGGCACGCAACGTGCTCCATATGATATATATTTGGAGAGGACTGGATTTTTTTAAATTTATTTTTAAAATTTTTGTTTTTTGCTTTTTTATTTACTTAGCATAGCGCGATGTTGAGGAGGCAATTAAGGCAGATTTATATCTATATATATATATATATATATATATATATATATATATATATATATATATATATATATATATATATATATATATATATATATATATATATATATATGTACATATATATACATATATTTATAATAACGCCAGTGCAGCAAGTGCTCTCCCATACGTAGCCCACCAGCACAGGCCCGCCCACAGCGCCTCACAATCCCCGGCCCACCCAAAAGGCCCACAAGCCAAAGGCCATTTTTGGGCGAAGACAAACAACAAATATTTTGTTTAGTCAATTAGTTAATAATGTTTAGGCTTAGCTCAAGATACCAATTAAATCACACAAACCACACCACACCACACTCCAGACATCGAAATTGTATGCACAACAATTGAACACTTTGGCAGACAAACGCATTATGTACATACATATATAGAATACATATTTTATACACAAATATTATACATATATGTATATTAATTAAAGACACCACGCAGTTGCTTAGCAATATCATAAATGCTTATAAAAACAAAAATGAAAACAGAAACAGAAACACACAGAAACATTTGTAACAAAAGTTATGCCAATTGTTTGTTTATGATCGAAATTTTATAAATAAACATAAAACATTTTGAAGTACATACATATGTGAATATACATAAATGTTTATATTAAATATTTTATATAAGACACCTATGCCTACAAAATATTGGTAAGAGACGACTATGAATTTCCTTCTGGGACTCCCAAATAAAAACTTTGATTAAATCCCTGAACAAGCCATTCTAATCACAAAGATACATGCATATGTATGTTCATATCTATGTATATATGATCTATTATTTCTTATAACTTTCCCTAATCTGCTGCAATTTTCCACTAATAAGGGAATGCACAAACCTTAAACAGCCGATATTGTCTGGTTTTAAGAATAAATCAAAAGATCAATGCGAAGAATGTGTACCTGAGCCGAGTGAAATGAGGGAGAGATCGATCGATGGATCGATCGTGCAGTTGTTCTACAGTAAAATCGAAACCAGAACCAAATAAAAATAAGCGCACATAAAGATAAATAAATTGGATAATTACCTACAAGATATTGTAATTTTTTCGTCATTTTTTAGAGAACTCAAGAGTCTGAATCAGCTACAAAAAAGAAGGGGCTTTATAATAGATAATATCGTAATTTTGCAGCAAAAATACGATAAGTACGGATACAGAAATGGAAATATGAAATGTACAAGAGTATATTAGGTTTGCGCGAGCTGAAAAATGTAACAGGCAAAAGGAGGCGTGACAGGCGCCACAAAGTATACATATATTCTTGATCGGCATGACAAGACGTGTCGATCTATGTCTGGCTGTCTGTTCGTCTGTCCATATGAACACCTAGATCTCAGAGACTATAAGAGCTAGAGACACCTTATGTGTGTACGCTGTGCAAGTTTGTTTTATTTTTTTTGATTTTCCCTCCACTTTGCCGATAATGGGGTTTTTCCGTAATGCCGTTCGTATAATCACCTATATCTCGGAAGCTATATATAAGACTTAGGGACTTATGTGAATACTATGTGTCCCTATACCAAGTTTCCTCATGATAGCCCGATTTATCATGAAGCTATAGCCATATATATAATCTAATAAACACGCATACACGCAATGCCTGTATAAAGGTGCACTTATGTAGACTTTACGTGAATTCGAATACCAAAGCAGCTAAAAACGATCCAAATTTTTTTTATTAATTTTTTTAATTTCTATAATTATTCTGCACATACATACATATGTACAGAGTATTTCGGAGTCGACGTTAGCTTCTCTACTTGTTTTTATTAAAGAATGCATTTATAAGTAGATTAATTTTTGACAAATACAGCTAGCGTTCTTTAACACTTTTTTGAATCACAAAATCTTTAACATAGAGCTCGTGGAGAATTCTGTCAAAAGTTGAAATTCCTTTTCCGGTTGTCACATTCGAATTGCACATTGGAGCTCAATCACTTTTACGGCCGTAGCGAAAGCGTACAGATCGAATTTATTAAAAAGCTAGTTAATTTTTGGAAAAACTATATATTTTTCTCTGTGTGTGCACGTTGAGACACGCAACGTTTCCTCGAATTTTGCAAGCATGAGTCATCGGTTGAACATAGCCAAGAATGCGTGTGCAGCGGCGAGGGCCCAACTGGCCGGCCTGAAGAAGCCATTGTCGCCACCAGTGAGCGGCGATGAAGAGGAAGTGGTGCCACCTGTAAAGGCTAATGGTAAGTTTTTTGTGCACGAAAAACATACACATGTATACATACATATGTATATACATACATACATACATACATACATACATACATACATATGTCAATAACAAGGGCGTACGCAACATTTTCCAAGGGGGTCCAAAAATTCAAATTTGTATTAAATAACGCACGATGCGCTTAAATAAAAATTTATGCGTATGATAAATACAAAAAATTCAACCAAAATCCAACTTAGTTTCATTTTAAGGCGAAATAGTGCGAATAGTGAATATTAATATTGCGAATTTTTTTTTTGTTTACGCCCTTGGTCAGTAATATGCAATTTTTTACATCTGATGATGTTTCTTGATCACTCAGTTTCCGCGCACAGACCGCAATTATTGTATGCATGTTTGTACATTTCTTTGCAATAGATACTGTGGGGCAGTCAAGAAGAAGAAACAAGAAGAAGAAACAGAAGGAGCACGTGCTTTTGCCGGCATTTTTGCCAAATTTAAAGAAACTAATTGTGCCAAAGGTCAGCGATGATATGGTTGTAATGGTCACCCTGGTACCACCAATGTATGTTCATGATGAGGCGGCGGCCAGACGCTTGGTGGACCAGCCACGTCCTAGCTTCGAAATACCGGGCGGCCTTTTCCCGCCAAATGCACCGCTTCACAAGATTACATTTATGCCAATCGAGTTGCTACCAACGGGATTCCATGCAGGCGGCGTCTTCAGTCCTGGGGCGCTGCCCCGCAAATTGTATCCCGTTGGTATGCTTGCGCAACAGGAGAAGGGGCCGACGCCGCCCATCTTTGTGGGCCATCGGTGCAGCTGCGCGTCCGCTTCGCATACCCTGGAACCGCAACTTAATAGTCCGCCGCATGGAGTCAAAATGAAGAGCGACCATATGTGGCTAATGCAGCAGCAATTGCAGATGCATCTGCATCAACATTATCGACTGCGTGAGCAGCAGGAGCTGCAGATGCGACAGCAAAGGCAGCAAGAGCTGCAAATGCAACAGCAGGAGCAGCATCAGGAGAATCAGCAGCAGTTGCCAAAGACGGCTAACAAGCAGGTCCAAGTGGGGCACCACCAATTGTTTCCGAACCATGTTAACAAGGAGGTGCATGTATTTAAGCAGCCGTTGGCGAAGATGCCCAACAAGAAGCCACCGGCTACACATCAACAACCAACAGAGCAACAGCTTAGCCAACTACCGCGTCGAGTTTTCAAACGGGAGGATTGCGGGCCAGCCATGGCTATGTCTCTGCCAATTACAGCTGAAATGCTGCCTGGATTTATCGGCACGTTGCCACCAACTCAAAACAACATCTATACACCCGATCTGCGTGCGGTCGCCATAAGCGTTAGGAACATGTATCCATTGGCCTATGTTTCATTGTCGACAGTGATGCATCCGCACAAGCCATACGTTGCCTATGAGATGATGGGCGAATTGGTGCCGAATTTTGAGCTGCCCACCGATATGTTCCCCCCCTCGGCCATTCTTAAGAAACCCGTTTTTCTACCGGTGCGGTATTTGCCCAAAGGATTCGACGCTGGCTGTGTCTTTGCTCCCAACTCCTTACTAGAGTATATCTATATAGACGTTCTGCATCTGTTGGACTCGATGCCGCAGCGTGATACCCAAATCATACCGCCCGTATTCCTGGGTCGCTGGCAACCCATGAATCCACCAGTGGCTTTTGGCGATCTACCTGCTGATGATGATGTCTTAAATGTTGCTGTCGCGCATCTTCATATTGCTGTTGCGGCCTCTTCTTTGATGCCAACAACGCCACCGCCGCTGCCCCCTCCACCACCGCCACCCACGACACCTCCGCCAGCATCTTGCGTTTGCGACAAGAGCTCAACAATATTACCATCGATGGCAGTCGTCGGGGCGAGACCTTCAGCCGTAGTCTGTGAGCAGCCACCGGCAGAGGCGACAATACGTCAAGAGCAGCCAAAAGGAGCAGTCGGCGTGGCGGAGCCACCATCAACGGATATCAAGCGCAAACACTACTTCACCGTAGAGGGCAAGAAGGAAGACGTTGACCAGGCTATAGACGCAATACGAAGGGCGGGCATTGAGGTGGTTCTTTCGGAGGATATCGGCATCGATCTGGACAAGGTTGTCCACCAGTTTCGCGATTTGATGGCACGTCGCGATGAGATTCGTGCCAACATGGCCATTCCGCGCATGGAGCGGTGTGCAGAGGAGAGCATGCGCCTGCGCCAGCCGAATGTACCTCGTCGCAATCCCTGCTCTCACTGCGGTCAATTCCATTAAATTGTCTCCAACTCCTCAATTACAAACACACAGAATCAATCATAATTTATAAAAACCATTGTGTAAAACACAATTCCTATTCAATCATTCGATATGATCACTCATGCATGGGAAGGCAATCGTAAAGATTAACCACTGAATTCAAAAAAACTTACATGTAAAACGCAAGATCATTAAACAATAGTCATTTATATGTAAATACAATAGAATCTATCGCTCATAAAGATCATATGTACATAAGTAAGTTATCGGCATCAATCAATCATACCGATCAACCCTTAAAACCACGAAAAGTACAATTAAAAAGCTAAAAGCAATCACTCCATCGCATGTAAAGAAGAGAATCAATCATTTGTACAGTTCAAGCAATCATATCCTATATGTATACTAAAAAAAAAACGTGTAAAACATAGAATCAATCACTCGTTCAACCATCAAACACGAAACAAATATGCAAGAAACAAAATAAATAAGCTATCGAATTTAAATGTAAACAGAAACCATCATTCCCAAAAATCATACAAATATACATAAATTACTTGTATAAAAAAAATTGATCATTCAATCAAATCTCACACACGCATACTCGTATGTATGCATACTCGTATGTCTTCCCCGTCTTTGATGGGCTCAGTATTTTTGTTTACCATTATAACTTTACTAGCAGGTATTGCCCGTCTTAACCCGGCTTAATATAATGTTTCCAATTGTATTTATTTTGTGTGCGCATAACCTACCCATATGTTTTCACCTTATAAGTTACCAGTAGGAAGGCATTTAAGGTATTTTCTGTTCTTGACAAAAAATTGTTCAGTAGTCCGTTACATTTTTGTTCTTGCCAAACTATTTCGTTAAACGAACATGACCACTATAACTAATATTTTTAAAGCTCGTTTTCCCCCCTTTGGAGCTCGAATTTTCCAAAAGTGTGCTCCTACACTATGATGGATACTATGAAAGGATACTTGAGTCCAAATTTCATCTTTTACCGTTTGGGCTGTGCGTTGATCACCATTTAGTCAGGACAAACTGTTTTATATATAGAGATAACGCAACGTTTTAAGATAAACTATGTGCAAAAAAGGGGAATAATTATAAGGATATATCCTAATTTTAAATTCACATTTGAGTATTTTCGTGCCCTATTGAGTCAATACGGTCACGCACAAACTCGGGATATGAAACACGGCACTCGTGTGAATGCCGTGCAGCGATGAGCCGCGATCAAAAAGCACTGACAATTCTCATCTCAATTTGGTAGAGTAAAACTTTCGATAGTTGAAGCCACCGGATACCATCAACATATCGAAGTTTGAATGCAATAAGCAGAATATTTAAATAATAAAATCTAATTATTTATTGAGATCAATAAGAACAAATCTGCCCGCAATGCGAAGCAGAATATGCGGGCACCATGATAGGATACTTGAGCCCAAATTTCAGCATCCTAGCTTTTACCGTGTGGGCTGTTGACGCGGTTTGCTTTTGTGCCCCAACATTTTTTTACAGGAAAACTCCCATATTTTAGGCTCCAAAAAAAAACCAAGTACACAGTTTTTCTTGGAATTGTTCTGAGAGTATACAAACTAAGTTTGAAGTTAATCAGATGAAAACTGTAGATTTTTCATACAAACGTTGGAGCCTGTTTCCCCCCTTTGGAGCTCGAGTTTTCCAAAACCCCTTCTTAGTGGACACCTACACTATGAAAGGATACTTAGGTCCAAGTTTCGACCTCCTAGCTTTTACTGATTGGGCTCTGCGTTGGTCACCAATCAACCAGTCAGTCAGGACAAACTGTTTTATATATATAGAGATATGTACATATATATCAGTCAATCTCAGTAGAGATTGTACAATCTTGTAATGATCTTAAACTGTCATCATAAAAATAATTAATAAAAAATGCTCTCGAAGTTAGTGGTGAATTATTCTTTTATCTTTTTCTTCATTTATATATGTATATGTATGCATATATGGGGAATTTTTGGTTTGCAATCAATCATTGCCACTGCGTCTGCGTGTGTGCTATATAGAGAGTGCATGTTAATCTCGGCTATGTATATTTTGTATTTGTGTGTATATTGAACTCAATTCTTCATATAGCTATTATATAATTATTTTTATTTATATATAGTTTCATGCATTCACATCAGAGCGTCTAGTGCGCAAACCAAAAATTCGAATTTAGAACTAATAAAAAAAATCTCTTCATATGCATAAATACTCGTATATATGTATATATTATTCAGTTTAGCGCCTTTTTTAACGTTTTCTGTGCCATTTTCAGACCAAAATTACAAATAACTATGTGGGTATGTGTATATTTAGTAATAATACGAACAATGTAATCTGTATACACAAAGTAAGTAATATTAGATTGGTATTACACAGGTGTTCATAAAATTGTTAATGTTTGGTTATCCTTCCTATTTGAATATTTACAATGCCGCAAAGCTAAACTAACGACTTAAATCGAATATGTAACAAAGATACATAAAAAGTTCATATACATATGTAATATTGTCTTACAAAATTACGTTCAACTTATGTACATATGTATAGTATATAGGAGTCGAACTTGCATAAAAACTATAATACATACACTCTAGAAACAATTTATGAATATGAACCAAGCAAATCGAATCTCAATTTACAATCATTTGGAATACGCACACAGATTGCATTTCATGAATAGCCGAATAGCTGCAACAAGTTTCTATGGCAGATGATGATGATAATACCCTTTAACCTGTACCCCGTAATGAACACCATTACGGGCTTCTTGTGTGGGCAGGAGGATAAGAAACATTACAAGTGTTGTAGCTAGCTAATCTATTGCTAATTTCGATATTAAATTAAAAGCATGCCAAATCCACAGAAATGTCAGCAAAAGGAAGTTGGAGCACTTTTGTTTTGACAGTAAAAGACGGCTCAAAAGTTTCAGCGTATGTTGGCGAATTTCCAAATTCCACATTTGTTGGACGAGTATATGGTTAAAATTGAATTGTTTATTGAATTATTTTTAACTGTACACAATAATGCTTAGACATATTTGTTGCTATATACTGCTTTTACTCGACCATAGAGTGCATAGACCAAGCCACAACAACTTTTACATCCTTATTAAGCTATATTTTAGGTAAGACTTGTGGCTGGCCTATGTGGTGTTGGATAATTAGTTATAGTAGAATAGATTGAACAGATCATCCAATAAATTTGGCGTGCATTTAATTTAACAAGCAAGCAACTCACACATGGTTTTCCCTTTTTACACATTCCACTTCAAACGAAATCAAGTTTGCAATTGCAGCGTGCCATTTGTTAAAACTAATAACAATATCATACACTAGACTTTCATTCACAAATGTATGTACGTATAGTTCTTTCTCTACATATATAATAGTTTGTATGTATTATGTATATGTCTTAAATCATCGTATATCTGCCACAAATTTAAAAACTAATTTCCTATGCATTTCACAATTCGCTTATCGTTCTCGTTTTTCATTTTTTTTATTCGTTTTAGTTCTTTCTACGCAGCAATGTTTGTTATTCTCCATTCTTTAGTACACATATCTATTATATATTTGCTATATAATTTCTTCCTTCTTTTTTTTACATGCACGAACTCATGAGGCCAAAGTTTGTATAATTATTTATAGTTTCTTTTATTATTATTGTTATCCATTTTTTAAGGCTTAAATAAATCTAATAAAATAAAGACTTAGATCTTAATTGGTAGTTAAGTAGGTATAGATAATAATATAGAACATGTGTATATTTATATATGTGTATATAGTTAGATAGAACGCTTTTGGAGAGAGCCGCGTTTTATTTATTGTTTTCTTTTGTTTAGTTTCATTTATTTTTTACATTTATATATATTTGCTTTTGAATAAGTCATGTTTATAATAATTCGAATTGTTATTTGCTATTATTGGTTGTGAGAAGCCATTATATATAGAATGACATTTAAGCAAGTATATAGTCGGATCAAGTAAAAGATTAACATTTCAATAGGCCAACTAAATTTTGAACACAACACACATCGAACTTTAATCTGCAAAGTTGTTATAGCTGTTGTGTTGCAAAAAAAAAAACAAGAAAAATATAAAAAGAAAGTGTTAAAATAAACAAAAAAAAATGCTTACTTTCTTGAATAATTTCAATTTGTTGCTATTCTCATTATTATTATTTTTACATGCGAATATAGGAGTTGGTAATATACATAAATTTCTATATATCACTATTTATGGATGTTTTCCCTATTATTTCCCTTATCATCGTCATCGTCATCGTCAGCATCATCATCAGCGAAGCAACTGTTTAAAGAGAGTCTTTGAAACATCGTTTTTTGTGCATCAGAAGAGTTCATTAAACTTTTTACTTGGTGTAGAACAAAAAAACAAACAAAAACATATACATATACATCTAAATATATGTATGTATAAAAAAGACATATGCATGTGTGTATGGAACGGCGACGAGTTCTGATCTGATCGTGCATTAGCCATTAAACGACAAACAAAGCAAGCACACAGTTAGCTTAACGTTCTCTATATCTCTATATATTGGCCATTTAGATCTGTCCAACCAACTCCTGTATGCTACGCAATAAATCTTCCATATTTCACAAGAGATCACGATGGAACACCCACGTGTGTTTTGTGTGCGCGAACTTATGGGATAGCCACTGGGATTCGAGTAAATTGAAACGGTCCTGGCTCAAGTATAGAGGTTTGCCACGCCTACGAAGAGAATCGGAAAAAACCCAATATTAATAAAATGTCTGCAGTCCTAATTGACAGCAATGACTCACTTAAGATCACGATCCTCCTCGTCGAAGTCGTCCAGATAGAGTGAGCCCCAAAGGCAGGCGCGGCGACCACGTATGACTATTATATAAGTGGAGGTGACCACCAGAAAGATGCCAATGCCGCCGCCACAAGAGAGAGTATGCTGGAAGTAAAAGAACAAGACGTTCGATTAGATGATCTGCTCTGCAATTTATTTGAATCGTCATTTGTATTATTATTGGAAATTGCTCTCTAAACGCTATAAACATCATACAGATGATAACTTCCGGTCTGCGATGCATAAAACAAGTCTACATACCAAGTTCAGTGTCGCTAGCTATTATACTTCAAAAGTTCTCAGTGTTCATACAGACGGACGGATAGACAGACATACCTTTATCAATTCTTATCTTCGAGCTTAAAAAAAAAATGGAAGAAAAACTTACGCGCACGGCCTCACAGCATTCGTTCTCGGAGCAGCAGTTCTGTTTGAGACACACGATGGTACCGCATAGCAGGCAAATGGAGCTCTCCTTGGGCACCTTGTAGCAATTTAGGCACGGACGCTCGTGATAGTACTGTGTGAAATGTAAAGCAGTTGAAGGGATCACAAATTAGTACAATTTTAAGATTGGAAAATCCATTGCTCACCGTAAAAAGACGCTCGTACTCGCGTGGTAGCTCCAGGAGGCGCGGCTGCTGCCACAATGAATGCTGATTGATGAGCACCAATTCACGTACTGTATCTGTTGGCGGACGTACATCCATTAGTTGGTTGCACCAGAACTGTGGCAATGTCTGTTCGGTGCCTGGTATGAAGCAAAGACCCTTGGAGGCATTAAAGCAATCCCAGTCCATGGAGTCAGTGACCAATTCCAGATAATAGACGAGGCGTACAAACTCTAAGCCAGGCGCCGAAATCTCTGGCATTTCGTGGCGATAGAGATGCTGACGCAAGAGCGCGGCAATGCGCAAGAATGGCAAACATAGGGATTGCAATTGCAGTTCCATTGACTTAAGATTAACCTCCACATGGCTGTCGGCATCCACGCTGCTGGCACTGTTCGCTGCAGCTGCGGCAGAGGCGCTGGTGGAGGCGCTCGAGGTACTCAAGATGCTGTCGCGTCGCAGATGGGACAATCGATTCGTTTGGTTTAACACCAAAGCCATGGCACGACCCAAGTACGACATGCTTTGTTGTGCACTAAACCGCGACGAGCTGCTCCGACGATTGCTCGCCATTGGGCTGGATGTGGAGGTGGACGCAGAAGCAGAGGCAGAGCCAGAGGTAGCACCCGTTCCATCAGAGCAAGAGCCAGTATGGCTACCAACAACATTCGAGGATGTTTTACCATCCGTGGCATTGTTGTAGTTGGCCAGAATGTGCTCGCATTCGAGATCGGTGAGTGTGACGCATAGTTGAACGACAATCTGATAATAGAGCAGATTATACATGACCTTCACCATGCACGTGAAGTAGTCTAGGACAAAAAACGAAAAGAGTGCATGAAATAAAACGTTGCCTAGGAGGTTGCTCTTCATCGACGACATAAAGCTCATCTACATACCTTGATCCAAGTGCAAGGGCGCCAGCAATATAAACTTGAGAAGCACAGCAATGGGATCTGCCAGCAGACTAGGTATGAGCTCAAGGCAATGAGCCGGTAGCGGCTCTGTATCCTTCACAGGCAGACCAGCTAGAGAAGCCCACGAACTCCACAATGGCCACTCGACCAGGACACGTACATGCACAGAGAGAACATGCAGGAGAGGGACAATGCAGTCCCGTTTCGGTTTGTATCGTGTGGTATTGTTTGAGCAAAGGGAACCACCTCGTTGAATGATCTCCGCCTCTAGATTGGTGCGTGCTATTGAGGTTACGAAGATGAAAAGCTTTCGAAACGTGGTCGAGGCGCTTTTCACTTTTCGCTGGGCTATATTCGTCATCACCTCCATGGCATGGCCCATTGCTTCCGTCAATTTGGAGGGTAGCTGTGCGGGAAGCTAGGTTAGGATAACAGCGTAATGGCAATTGAATTTACCTCCCATCCCCATCCCCCACCACCTTTACTCACCGGTATTGTTTCGTTCTCCTTGATCAAACTTGTTAGATCGGCGACTAGCTGCTCAAATGGCCTATTTCCGGAGCGCACCAAATGCGTGGGACGATCCAGTTGTGGACTGAGAGGCAGCACTGAATTGGACAGTTGCCGACAGACAGGACAATAGAATTCGCCACGGTCCTGTACCGGTTGCCGCTGCGTGTTGTACAGTGTTTTTAGATAAGCCTCCAGACAGCTTAGATGCACATGATGGCCACAGGACTGCACATGCACACCGTTGTCGTAGGCCATATTATTAGACAGGTACCACGACTCATCGCCAAACTTCAAGCTGAGAAGGTCGGTGCGACGTCCAAATTCAGTGGCTAGGCGCGTGGTGTGCGCCAAACGTTCCTCATCCTCTGCGTTTAGCGGCAGTGGAAGGCGTTCCGCTACGCGACGCCTATGACCCACAATGCCACTTGACTCGACCAAGATCACCAGGCCAATGGGATTATTTTCAGTGCTGGGCGTGGTGCAATTGCAAATGATGCAGTCGTATTCCTTCTCACGCGGTTGCTCCTCATACATTTCCTCCTCGTCCTCATCCCCCAGACCGTAGTCCATATCGTTGGCAGCCGCTGCAGCCGATTGCATAAACTGCTTTTGTTTATTGGCAAAGTCCTGCATCATCTTCTGCTGTCGCTCGCGTGCCTTTTTCCGCCTCTCCTCCTTCTCCTTGGTTTCGCGCGCTTTTGCCTCAGCTTGCTTCTCTCTCTGATTGGGCCAGAGGCGAGCGCGAATGTCGTCAATATTTTGGGCACACAGCTCGTCACGTTTCGCAATCTTGCGCAGCAAGTTTCCTATGAAGAAGGGCCCATCGCCAATGCGTGATGGCGAAACGTGTATGTTCTTGTAGTTGCGTCTAACACGGCCGCGTTCTGCCAACGCTGTGGAATCGGAAGCGGCACTGGCATTGGCACCAACACCAGCACTGCTTGCACTAGCCGCCGCCGCACTAGATGTGCTCGCCTCATTAAAGTCCATTTCCATAGCGCTATTTTGCTCCGGCTCCTCCTCGCCGTCACTTAACGAGAAGCTGTCCAAGGTGCCGCTTAGCTGTGAGTGCATCTTCAACAGCAGCGATAGTATGCTCTCGTCCATGGAAAGCTCGTCCTTATTGCTGCCACCGATGGCAATGTCTACGGAACGCTTACGTGCTCCTGTATCAAAGTGGACTCTGCGCCCACGTCCCGTGCCAGAGAAACCGCCACTACCGAGCGCATTCGAGGGCACGATATCCATATTGCCACTGCTCGGAATAGCAACGGGCTGCACACGCTGGAAAGGCAACAGCATACCGCTGCCTGTCGGCGTAGTGGGTGAAAACATTTCGTTGGGACGAGGGGCTATATCACGACTACCATTGTTACCGCCACCACCACTGCCTGTACCACCACCGCCAGCGGCGCCAGTAATGCCACCCAAGCCACGGCGCTCACCATTGTTGGTCTCAGCTAGGAGCAAATCACGGCGAATGGCCACCTCCATGCCACTCTCCGGCAGCGTGATCTGCTGCAACGGAAAGTGAAAGTCCAGCGCGGCTGGACTCATGTCCATGGCGTTGTCTCCATCCCGCAGCAGTTCATCCTCGTTGCTATCTTGGCGTATAACCACACCCGTTTCGGCCACCACAGAAAAATCTGGTGGCAATGCCACTTCCATGCCGGGCATACGCATCGGGACCAGAGCTTGTGAGACATTTCGCGGACGTGTAACACTCATTGCACCTGCGGACTCATCGAAATCATCCTGTCCAAACGAATCGCCAATCATGCGCAACGCCGACTCCGTCTCAGTCTCAACATCGAAATCGAGATCTGAGTAAAAGGGATTGGAGCGATAGCTGGAGGTGGTTACCTGCGGGTCGCGCGACTTCAGCGACACCTTATTGACTACATAGCGCAAATTGCAGCTAAGATTATCTGTGGGATAGCATTGGAACAGCTTGGGCGGCTCACGGCGGTTGCCATAAAGAAAACCTGATTTGTGCTTTGGTTCGCATTCGACCATCGTCGCCGGCTTGTCCCCCGTCGCATTAATGTCACAGCTCGTCTCAACGGCAATCTCAAGCAAGAAGACGGCAAGAGCCAGCAGGTGCTCGGAGACGTCACGTGTGTGCACAGCACGGAAAAATATCGACAATATTGTCGAGTGGAAGACGCGGGAATTGAGTATGCGGCAGGGGTCACTAAACGACGACCCCACCGGCAATGGCAGACGGAATGGTGGCCACAGATTTCCACTCGCGGGCATTTTATTCTTCGACTTAACGTAATTGGTAAAACGATCCAGAGAGGATTGAAAATCTCGCCTATGCACGGCACGTAGTAGCACATGCAACGGATCGTAGTATTTCTCCCAAACTTCATCGATTGGCGTAAATAGACCTTGCTCCAGATTCTCCGAGCCAGACGATGGCGCCTTATAAACGGATAGCTTCTTGAGAAAAGTCTCAAAATTCTTTGTATGCACATTACCCGAACGTTCGGGCATCAGTTCGAGTAGTTGGGAGTGCGTCTTATTTTCGGTGGCCAGCAATGCGCTTATCTCAATAATGCATTGAGTGGCCTCGTCGTTGCCAAGATTGGTGCGACTGGTCACCAGTGTGGCCAGGAATGTAAGAAAACCTTCTAACATCGAGGATTGCTCCGCCTTCTGGGGCTGCTTAAGCGGTGCCGTCTCCAACCACTGGCCCACATCGAAGAGCTCAATGGTGTTCTGAAGAAAGAAATATTGTGGCAAATTCGTTGCACATATCTGCAGAAAAAACAGATCCATGTCCGCCATTGAATTACAAAAGTTCGCCTGTATGTAGGTCATGGCCTGTCCCTTGATTTGAAGGCCATTTCGCACCCATTTACCGGCAAGGATTTCATAGAAAAAGCTCTGTAAATACAAAGAAGTTACAAAAATGTATTCTTTAATAATCACATATTTGCATCGAACAAACCCATAAGTAGAAATATGAAAGCCCTACTATTTTCACAATTGATAGTGAACTACCCTTAAGGCTCAAGACGACTCTATAATGAAAACTTTTAATGAAATCGATCCAATCCAATATTACGGAATGGATGTAGGAAAAGATGCGAAAATCAACAACTTACATATGTATGTAGGTATCTAGAATCTAGAAGATATGGATATACATACATATGTATGTATGTACAAGGTAACGACAGCTTTGTAAAAGACTCTAAAATTTGCAGAGTGCACTTTCCAGCGACCACCATCTATAGACCGCCTGGGACACCCGACACCCCAACAATAACAGCAACAGCAGCGACAACGATAGAAAATTGCAATAGATACTATATGTGTCTATAAATATACATACATATGTACCCACAAAATTAATAATTAGATACCAGATATATGTGTACATATGTATGTTCCTAAATTTTATAAAAGGCGGTAATGTATAGGAATATATCCTAACTTACATAAACTTGTACATATGCCGTCCTGATCGTAGGCACTATAATCCGTGCAAGAAACAACAATGATCAGTGATCAGTTGTCGCTGGTTAATGCTCAATGTAAATACATACATACATACATATGTAAGTATTTACATACATACATATATACTATTTACATATGTTTAATACACAAATCATATTGGCGCTCATCAGGCTTAAATGATTTTACATACAATTGTACTGTTACTGTCAGCTATCGAGTATTTTAATGAACATTTATGTAAATGCGAGTATGTAATGTAATGTAAATTATACAAACATTAAGACTGATCCTTCCATCCTTCCATATAAAATCATAATGTAAGTATGTACAAAATAAATTTTTATATACAACACAAATTTGGTAGTTCCCCAACAGATAAACGAAGAAGGCAAGTTATTTCTGCCGATACAACTTTACAGCGTTGCCATATTTTATGTTTACTGTTACTAGTATACTGCTGTCTGCTCTTTTACACTTATGCTGTTGTATCTGACTTATGTACATATATGAACAAATATTTACCGAAGTGGTAAAAGAAACAGAAAACAAGAAGCCCAAATCAGTCCACAAGAAAATGACAACAATGACTACAACAAAAATAGCAGCAACACACTCATTCAATTAAACAAGAAAATAATGCAGTGAGGCGGCAGCATAGCATAAAGCGACGAAACTGATCAAATAACCTCAAAGAGACAGACTTAACTCTCTGTTTGGTTGCCTGTGCGGTTGTCAACGTCGCGCATTCGTGTTTTGATTTCTGACTAGCTCGGTTGCTCCGTCTGTCTGTGTGTGCGTTTGAGTGCTCTCAGACGTTGGTGGCGTAGATTCAGCATTTTGAGTATCTGCGCTTGAAGCAGTATTAAATATGAAGTGCTTACATTCGCACAATATTTGTTAAAGCTAAATATCAGTTATATGATATACTTAAAATTGTAGTCACGCACACAACAAATACAATACTTTCCTCACACACAGACGAGCAACAACAAAACCGAGTTTGTAAAAATAAACAGTTAACATGCAGTTACAAGTAAAAAAATTCAACAGTTTTGGCATCAGCTGCGCCATTTTGGTTCTGTTGCTGGCCACTAAAACTGCACCAACAGATGCAGTACTGGAAGATGTTTTGGATATAATTCATGTGATCAAAGAGGTAACAACAGGCATATTGAAAGCATGGGACGTTGTACAATCCTCACCTCTAGCGTCCAAAATTGAGTTTCCCCTAATGCGAGAAAAACAGCGAAAGGTGCTAGAACGTCTCAAAGAAGTTAATCGACAAATAGAAAAGACCGAGGAAAAGGTAAGCCGTATAGGGATGATGGAGTACGAATCTCGATTCGAATTTATCAATTGGTTTTTATTTTTTTGTATAGCAATCGCAATATACGTCACTGGCGATTGAATCAGTGAACGACTTCATTGGCACCAATGTAAAGTTGATAGCCAAGATGAATGAAATTACCGATATTATGAATCGTATATCATCACGTTATCAGCAAATGACGAAATACGAGGCGGTCAAGGATAAATTGGAGATGGTCACCCTAGTCACATTTGCCGAATGGACAGTCGCACCTAACGCCCACTCAGTGCATCATTTAATGGATCGATTACATTTGACCCTGCTCGGCAATACCGAGAAGAATAATTCGTCGTCGGGAAATTTACTTGCCCAGTTAGCTGCAAACTATGAGGTAACTTAAGTGATACTAACGCTAATCAAAAACAGGCGGGCGCATTGACTCTCGCTTCCTACTTTTATGAGTCATGGGGCCTCCTCTACTACAGCTGATGCTGTGGACAACAATGCTTGCTGCTATTGCAGAAGTTGAGACAGTATTGTATCTATGTATAGTATACATGCATACATGCATAAGTTAATCTTAACTCGACTTTCCGGTCCTTAAGCTGACGCATATTGTTCAATGTTCGCTTCTGTGAATTTTCGCTAATTTGGCCAGAGACCAAACTAAAAGAAAGTTAACGGCTGTTTCTTGAAATTTAACATACATACAGTATGTGCTTATGTATGTATATGGGTGTATGTATGTTTGTGTATGTGAGCATAGTGAGCGCACAATATACATATGTAAATACATACATATATATACATATATTAGTCATCTTATTGTCACTAATGTAACGGACAACAAAACAAATATAAAGATGAGCCAGTAACGCGCACCAACGTTTGAATTGAAAACGTTAAATTTGCAGAGTAGAGCTAAATTCAACTAATTTAATCAATGCAAAACGACGACAATAATATTAGCAAAGTAAATTTGCAAGCATCCAACCTGACACGCATAAATACACGCGCTTATGCAAACATTTATATATGGGGGTATACGCAGTGCGCTGAGGTCAAAGGTCTGACAAACAAAAAGAACAAAGATAAAAAGAATACATACATATGTATGTACATATGGCTCACAAAAAAGAAAACAAAGACTAATTGTTTGACCAACAGAAACAACAACATCGAACACGCTGCAGTTGCAGATGGCAGCGACCCCCAACTGCGACCCACCACTGCATGGGTTTTCAAAGAACCAGTGATGAAGATATGTTTGCTTGTTTGTGCACATTCGAATAAGTAACACAAAAGAACGGTAGAATACTGTAGTGGTGGCAACGCCGCACAGGTTGCACAGCTGTTTACAAGGCTTAAGTAAACCAAAAGTTAAATCAAAGCGGGAGCGACCACTTTTTACTTGTGATTAAAATTTGATTTTGCAGTATACATGTACATATGTATGTATGTGTATTTTTTTTTTTTTTAATTTGATAAAAGCAAATCGCAAAAACTATCGCGCCTTGCGTGCAAGGTCGCATATATGTGTATACATATGAACCTAAAATGCAGTAAATTTGAGACGCCATCGGGAAAAATGAGACATCAAACAACAAATAGGAATAACCTTAATAACATTGGGCTTAAAACGGGTGAAAATACGACGACAGCCAAAGCTATTGATTGCGTAGCAACTATAGTATCATAAGAGCATGCAAACACAGGTGATCATCACTCAAAATCATTTATTTACAACTAATCAGGCAGCGCATAAACAAATCAGAACAGCCGAAGCTTAGCAAGAAGCATGCAGGGAAACCAAAAGAGAGAGAGAGAGAGAGAGCAAAATTAGTGCTTAAATTTGCGGGTTGCAAACACACGTCTTACAAACACACAGTCCCACCAGCACGCATTCATACATATTAGTATGCATATCTATACACATATGTGTGTATTGAAATGTAAACACACATATTAACTCATTGGACTGCCACAAAAAAAAGAGGCACAATCAGCAATTTTTTTATGGCGACACACACGCACACAAAGGCAAAAAAGAGCGTTGCTTGAACGACGAACAGAGAAACGAGCAAAAGTAGAAACAATGAGCTTGGTGAGAGAGTTGTGTCTGATTTGTCGTCGGTCGGAGTCTTAACAGTCGTGCGTCCAAACATAACACAAAAGCCAGTACTTGTGGGCGGCCGCAGCAATAGTACAGAGCACAGAGCAGAATCGGAAAGCGACAATAAACAAAGAAAAACGTGAATTAAAATAAATCGCAGAAAGTTAACAACAATTTCAGTGTTGTGTTTTAAAAACGAAACATTTTTTCCAATTGCCATTGCAAAGCGTGCGCCAATTTTAAGCCGCGAGTGCGAGCGAGAAGACCCACACAATTACGTGTGTGTGTGTGTGCATGAATGGAGAAAAAATAAATATTACAGTCTTTGTTTAAAATACAAAAAACTAAGCTTATGCTTTGGCATTTGACGATATTACGTGCCCTGAAACTGAAGTTCTTGGCCGCAAAGAGCACATAAGAAAGTAAAAAAAAATATTAAAGGAAATTCCCCTTTTTACATTTTATCGTCGCACTGAGCTCTTTATCGGCGCAACATGGCGCGTCGTTATTGCTTATCTGGCACTTATCCACTGCCTCTATTGACCATAATTCTGTTGGTTTTGTCGCTGCTGACAGGCGCCCAGGCAACCTATGCGAAAACGGAGGTTGATGCCCTGCGCGATGAATATTTCGGCTTAGAGCGAGACCTGTGGCAATGGCTAGACAAGGCGACCATGAGTCGAAACAATATGGAGACACAATTGCGAAAGGTTTATAATTCTCATCGGAATTTTACCAATAAACATCAAATGCAACGCAGCTTTCCCAAAAATTATGAAATAGGGAATTATTCCGAGTGGAGGCTGCTCGAAAGAGATATTATAGAAATCAGTGACTATTTTAATTTTTACAAGGTATGCGCGGAAAGTCAGTAATTAATAGGGAGACAAATCTGGAACTAATAATTGTTCTTTCTCCTAGACCAATATTATGATGAAGCCCGGAAGCAGTGCCAATTTGGAGGAGCGTGCAGTGTTGGATTTTACAGATACAGTGTTGCGTAACAACGAGCATTTTTCCATGTCGCGAACGTTTCAGGATATTGAAAATATAATGGTCAAACAGGCACTTTACTATAGGGTCCACATGGTCAGTTATATGAGTAAACACTTCCTAATTCACCGCAAAAAGGGCTTAAGGTTTAATATGATTAGTCGCGTGAGATTATATAGTGTTGATCAGTACCTGGTACTATATGAGGGTGTTATTTTCCCTCCTCTTACCAAATCAAAAATTAAAAACAAATGTAGCGCATTTGAATGGTTTTATCGCTTGTTCGTCTGGACATTAACGGAAATGCTCACACTGGTACAAGCGTATCGCATACGGGGTATTTGATTACATTTATACAATTGTATAAACATACATACGAGCACACAAGTGCTGGGGAGAATTTCGTTTCAAGAATGAGCAGCTGTACGCCAATCAACCTAACTAACTGAAAATCCTATAAAGAATGTAAACAGCTGTTTAGAGTTGGCGATAGCTTATAGGCATGAACACCTGTTAATATTCTAATTAATGTCTTTTTAACATTTGCAGTTCTCTTCGAGTCAAATATGTAACATGCATCAATCGCCACAACAATTTGTATACGCGCTCTATTCGGATATTGCACTAACCGAACTGAAGGGTTACATCATGATGGAATTCTCCTGGATGATGTTGCGTGTCTATGGCAAAGGGAACTTCACTCAGGAAGCCGAGCTGATGCGCAACGACTATGAGAGGCGAACAGAACGCACATTAAAGTTGCTCCAAGAGGTTATGCGTCGTTCTGCTCGAATTGTCTGGCGTTGTGATCCCGAGCCCCAACATCATGTGCTCGGTCAGACCTACGATGAGGTTACCCGTTTACTACAGGGTTTCATTGAAAATGAGGTGGACTTAAACAGCGATGAGACATGTCGTGAGACTTGTTCCTATTACCAGAATACACGCACCGAGAGCTGTTTCAAGGAAAAATTCTGCGCCCGGCAACCTGGATGTAAGGGTCGACTTTATAATTGCCAATTTGTGCAATCGGACATGTGGGTGTGCCAAGCGCCATTGAATAGCACCCGTCGCTACGAGTATGTGGAGTATGAGAACGGAAGCGTTTTGGGTCGCCGTGGAAGATGTGTTAGGGGAACCAGCAAGGTAGATTCTTGGTGGCGCTATCTCTTTTGGCATTGCAGTTACTGCATGTGTCTGTGTGATGAGCAGAGCATTAAATCGGATCGCTTCTTTAATCTGCGTGAAGCTGTCTCGGATTTCACCCAAAACAGGTGAGTAACAATTTGTCCCAAGTAGACAGCACAAATTTTAAGTTATCATTTGTTCCTTGATTTAAACAGAGTCGTTACTGGTCTGCGTTTCATAAAGAAGAATCGCATATTCCATTTGCAAATACAGGAGGGTGAGCTTCTGCCTCGCGGCAATATCAATCAAACGAGCCTGACATGGAAGCCTGTAGATAATTATAACATCTTCGATCGTGATGTGATAAAAGGGGTCGACTACCACTCTTTGAGCTACGAGAGTCGCTCCGTTGATCTAGACGATATCAATACCGATGACCCCAGTTTTGTAGTCACTGGTGTACGTTTTCGTGTGGTTGGCACACATTTGAATCTAGAGGCGCGTCTCACTGAAATCAATTTTGAAACCGGCAAACTAGTGAACTCCAAGGAGCTTAGTTATTGGAATTCCAATGACAACACAGACGTTAGTGGTGATAATCGCAGGTAGGTGGTTTGTCAACCATTTATGCCTGACAACTTTTAACTTTCAACTTTCCTCGCAGGAAAAAACTGAGCATTAGTAGCCCTGATATACCTACACGCACTATTGTTAAGTCCATACCTATGTCAAAACACAATGAATTCATCGAGTTTGTCAACTCTGATCTGTATAAGGATGCGGCACAGACTACCGTGCCCTTCATGGATGTACAGGATGTGGTTTCGAATCCACCAGTACCGCTCTCAGGCGTTGGCATCTATTATAAGGGACGCCCAGGTTTTGGTGGTTTCTTGGCTCCAAAAATCATCACATACGACTTCACAAGGCACGTAGTCGTGCCAAAGCGTACACCCTAGGTCACGGCAGATGGAGTGATATCATCGTATTTTATATTACATAGCTTTCTAGTTGTAAAACCTCTTTCTACATATATTATTACTTCAGTGGTAAACAAACTAAAAAATGCAACAAGCGAACCAAATGTTTTGAAATTCTAGCCATCAAACAAAACCAGAGCATTCAAAACTTTTCACGATATTACATATGTCTGGATAAGTAATAAAGAAACTGTGAAGTAGAAGTATGACAAATTTCAAACACTAAGGGGGGTACTATTCTCAATTAGGGGGCTCTTAACACTAAGAACGATGACAATTTGGATCACTCACCTGTACACGCAATGGATGTATCATCAACAGTGGCAATAAGTATGGCCGTGATGGTAAAACATCGGTCAAACTCATGCCCATTTTGGTGACAGCTTGGCACACGAAGGCCGCCAGATAGCGGTGCAGTGGAAAATGAAATGAGGCCTGCATCATTTCCTCCTATAAGGCAGCAATATAAAATAGTAAATAGTAGATTTAATTTTATATTCGTATTGCTTTTTTTTACCAATGACAGCTTTGGTTCCATGAAGTAAATGGAGTCCAACCATTCGTGCAGCGTATTCAGGCAATAAGTAATAATCTTTTTGGCCAGATGCGCATGCGTGCCATCCTGGAGATGAGAAATTATAGACCACATTGGATAGGCGCTGGCCTCCAGTTCGCATGAGAAAGCAGCATAATATGAATTCGGTTCGAATTCTACATGCGAGGCTGTCTCGCGCACATTAACGTTCATGCCCTGGAGCATTTGAAGAAACTGGAACCACATATCGATAAGATTATCGTCGCGTAGAAATACTAAAGCTACCGATTCATGCGACAGCACGTTATTAAAGTCCGAGACAAGCGGCCAATAGCAATGATCCTTCATCACCTGGCGCGTGCAATCGATGACGAAATGGAAATTTTTGCTGGGGTCTGCAAATGAAATAAATGAGAGATTAATCTAATTATATGGCGTTGTTGTGAACCTCTTTAAATTACCATGCAGCGTATTCTGTATGAGAATCTTTGACATCATCAGCTTCAAACTGATGATCATAACGTGCAAAAGTGACAGTTCGTTGACCATTTTAAGGGCTAAACTCTCGTTGGAGAATAGTTGGACGCTCATGTGGACTACTCGGTTGCTGAGCGTGTCGGGATCACGAGACATCTCCAGCACGGACGGAATGCGGCTGTAGTGCATGACGAATGTGCGTGTTAGATGCTCCTGCGAGACGTAAATAAAAATAAATAAGTTAATCAGCCGTCAGCCACGTATCCCTCTCTTCCCACCCACCTTGTAATCCTGATCGGGCAACATGTTTAGCAGGAAACACACCAACGTCTGTGGGAACTCAAATTTAAATGTCCAGAAAATGAACTCCTCCAGCAGTGTGGTGTGCACAAGTTTCTCGCCCAGCGCCGGCAAATCACGATATTCATCTGGCGGCTCAGGATTGGGGAATCGATTCACAGCATCCTCATATTTCTCGCGATTGGCTTTGAGAAAGCGCCCATTGCGATTATCCGGACACGGACTGTCCATGAAATATGAATAGACCTCCGGGTTGATCAATGTGCGCGTCATCACCTTTCTCATAATCTCGCCCATATTATTCAAATCAATGAGCATGTTGGCAAACTCCTCACATGAATAAGAGGTCATGGCATGGGTCTGGATCGAAGCATCGCTATGCTCCCGAAAATGCTGCAATAGTCGGAACAGAAGCTTGGGCATAATGGCTTCGGCCACGGCAAGCAAATTGTTCGGGACTGGATCACGATTCACACGGTTATTAATGCCATGATCACTGCAGAAACCTTCGGCTTTCATCACAGATGTGTCGCCACAATCGCAAGCACCTCCAGCCTGCGATAAAAACATGTTGAAGTCGTGGTTGGTGTGATTACCCTTTTTAAAACAATCACGGCAGATGGACATGCAGGGCGAAATGCCGCACGTTCGACATCGATAGGCGACCACATGGGGTACCCAGACCAGACCGCATTTAGCGTGATTATCGTAGCTGCGGACTGTAATGAAAAAAATGTATTATTACATACACATGTACATACATACATATATCTTTATAAGTAACGAACTAGCAAATATAAAACGATGCCTTTCAAGAAGCCAAGCTTTAAATCGCAAGAGTTGAAAAATGAGTAATAAAATTAAGTGTTACAATAGAACCATTTACATACATACAAATGTATGTATGTACATATGACATAAAAGAGAATTGGAAAATTATGTAGTGTAGTCACAACTTGAGAATAGATACATACTTGCATGTACACATATGTATGTGTATTTTTTACTCTATCATTCATAATCATATCGTTTGTATTTTTAAGATATATTCATAAAATACCCTCACTAAAGTATAGTTAACCTTTGCAGAAATAGGTGGGTGGTTTTGATGAATTTGCATTTATTTTAGTGCCACAATATGCATTTGATTATGGCCAGAGACATTCCAGAAACGATGACTTGTCAACTTAATTTACTAATAAGAAATTTCAATAAAAGTTGTCATGCATACATACATATGTACATATATACATATGTATGTTGTATGTACCCATTAGAAAAGGTGTAAATTCTTTGAAACTTTAACAGAAGCTTTACTAGTAGTATATCAATTATCAATTGAAGAAGAGAATTGGGTTGCTGAAGCCGTCTTAAAACGTATGTATGTACCCTACATCCCAATATCTAAAGCCCAACTTAGTTAATCTAATCTCTGGCGGCGTTAACTTCGCTGCTTGTTGTAGTTGTATTTCTTATTGATTTGATTAAAATTCCAAAAATAACAAATGATGTACTCATGGCTTATTTAATATGCTTGCCATTTGCGGTTATTCTTGTGACGCAGTTGCGTGACTTGTCTGTGACTTTCGACTCTTTGTTGTTGCTGCTGTAGTTGTTGCTATTGTTGTTCTGATTCGTGGGCCGAGAGTTCTGGGCTGAAGGCGCTTTCGGCCTTGATGAAGGCTACAAAAAGCATCGAAAGCAACAACATGCAGCAGCAAAAACCAAGCAAAAAGGTCACAGAAATGCGGAAGGAAATCAATTGAAAGTGGGCAACAAGCTATAGGAACAAAAACAGCAACAGCGAAGCAGTGCAATGGAACGAGACGGGAAATTGATTGACAATTTCTTAAACGCATGATATGGCGACGATCGCGACAAGTCGCCATGTTGTTGTTGCTAGTTTTGTTCCATTTGTATGGGTGTGTGCAACAGAGAGTGTGTCAATTCACGCTCTCTCTTTCGCTCTTTCTCACTCTCTCCTTGTGCCTCTTGGCCAGAACTTTGGCTTTGATAATTGGCACCGTTGCCGGTGAAATCGCCATTGGAACCTTTTTCTTTTTATATTTTAATTTGTAACTTGCATGTATTGAATACAAGACGAGGTGGCGGCGGTGTTAAAAAATATATGTACATATACATACATACATACATATGTATATACTATATATACCTTTTTTCTATGTATAACAGTACGAGCAACGTTCGCTCACTCGTTCGCAACCAATTGCGAGCTCCCCTTAAACAAAAAGTAGAACAAGAAGTTGTTGATGATGACAAAACGGACGGCAGACAGCAACAATTGCAACACTGGAGTGACGGCACTGTGGAACAAAATGTGTTTGTTGTGGGTTGTTATATTTACAATCAATCCTTTCCATTGATTAACTGATTACCTACTATCATAGCTTTTTTTTAATATGACTAATTGTGTTTGCTCTACGGATACCACTAAATTAAGCGTAAGTATTCCTGAAAGGTACAAAATTGAAAAGTAAAATAAAATGAAGAAACAGAATTTGGTAGTGTGGCTACTTTTTATACGAAGTAGTTCACCTTTTCCCCTTTTCAGATTAATTTACATGTATAAGTTTTCGGAGGTAAGTTGGTTTTGATCCTGGGCTATATAAATATTTTAACTTATTTAAAAATATAACTAATATATGTATTTGAAAAAGTGGTATCTGGTCGTTGCTTGGGTAATATTTAAAATGTGTTTTTTTAAATCTTTTTTATTGTTCTATTTTGCAGGGTGTAAATAAAATGTTAATGTCAAATGTATATGTAACATACTTAAAACAACAGTGAAGAATGAGTCTTAGTAGAATAGCTATAAAGCAATTAAATGAACTAGTTCTTTATACTATAAATCATATGGAGTTTTGCTAAAATCAATACATTTATGAAGGTCGGCAGCTAAAGTATTTAGTAATTGTATGGAATCGTTCCGTCGTGAATATAATTTATGTATTTATGTGTATGTATTATGTGCAACTAACAAGGGATCTACCATTAAAACACTATTATTTTTTCGTATGTAAGAAAATAATTGTGATTAGAATCAAATAAACTTTTAAAATAATATTTACTTTTCCGATGTACCTTTTTAATAGAAGTTTAGACTATTCGGGTATGTTCTTAACTCCTACAAATGGTATTAGAGCTCTCTTCTGCGATTCTTATACCAAGTAGTTAATTGCAATTCGCAATGTTCCACTGTGCGTATATGACAGTACTTGCAATGGCAGGAACAACACTACTAGCAACAGCAGCCGCATCAACATGGCGTGTCAACATTGTCAAATCAACAACAATGACGGTCAATAAACTTTTCCAGTCTGACAGTGTATGTTTGCATGGACCGTAGCATTTTCATTTGCAATTTTGCAATTGTTTGAAACTATTTTCTTTTTATTTATATTCATGCATTGTTGTTGTTGTTGCCGCTTCTTCGTAAATTGCGCCAAAAGAGCGCCACACTGCCATAACGAGCGACAAGTAGAACAATTTAAAATAAATGGAGCGACGGTGACAAGGGTGCCAGTCACATTGAAGGAAACTCTCACGCACACATACACATGCATGCATTTGCACATATGTTCATATACACATACATATATACATGCTCCTATATTTCAGTGCACTTTGTTGAAACGGATGCTGTGGAACCATTACGCAAACAAACAGCTGACAGCTACAGTACGAGCTAGTGCGTGGTGTGTGTGCGTGGGAGAAGCGACAGGGCCGTTGCATTGACGTCGGCAGCGACGTTGACGTTAGCCTAGCCCCAATGAAAGATAAAAGAACACGGTAACGTTAAATATTAACAACAAGCATTGCAAATACATACATATGTACAAAGGTAGTAAATTTAATTTGCAGAAATGGTCTGAAAGTTCACTAATATATACATAGATACAATTCATGTATGTACATATGTATATATTCATGTGTTTGTTGTGGTTCTTGTTGATTAGTGTACGTATATACCAGATTTGTTGTTGCGTTAGCTGTTGCCATGGCGCATTGCAATGTTGCGTGCCATACTCTGTCCTATAACCATTTCATAAACATTTATATGTACACATATGTATGTATGTACATAAACATACATATACCATGAACAAAAAACTACAGGTACTCTCATACCCATACAGACGCACACATGCAGCGCAATTTCAATTTCAGGGGCAACGACTTGCGATCAGCTGAGATGGATAGAGCGACAAAGAGAGAGTGAGAGAGCGAAGCAATTATATATCCATGACCAATTATCGCTAATCGATAAATCGATGCTACTACTCACCAATTTTAACAAACTCCTGCGGCGTACGTCCACCGGCAATTAGCCAACGTATCCACTCAATATTATCGGGATTATCAATAGGGGTGCCCGGATTAAAAATAGTATCCATAATTGAATCCAAATCTGGCGTTGGGCTTCCACGGCAGCATTCCGTATTGATAAGCGCAGCGACTTCCTTCCTGCTACGCAAACTGAAGGATGATGCCTCAAAGTAGAAGCTGGCCTTTGCGCTCGACGTGCCGGTGGCGTCGTTGCCCGCACCAGTGGTTCCTCCACCACCACTACTGCTGCGAGTGCTGCTGCTGCTGCTGCCATTTCCGCCGGTAGCGCTTGAGTCCCAATCATGAAATGGCGAGTTGCCGGCTGATCTTGTGGTACCACCTCCACTAACACCCACTTCCCCGCCGCGAAATTCACTGCGTGCTGTACGGGAGCTGCCACCGACAAAACTGCTGCTTGGTAGTGTGGTTATGCCAACTGCAATACCACCTCCACCCCCTCCCGCAGCAACTCCACTTGTGCTGCTGTTGCTGACACTGGTCATTGGGCCAGAAGTAGTGCTGATGATGGCACTAACATCACCAGCACTAGCACCTCCGGCACTGACCGGGCTTGACGAACCCATGGCTGGAATATTTACAGGCAACAGGTAAACATCCGATAATCTATGCAAGTCCACATCGGATTCATCATTATCCTCTGCAATGTCATCCATGGCGAACATATCGTTTGTTGCCACATGATGATCACCTTCGAATTCATCATCGTCGTCGTCATCGATACTTATATCGGCATTTGAAAGGTTGTCATCCTCATCCATTCTGTTTGGGACCTCTTGGTGTCTCCAGTCACTGTCGACTTGGACAATGAACTACGACGGTCTTGCTTTTTTGGTGACGTTGCGACCAAATTCTCGCAACGTCGGACTATGCCAAGTGGACTATCTTTTTTTTTTTTTGGGCTGGGTATGAGGCACGTCGGTCTGTTCTTTGGGTGCTTAAAAATTACCTCTTGAATGTCTGGTGTTTGGGCTTGTTTGAAACAAGTTTTCTTTCTGCCACTTCTCCTATGGTTGGTGTGCGATGCTGATGTATTCAGTGTCTTGTTTAAAGACTGCGTTAATTTTTTGTTTGGCTTTGCCAAATTTATTTCGCCTTTTGTGGATTTTTACACTTTTCTTTATATCAAATAATAACTTTTAATCGTATTTAATTGAAAATTTAGAAAATGGTGCACGAAATTCGGGAGCAGAATCGGATACGGAAAATTTCACAACAACTAACACTTGACTCACTGCAATTTCGCTCAGTGGCCAGATATATGAGAATGTAAGTAGTTTACACGGCCTACTATTACTACTACATCCTATGAATAAACTCGAACTCGGTACTCCCGTCCACGCACGCTACCATCAAGTAAAATAATACGTATTTCAAAGAATCTTATGTGTGCAGCGGCAGGCCCGCTCTGGCTTTGTAATTTTCACGCTGTTTCATCAAGTTTGGCGAATATCTTCTTATTCACACACATGCAGTGAGGCAACACACATACACACACTCGTACGCACACAGGCCCGACAATATAACCAAATATATTATTCGAGCATTGAACTTGCCAATTGCCTTAATTGTTGCTGTTCCTTGACAATTCTCTCGTGTTGTTGGATGCAATTATTTTACACTGTTACCGTGCTGCAGGCATTTCTAATAAATTTTTGCCTTTTCTTGAATTTCTTTAAACGCCAAATTAAGCAAAAAATTTTCTCCACGCATGTACACCAATGCTTTGCCTCGTTCGCTCGCTAGCTTGTGTGATTCGTTTCGTTCGGGATTCCGTTTGCTTTTACACTCGTCGCACGGAAATTTGATGACACCTTGTTTGGATGATAAGCACAGGTGCAAGAGCTGCTGCTATTGGCCTGCACATCCCATCGGTTTAACAACAAAAAATTTAATAAGTAAATTGTCTCAATCGAAATTCCTCGACAAGCAATTTTTCACTGTGAATGGCAAACCTAAAGATATTGCCAGATCAGCACACTGAATAAGCTCCAAAGGCATGCTGCGCTGCCACCTGTTTTTTCTCACTAGCCCCCTTCTTAACAGTGCTGGTAAACGCAATTCAATTCGGTCTTGACTTAGTGCTGACAAATGACCATCAGGTGATGAAAAAAACTATTTGTGCATATATCTTTGCGACCAGATATGCCCCATGCCCTGCGTCCAAGCACCCATATAGAGCAAATCAAATTGCTGTAACAATTAAACTTGCGCTGGTATTAACATTTCCAGTTTTTATTACTACACAAATGTATTTATATGAAAAAAAAATTAGCGCATTGGATTTTTGTTGTGTAAAATCGACAAACTCCTCGTTTTAATTATTAAAACGTTACGTCAAGAACCATACAAGTAGACGTCGATTTCGGCGAAACGCTTTATGAAGCGCTTACAAACGGCGACCACGACGACCGCCCTTCCTGCGTGTGGAATCTGAGGGGATGGGTGTCACATCCTCAATGCGACCAATCTTCATCGACGAACGAGCCAGAGCGCGTAGGGCAGATTGGGCGCCTGGCCCAGGGGTCTTGGTCTTGTTGCCACCGGTGGCACGCAATTTGATGTGAAGGGCAGTAATTCCAAGGGTCTTGCACTTCTCAGCAACATCCTAAGCAGGAAAGAACGGACATCGGTTTAATACAAAATGTGAAAATAAGGCATTGTTCAAAAGTTTGGATCTTACCTGGGCAGCCAACATAGCAGCGTAAGGGGAAGCCTCATCACGATCAGCCTTGACCTTCATGCCGCCAGTGACGCGAGCAATGGTTTCGCGACCAGATAAGTCGGTAACATGCACGAATGTGTCGTTGAAGCTAGCATAGATGTGGGCAACTCCAAAGACGTTCTCGCCATCGCGCACTTGTGGTCCAAGCTGAACCTGCACTTCTTCTTTTTGGGTTTTAGCCTTCCTGGGAGCCATACTGCAGCAATTAGTTCTTGTAACTCAGCAACTGAAAAACAAACCGATACAAATACAAGCTTTATTTGAAGCATTCCAATGACCACTATTCATAAAATATTTGCTACACAAAAAAAAAAAAAATTGCAACACCAAACGGTTTTAAGACATCGAGTATGTATAAGCGTCTAAGTTTCTTCTATTTGAGCTGCTTAGGGATTTGGTTACACTTCGCTCTGGCGATCATAGAAACGGGGCCATAAACTGCCGAATTGTTCACAAAATTATAAGACAAAGTTGCAAAACCAATTTTCTGATCCTTTCGCATGCAATATCGCACAAAAACAGAAAATAATTTAGTTAGCTTGGGATATTTCGTTGTTGTTTTTTTAAATTCAACTGTGGCGGCTCCATGGCCTATTACCAAACATTCGAGTGTAAACAAAAAAAAAAACACGCATTTCCACTTATTTATCACTTTACAGATTTTCTTTAATTTTAAGATGCTGAGCAGCAGATACAAATACACTCAGGCACAATAAGCACGTCTTGCGTTGCTTGGAATATGAATGTGGAATTACACACATGTATTAATATGGAGCCTTTCAACAAGATGTACAACTTTGAGGTTAGGGCTATTCAAAAGACACTTTCATTTGCTACACACGTGCAGAACTTTTCGTTCACAACTTTCCACTTTTTTATTTGTTAACGCTGTTAATTTGTGTCGAATATGCACTGCATTTATTTCCTATAATTGCCTTTCACATTGTGCACATATTTGTGCAAATTTACAAAAAAAACACGTACCTCTGCTCTTGCCGACGTTTTGTGAAAGAAAGAACGCTAGTGCAGGCACGTTTATATATTAGAGCTGCAAAACAATTGCTGGCACTATCGATAGTATCCATGTTTTTAAACCAATATCGATTGCTTTTCAGCTCCAATCCAATGTCTTTTTTTTGTCGAAACAATTTTAATTTTTAAAGAGTTGGCCCCTACACTATTATTGTACGATTAAATAGCTTTTTTCTACATACATAATAATTACTACTTAATATTTGATTTACCTAATGAGCATAAAAAGTGTGTTCATTGCTAACTTGGCGCCCACCGCTAATTAATAACGAAACCCCAAAAAGCAACTCTGTCTATTCTTCAAATACAACTTTTTGAGTTGCATCGTCTAAACAGTTTTAATTTCAATCCATAACTAAATATCACGAGTCTTAAAATACATACATATATATTTTTTGGCTCTGCAAATAATTTTATATGATATGTTAAGATATTTGATCGAACCTTGCCAAATCGATTTCAGTAATTTCGATCGAAATAGAATCAACAAGACTGAATATTGGTGATGGCCAATTGATACAATGCAGATGAACTAAACTTACTAAATCCAAACAGCTCCTTTTTATCGATAGGTGGCAACCCATCTGGGACTAACGTAATACTAATTATTGAGCGAACTCATGATTCACCGAAATACAAACTTTATATTTTGAAAAAGAAAATAAATAAAACTACGTTCGTCAAGTCATCAAAACAAATGTCGTGGGTCTCCGACTATGAATATACGTTCCTGCAAAGGCAAACGCTGCGTGTGTTACGAATATGTCGGCACATACCACACCACGTCGCATTTGTAATGGATGGAAACAGACGCTTCGCAAAGTCAAAAGATATAGATAAGATTGAGGGTCATTCTCGAGGCTTTGAAAAGCTGGCTGACTGCCTTAATTGGTGTTTGGAGATTGGCATACGCGAGGTAACTACATTTGCCTTCAGCATAGAAAACTTTAAGCGTTCCACTGATGAGGTGGAGGGCTTGTTCAATTTGGCAAGAGAAAAGTTTTCTAAATTACTGGAGGAGTCGGATCGTTTGAATGAGCACGGTATTCGCATTCGAGTAATAGGCAGTATTGAGCTGTTACCCCAGGATCTGCAGAAACTTATCGCGACGGCTATGTTACGTACGGAGCGCAATGACAAGCTCTTTTTGAACATCGCCTTCTCTTACACATCCCGTGATGAAATTACACAAGCAGTCGAGACCGTTCTCAATCATGAACGACATTTGGAAGAAATAGGTGATAACGAAGATAGACTCTTGTCCCAAGACATTAACGAACGACTCCTTGAAGAGTGTTTGTATACACGCCATTCATCACCGCCGGATTTGGTGTTCCGCACTTCTGGTGAGACTAGGTTAAGTGACTTTTTAATGTGGCAGGTTAGTAGTTTGCGAAATATTCATATAATAACTAATCTTTATAAGACTGAATTTCTAGCTGAGCTCCTCGGTCTTGTACTTTACTAATGTTTTGTGGCCTCAAATAACAATTTGGAACTTTTTTGCGAGCATATTTGTCTATCAACGTGCCAGTTGTCGTCTCGAGGCGTTTAGAGGAAAGGAGCGCATTCGCAGCGCCAAGTTAGCCAAAATAAGTGACTTCTATAGTTCAAGGGTGCAAACATTCCTGCAAAAATTGGATATATTCCGTAGAAAAGAGCTGATAAAGTTAGCCTCTAATTAACACAATAAACAAAGACCTGCCTACATGTGGATATACATATATTTGGAAACCGAAAGCTAGTAATTTGTTTCTTTTCTATGCAAACTTAATGACTTTATTCCGGTTGTCTTCAATTATACATCTTTGCAAACGTAATTACGTGTGTATTAAATGGGAGGCGTATGTATTTCCAGCTGGTTACTACACAGCTGCCAAACTATCGATAATTTTATTTTTGGGACCCCATCGATATATTTTTTAAACAATCGATATAGGGCCAAATTATTGTCTATTGAAATAAAGCTTTGAGTGCATTTCTTCAATATAAAAAGTGTACAAAATTTTTGACTGTTCGCTTCTATATGAAACTATTTGTTTTTAATTAAATGGAAATATGTGTCTTAAAAACGTTTTTTTAATAAGACCCATATCTAAAATGATTACTTACAGTAATTTTAAATTATCGACCGAGCTGCCTGAATTGACGGCAAACTGACAGATCTTTTTTAAGCTAAGTGGCAACAGCTATTGCACAGCTGATTACAAACAACCAATTGTAATAATGTCGAAAATATTTGGATTTGCAGCAAAAAATACTTTGCGTAATACTCGCTATGGAGCGACTCAAATGTAAGTATCCCTGCCAAATGAAATTATTCGTATATTAATGCAATTTTGCATATAGTGGTCAACATGCGACTCGAACCTACATGGCCATGGGGACCCCAATATCGCATAATGCGCCATTTCTGATAACCCAAAGCCTACTTCAACAGCCGGCTATTACACCATTGAGCATGATTGGAAAACGCAACATGTTCATACAGACACAGGATACACCGAACCCAGACAGCTTGAAGTTTTTGCCTGGTGTTGAGGTACTCGGCAAGGGTAATACATATGATTTTCCAACTGGCTCGAGTGCTCATTGCAGTCCCCTAGGTAAGCAAAGTTTCGGGTTTGATTTCGAGATGTGCATATGTATGTATTTAAAACGTTTTCTCTCATAGCCAAGCTTTTGTTTCGTGTCGAAGGCGTGCGTGCTGTTTTCTTTGGAGCCGATTTCATAACAATTTCAAAAGAGGAGAGCGCCGAGTGGAGTCTCATTAAGCCAGAGGTGTTTGCTGTCGTCATGGATTTCTTTGCCAGTGGCTTGCCCATTTTACACGAAGCTCGTCCCAATGCCGATACAGAAATTTCGGATGATGACGACGAAACGGTTATGATGATCAAGGAGCTGTTGGACACACGTATTCGCCCAACAGTACAAGAGGATGGTGGTGATATTGTTTTCATGGGCTACGAAAATGGTGTAGTCAAGTTAAAAATGCAGGGTTCATGTTCATCGTGTCCAAGCTCTATTGTAACACTGAAAAACGGTGTGCAGAACATGTTACAATTCTATATACCCGAAGTTGAATCGGTGGAGCAAGTTTTTGATGATGCTGACAGAATGGTGGATAAGGAATTTGAACGTTTTGAAAAGAGCTTGAAACAGAAAGAACCAGCCGATGTTTCCGCAAGCAAATAGTTTACTTTAATTGACTAAATTATGCGTTACTATACTTAGTATGTTGTTAAATATATTAATTAAAATGTTATCTTGATGCTAACCTTATTTGTTTGTTTTTATTTAAATTTGGACTTGAAAAGCGAATGGCAACACTACTGCTAATGTCATTTCTATTGTGAATGGCAAGGAAAATATGTAAAAAAGAACAATGAAGAAGAAGACGCAGTACGAACACATACCCACATAAGATGACACACACATAAAACATCAAAAACGTAGAAATTTGTAATTTTGAAATCGCAACACAAATTTAATTGCCAAAACGTCTTTAATTAAAAAGAAGTGTTAATTATACCAATAGCTTACCTGGAACGACGATCCACTTTAATCAAGCAAGACACTCAAGACGCTGACCATCAAACAAACGTCAGAGACTCCGACACCGTGACCTGACGAGAAGGCGACGACGACTATCAGAGTGGGGAGAAGTTTCGAAACGCCAGCAGCTGGACAAGGCATATCGTTAAATATGGTCAAGCTATTCGCATTGAGTGTCTTCTATAAAGGTGAAAGTGAGGCCCGTCTTTTAAAGACCACATCAGACCTACAGTCCTTTTCCTTCTTTCAACGTGGCACCGTCAATGAGTTCATGTCGTAAGTATTTGCGACGGCGCAAACCACCTGCCCATCCGCACCCTAGCAATGGCATACATACAAACGTATATTGAATGAATGCATTTTTTCTTTCAGCTTTGCCTCGAAAACAATTGTGGAACGTACACCTCAAGCACTGCGACAGTCAATCAAACAGGATACTTATATGTGCCATGTTTATGTACGGGCTGATAATTTAGCTGGTGTGCTTATTGCCGATCATGAATATCCCCAGCGAGTGGCCCATACGCTAGTCACAAAAATACTCGACGATTTTACAGCCAAAGTGTCAGCCGACCAGTGGCCGAATGGTACTGAGGTGTCCATTGCATTTGATTCGTTACCCATATTTCTGGCTAGATATCAAGATCCCAAAGAAGCTGACCCATTGACAAAAATGCAAAATGATTTGGACGAGACGAAAATTATATTAAAGAATACAATTGAAGCGGTGTTAGAACGTGGCGAAAAGCTAGACGATATGGTCGTCAAATCCGAGAAGCTTTCAATGCAGAGCAAGGCGTTCTATAAGACAGCGAAAAAGACAAATTCGTGTTGCAGTTTTACTTAAAAATCTCAACGGTTACACCGCAGCTACAAAATACAAAACAACACATACAAACCACCATAAACAGAAAAAACTATTAGATACAAATCAATTGCAAGTGTTTGGCGTTGGCTTCGAATTTGTACTGTTTTCATAATATAATTAGTTAATTTTATATGATACAAATTACTATGTATGTATATGTGTGTACGTGCTCTGGCATCCGAAATATGTTTATAAAATTAATATTAATTATACGCATACTTTATTATCCATATAAATGTGTCTATATTCTACTCTATTTTTATTTTGCCCTCAATACGAAGACGATACATTGGCGTAGACAACAACGGCGGTTAAACCAATCACCACATACTTAGCTCCTTGGCTGTATTTGTGTGTTCAATAAAAAGTATTATATAAACTAACAGATGTCGAATTGGCTTTGTACTGACAATTTAACGGTTATTTGCTTATCAGTCACACAACTAGTATAAAATGCATTCACAATTACAATGTGAGATCCACACTTTGAATGCACGACATTCAGAATAACCTCTCCCTTTACCAGCAGCAATAAAGATGTTCAGAAGAACCGTAACAGTTTTGTCGCATTCGCAATTTTATTTGAAAGTCATGCTTGAACCGATTTCTAAGGACCGTTGCAACCTGCAATGGAAATAATAAAACACTTGCAAAAGTTGTTGAAAAGTTTTTGTTTTATTACATTATAGATATCTTTTTCATTCGCATCGTAAACATATTTATGTGTGCCCAAAACATTTGTTTTGTTGCCTTGTTTTTGTTTTTATTTTTATACCGATTCCAACATTAAAAGTTAGGGGATGGATGGAACAACATGCCGATTGAGTTGCTCGCATCATTTTGGTTACTTAGTAAGAGAATTCTGTGTATTTATTTGTGTGTGTGTGTGTAGCTTAATATACGATAAATTTGATTAAATGTAGTTTAGTTTTCTCCATTGAACTTGAACTTGATTTTGCATATCTATGCATACGCATATTATTTTTGCGTCACAAGATGTGTAGTTTTTTTTGTTTTTTTTTTATTATTATAATAATAATGTTTAAATATGTGTGTACTTAAAAGTATTAAACATACATTCCATTATGTTTTATGTTTCATAATTATGTATAAATTTATATTTCATCATACATGTTGTCCACTGCGCACGTTGCCTTGCATTTTTGTTTGCTGTTTTTTTTTTTCGTTTTTAATATGTTTTTTGTTTGCTTCAAACTTTCTTCATTCACAAGTTTGCATGTCTTTGCCGTTAATTTAGTTTGCTTCACATCATAGTTCAAACAATTTGCAATTTTTAAATTAATTAATATACATACATGTCCCATATATGTATGTACATACATGTGTATGTATAAATGAATATTTATAGTATATGTGGGTGTGTGTTGTATATCAATATACATATATTTATATGCCTATGTATGTCTAAATGCACGCTCGTTCGAAATGGCTAAGAACTGTTTGTTTACTAACATTTTGCATGATCAACATCATCAACACAACAAATATAAAACAAGTAAATCAGGAGAATTTCGTATGTGTATTTAAAACTAGTTTGTATAAATTGTTGGCTTGCTTTCAATTTTTATAAATATGTATGTAAGTATGCATGTTAGTTAGTTGTATATGCGCTTGTAGTTTTACAATCCCGACCAAAATGCATTTGTGGCCGTGCATTTGTGGAAATACAATGACAATGAGAATGCCATATATATATGTATACTACATATGCATATATATGTATGTTATGTATGTTTCATAAACTTGTCTAAGCTTATGCATAGCATCACATTTATAATTCGTATTTCTACAACTACACTTTATCGTGTTGGTATCACAATGGGTTTTGGTTTACATTCATAATTCGTTTCATAACATTTTTTTGTTTTTGCTTCTTTAAATGTTCTTGTTACTGTTATTATTATTGTTGTTGTTTATTGTTAATAGCTTAGTATAAAGTGGCCAAAAACAAATTTCGCTTAAAACTTACTAGAGAGGCTGCTGACGAAATGCTTTGCTTTTGAGCAATCAATCATCTTTCTAATGCGCCAATTCACAATAGAATGCAATTTGGATTAAGAAACTTCAATTTGTTACTGTTACTGTTTTTTTATATATATATATATATATTTTAAATCATTAATCATGAGTGTGTATGTGTGTGTGTATGTGTTTGTGTGTGTGGGTGTGTGCACAACCCTTAGAAGCTGCTTTCTAGCTTTGGAGCTTTTAAGTATGCATCATTCATCATGTATATATTGTAAGTAGTATATAGTAGTAGAAAAATAAAATCAAAATTCTAAATGCATTTCCATCTTTCAATTTTACACTTCAAATTTAAATGACTATAAATTTTTGTTCCTTACTATCTTTTTTTGTAGTTATTGGCCTTGTGTACATACATACATAAGAATGAATATACCATACGTATGTATAGTTGGATAATATTCATATACATATACCCGTACTATATAGTTGCTTGAAAATAATTAATTCAAAAACTCATTTCAAAAAAGTATAAAGGATCGCATTCAACGAATATATAGAATTAAGAATTAAAACAAAGAAACTGCCTACAATAGGTTTAAAGGCTTTTGTTGTTGTTGCGTTTTTAAAACAAACGTTTAACGTTACGTTACGTCACGCAAAACGTTACGTACGTATCGTTTTTGTCGTGGTTTTTTTTTTCTTTTTCAAAAGTTGCATATTCTGCTTCATACTTTCAAAAATATACAAATATATATCGTTGTATACACATGGTATGTATAAGTATGTATATTTGTATAAATAAATATATATATATACACATATATATTTATATAATAAAGTGAGAGACAGAGAGTGCCAGCCAGCAAGCACAAAAAGTTTGCTGTCAAGAATTTTTTGGTTGTTCTTATTTCAGTTAAATTTGCTTGTTACGCTTAAATTTCCTCTTTACTATGTGTGTGTGTGTGTGAATGTGTATTGGTGTCCGTGTGTATATATATATATATCTTTGAGTGTACACAACAACTTAAAATACAAATATATCGCGTTTATAGTTTTATTTCTTAAAAAAAGAATGTATGCCTCATATCATCCATTACATCAATACATTACATAGCCTTCGTCTAAAATTTTCCATTAACGAGGAGGAGCTCGTTATCGTTATTGCTAGCGATATCGAATTCAGTTCTGATCTCGTCGTCACAGTCATTAACAAGTACATATACACATATACATATATATGAGCGGCCCAGCTCAGTTTTCTTTGTTTTTCTTTCGTTATTATTTTTTTTTGTTGGATAATTCCTGTTTTTTGCTTTCTTGAGGGGGGCGGCGGGCATTCATAATTTTCATCATACTATGCATGTGTGTGTATGTGTGTATGTATGTATTTGCTTCTTGTAATTATGTTATTAATTAGTATTTTTTATAAGTCTATCACATCATCACAATTCGGTTGCATCAAAAAAATGCCCAGGCGGCGGCTCGCGGGGGCGAACGAGGAAAACACCCCGATGTGCATATTTCGGCGGGGTGGCGACGTCGCCTGCACAGCCCGGGGGGTCATCTTTTTGTTTTACTTAGTAACATTGTGTATACACATATATAAAAAATAATAATAATAATAGTTCAGTTTCCTCATTTTTAGCTTTAATTTACGTCTATATATATACACATATATATGCATATACAATATATATGTTTAATAAAAAATAAAGAATTAAAAAAAAAAACGAAAGTCCAAACATCTTCTAAGGCAAAAAAAAGTAGGATGTGCTCTGATATTCAAAAGTTTAGTTCAGTATTAAAATTATTAAAATAAACAAGTTATAGCTCTGCTAATGATTTTCAGTTTCAGTTTCTGCCTTATATGGTATATATAACAATTTGTTTTTCTTTTGCTTCAAAAAAAGAGATCCTTGCTTGATGATGTTTTTTTTTATTGTATTTTTAACATTTTTGTTGTTCTAGTTGTGGTTTTCGTTTGGTCTTCATACGTTTTGTGTACTTCTTGCAACTTTAATCTAAAAGTTTTTGATTAAAAAAATATGTTTCATACATATTATGTGAATGCACAGATTCCCTCTTTTCGGTTTATCTATTTGTTTAATTGTTTTTGTACTGTTCTTTTTCATTTTTTTTTGCTATATAGTCGATAATATATATAAAGCATATACATATATTTCGGGCCTCCCGCGAATGGCAATTAAAAAAGTTCTGGCACTGGCACTTGGGCGAAGAGGGGCAGAGGCGAAGTTGTGGGCGGGCGAGAAGGGGCAGGGCTGGGTGGGTGTGTCTACTGCAAACTGCACTGGACAACAACATCATCATTATCAATATTATCGTGGTGTGCAACAACTACAAACTATGCATTAATTATTAAAATTAAACTCAAATTCGCATTTCTTCTCCTAAATATTTGATTGTGGACTACTTGATTGAATGTCTATAACTGGCCGCTTGTTTAACTGATCCACCAGTTATATATATGATTGCATAAATTATATGAAAATTATAAATTTGAAACGACAATAAATTAAAATCTGCTACACTCATATAATTCAGTTTCTTTTTCCCTTTCGCATTACTGTATTATTATTATTATTTTTTGTTGTTCAGCTTAAGTTTTGCATTTTTGACATTATACACTCATTTTGTTGTTATTGCTGTCGTCATTGTCATTGTTCTTGTTGTTGTTATGGATGAATGTGGCGTCTTTTCTTTTTTCATTTTAGTTACTTTTTCATAAATTGAAAATTTTTCCTATGTTTTTTTGGTTTGTTTTTTCCAGTATTTGCATAGAACTTTTGAAAAAATAGTTTTTGTTTTGCGTGTGGGTTTGTGTGTGTCTATATAGAGAGAAAACAACAAAATGTTCACGGTGTTTTTTTTTTTTTAATAATAGTTTAAAAAAAATTAAAACAAAAATCAATTGAAATAAACAAAACTTCAAAACATTAATCGCGCATAAAATTAATTTTCACTTCAACTTCAATGCAGCGTTTTTCGCTTAACGCTCAACGTTTTCAATTATCCTTCGTTTGCATTTTGTTTTTACATACTTGTTTCTTCTTCCTTTTCTCGTCTACCAAAGCAGCACTTAATGACGTTTTTTCTCATTTAAAAAGTTTACAAATTCGCTTGAAAAAATGTTTCACTTGTGTGTGTGTATGTATGTGTGTCTAACAAATCTATCCTCTGTGTGAGTGTATATATATATATATGTGTGTGTGTATTAGCTTAATTTTTGTTTTATTATTTTATGTCTTTATATTATGGGTTTAGTTTGTATTATATAAGCAAACCGTTAATTTCATACCAACCAAGTTAGTTTAAAAAGTTATACAAAAAATTGTTCCAATTTTTCCGTTTCATTTTTCTTTTCTCAATTATTATGTCTAACAAGAATTCTGTTGGTTGTTGTTGTTGTTGTGGTAGTTGTTGTTGTTTTTGTTACGCCATAATATGCGTATGAGCGCTTAAAATTAATTTGACAACATAGTGTAAAAATAGTGTGGATAAAAAGAAAATTAGGTTAATTAACAAATTATAATCCTGTTCGATTCTTATTCAGCTCTGTGCACAAATCGAGATCGTTCAAAAACATGATGTTGTTTGACTGTTGTTGTTGTTGTTGTCGTTGTCGCGTGTCTCTTAACTCTTAAACATTCGAAGAACATGCCGTGTATCCAATTATCTGCGTGCGGGTGTTTTTAGTACAAATATATTATAATTTACAATTGCAAGTTGAACTCAAGATATCATTTTTTTTTTTGTTATGGTTTTTTTTCAATTTGTTTAAGTGTGTGTAAAGGATTACCTTTTAAAGACAGAAAAATGTTGTCGCTGTTGTTGGTCTTTGTGTTGTTGACGCTGACAAAGACGTTTACGTGAGAGTTGCGTTGTTGCAGTTATCACTGTACATCGGAGGAGAAGGAGAAGAAAAGTCAAATTAGTTTGGAAGATCTCAAGGCAGGCAACAAAAATAACATTGTTATATACTGAATAAAGAATGACAGTCTTTTCCGAACAAAATCCAATTGTAGAATGCTATATAAACAATAATATCTGAAGAAATCAAACAATGCTATATAAACAATAATATCTGAAGAATCAAACAAACGGCTATCACAATAATGGAGTCACGGTGCTCACCCACACATTGTCGCGCCAAATAGATCGGCTTTTAATAGACCTTGCTAATGATTTGGCTATCATAATAAAGATTATATGATTTTCATACTGAGTAGTAGCCTTTAGTAGCGGCTCTTTGCCAAAATAAGGCCCCAGGAAGACCATTGAACATTTGTGTTTTTTTTAAACAAAACTATGAATAGATCGCACATTATTGTTAAGCATCACATCGTACTTCTCTTCGTAGATCATTTGGAGTGATCGTTCCCAGCCTCGAAATGGAGGTGAAATATTTATAAGAGGATCTACAAACGATATATTATTAATTTTTTTGATCTTTTTAATTGCTTGGAAGATAATGGCCATAAATAAAACGGACAAATATTGTAACATCGATTGTGTTCAACATGTTATGGGATCTGCCAAGTCCGTTATATCCGGACTCCTATTTTATATGTAAATTACGAGCAGACAATCTTAAACCAGAACGCCTACAATTGGATTTATGGATTAAAGAATCTGTAATTTTCCTTCACCAATCTTACATATTTCCACTTACCCAACTTTGTAGTTATAGTTGTTCATGCCTCTCTGCTGCTATTGAGCAGTATTGTTTTTGTTTTTGTCTTTGTCCAGGCAAGTTAATAAGCATTATGATATTAAAGGCAGATGAAAACGTTACATAATGTCGACTTAAATATAACATAACAAAATATTTAATCATCCGACTTGTGTTTTTGGTTTTGTGTGTTTGTTGCAAAAATCTTCAACTGTTTGCCAATGTTGTCGGTACTTCTTGCTTTTGTTGATGTTGTTGCCGTTGTTATTATTATTGTTCATATAATTGTTGTAGTTGCAGTTTTAATCAATCGATCAATCACTAATTTCAGTGTGCTATATAGATATATATATAATAGATGTGTGTTTATTGTGTTGCGAGCGTATTTGTGTTGTACACTCCATTTTTGGTTGATGTTGCTGTTGCCGTTGTTCTCGCTGTTGCTGCTATTTCTGTTGTTTGTGTTTCTATTGCAATGATACGCCTGTTGCAGTTGGACTTGAAAATACACCATCACCCATGTCGTCATCCTAATGCTGACCCGCCTGCTCAATGGCAGCGCCAGGTCCAGCAACTGCCGGCGCAAACTGATGATGTTGGGCCGCATAATATGTGGCCGGCATGCTAAATTGGCTGGCGTAGGGATTGGTGCCAGGTGCCGTAGTTGTTAGCACACCGGTGGCGTCATACATATAAGCAGTGCCAGGTGCTGGAGCTACCTGAGCACGTGCAGCGCCACCGGCAACAGCAACGGCTGCGGCAGCCACCGCTGCCGGATTTGCTGCAATTGGTGGCGAATTGGCCGGCGTATAATGGACGCCTGGCAATGGGGTATTAACAGTGGGTGCATATTCTTTGTAGCCACCCTTGTTATCATCATTCATGTGCTGCTTCTGTGGCTTCTGCTGTTGTGGCATGCCACCATGCTGCTGTGATTGCTGTTGCGGCTGTTGTTGCTGCTGGTAATGAGGTGGTGCCTGTTGCTGCGGCGGCTGTTGTTGGTACTCGCGTTTGGGATACTGCTGGAAACGTGGCATGCCCCCGGCGGCGACAGCGGCAGCAGCCGCATTGGGCGGAACAAATTGACCGCGACCGCGGTAATTTTGCGGTATAAATGGACCAGCTTGTTGCGCCAGATGCGGTTGAGCAGCATTGTGTGCACCGCCGGCGGCACCACCACCATTATGACCCATTATTGCTCGCGGACCACCTGCATTGAAGGGAGCACGTGGGCGATAGGTGTTGCCATTGCGATTGTTGCCATCCGGTCCTGGGTTACTTATCGCGCTGCGATTCCAGTTGCCAGCAACTCCGCCGGCGCCATTCTGTTGGTAGCCATTGCCGCCAGCGGCATATTGTTGATAACCACTAGAGCCGTTGCCAGCACTGCGACTACTGTAGCCACCGCCGCCAGCCTGATAGTTGAGCGGATTGCTGCGCTGCTGGTAAACAGTGCTGCCAGAATTACGATCGCCAGCATTGTTGTTCCAACGCTTATTGCCGCGATAATTGCCCGAATTCGGCATGGAGCGGGCCAAGTCCAACAGTGACTGTGAAGGTGTCTGTCCAGCCTCCTCTAGCACCGAGATGAGTTCACGTGCCTGCTTGGAATTGTCTGGTGTGAAGAAGGTGTAGGCCGTGCCTAGTTGCTGGCAACGGCCTGTGCGTCCAATGCGATGCACATAATTCTCGGACGAGTTGGGATAGTCATAATTAATAACAAACTGTAGGTCCTCAACGTCAAGGCCGCGCGAGGCCACATCTGTGGCAATTAGTATATTCGATTTACCATTTCGGAAGTCCTTAAGAACTGAATCGCGTTCACTTTGCGACTTGTCGCCATGTATCGATGTGGCGGTGTAGCCCTCACTGCGTATGATCTGGAGAATGTCTTCGACCTGAAAATATTAGCAAGAGTATAAGTGAAATTCTGCTTGACAGAAAGGCGGAGGGGGTTTTGTAAGGAACAAAGCCAATTGAATATCAATTGTAATAAGGCCCGTCCATACTTTATTCTTAAATAACATCTACATCAAGCAAATAACGAGGACTCATCTGAATAGGAAACTGAAAATACCACGAGGGTATTCAAAATAACATAATTTTCAAGAAACAACTGCATAAATACGAATTGCCTTAAGAATTGGTATATGCCCCTTTGTAGAAAAAATTATTTATAAAGGGATCTTTTAAAACAGAAACACCCGACAAAAAAATTCAATTTAGTAATTCTCTTTTAGTAATTTAAGGGGCTAACTATTTTAAAAATAATAATATTTAGCACCTCTTTAAATGTGTTTATAGTTATAGTTGGCATGTTCAAATAGCAAGGAAATAACAATGATTTGGTCAGGTGACAATGCATGTGGTTTTTTCTACATACCTTGATCTTCGTCTCCACAAAAATGATTATCTTATTGCTGTTGTTGGCCGCATTGTTTGTTGTCGGTGCAATCTCTTTGAGCAGTCGCACCATGCGCTGCGGCTTCTCGTTCTCATTGCAGATCTCAACAATTTGGTGAATGTTGTGGTTGGCAGACAGATTCATGGAGCCAATATTGATTTGTATGTAGTCGTTAAGGAAGTCACCGGCAAGTGCCTGCACCTCCTTGGGCCAGGTGGCGGACCACATGACCACCTGACGATCGGGACGAATTTGCTCAATAATTTTGCGTATCTGCGGTTCGAATCCCATGTCCAACATGCGATCAGCCTCATCGAGCACCAAGTATGTGCAACGTTGCAAATTAGTATTGCGATTCTCAAGGAAATCGATGAGACGCCCTGGGGTGGCAATGATTACTTCTACGCCGCGTTCCAGATCGCGTGCTTGTGGCACCTTCGAGGAGCCGCCAAAGATGCAAGTGTGACGGATCTCGGGCTTACACAAATGCCCATAATCACGGACCACCGACTGAATTTGTTGGGCCAGCTCGCGTGTGGGTGCCAAGACCAGAGCTATGGGACCCTCGCCTCGCATAATGGGCGGCTGGTTGCCAATGTGAACAATCGCTGGAAGCATGTAGGCCAGGGTCTTGCCCGAGCCGGTTTGTGCAATGCCCACCAGATCGCGACCGCTAAGGGCAATCGGCCATCCTTGAGATTGTATAGCTGTTGGTTTAGAGAAACCCTGACGCTTCATCTCGTCAATGATGTGAGGTGGCAGAGAAGATTCCTCAAAGCTTGCCACTGGATGGGGTATATCATTACCGGAGACAGTAATTTCCAGATCGCGTCGCATTTCGGCCACCGCCTGTTCGGTCTTATTCAAAACATTTGGATGCATGATATAGAAATTCTTGTGGAAAGGCTGCAAATTATCCCACTTGGGCTTCACCAAATTCCTGCCGGGATTCTTGGCCTTCTCGCGTTGAATTTCGGCCCGCTCCTCCTTAGAGAGCATGCCCAAAGCAGCAGCACTATAGCCACCATTGCCGCCAGATTGATAGGAGGCACCGTTACCCATGCCGTTGTGCGGTTTCTGGTAGCGTTGTGCGTAGTTTGGTTTTTGGGCACGTGGCCCCTGAAAGGTGACACCATTGCTGCTAAAGGCAGTGCCATTCTGTACGGCTCCACCGCCACGATAGGGATTACCACCACCGCCCATGCTGATACTGCCATTCTGTATGCCATAGGCCATGACACCATAGGGTTGACTGAAATGCATATTACCGGCTGCGCCACCACCATTCATAGCCGCTCCATTGCCGGCTGCTGCGAAATTGCCCCGCGGGTAGAAAGGGCGGTCGTGACGTGGACCGGTGCTGCCGCCGCCATTGCTATAATAGCCGCCCGAATGCTGCTGAACGCCACCGGCGTTGGGTGCATACGCTCCAGCGTACATTTTTCGTCAATATTTTTGTTGTTCTTGGGGTGTTTAAAAAGTGCGTTTAAGGTAGAGCTAGCTATTTCACTGTCGCCTTTTACTGCAGTTTTACTCGCTCTCACTGTGCGATTTCGCAATTTCGAATTTCTTCCTATTGATACACAAATGTAAATATGTACATATATAAGTAGCAGTAGTAAAATGTGGATAAGTAACTAAGACAAAACAAGTACATACATATTAACAAGCGACGCAGTTTAGTTTTTTTTTCCTCTTTCAATTATGTATTACATACATACATACATACATACGTTTGCATACATACGAGAGAATCATTATTGCAATTTTGTAATTATTTTTTAATTCAAAGAAAAGTGCGGCGTTCCGGAAAAAATCTACTCTCTAACGGCACCCCACGTTGGGACACCTTCACCCCCGCCCAAACGAACTAAACCAACCGAGTATCGCTCACACTAAAAATCAATACAGCATCGCAGGCGACAGCGCAGCGACCGACAAGACAGAGGCCGACCGAATGCACAACGAAAAAAAAAATGAAGAAAATGGAATGCAACTCAAACTCACCTTTTCGTTAGCTTCTGTATTCACTTTTGGAATTTTGGAATTATTTGAATACTTTAGAAATGAAATATGTAATGTGTTCTTTTTTTTGTTTTTGATGTACTGGTTGTAAGCCGTGTGCAATTGTTGTCGCTGCTTTCTTTGCGGAGTTAATTTTTTTCGTTCGACTTACGCTTTAATTAATTGCTTTTAACACTGAAACTAAGTTTAAGGCTAACTAAAACTGTATTTTGTTTCACACTGTTATGCTTAAGCTACATAAAAAGTGATTGGAAACTAATGCTATTACTTTTCTTTTGTATTTTTATACAACAAAAAAGGTTTGCAGCAGAGGCGAAAACGAATGTGATATGGTAGCCTATCGCTTAGCGATGTGAGAGTGCCGATAGGTTGAGCTAAATTTACAAACTATCGCACTGATATATAACGAATGTCATCGGAAACAACGTTTGAATCAATGAATCCGTAAACATCGGTACAATTGAAATTTGCATTAGAAAACTATCGAAATATGGAATAAAACATGATGACAACTTTATTTAAATTTTTCCGCAATGGTAGTTACACACGTGCTTAGATTTTAATATGTATAATCAGTACATACATAATACATATGTGTATATGTACAATCAATGTAATGTGTATTGAGTTTCGAAGTTACTAGCTCATCCTCTCTATCGCATAAAATGTCTATGTATATAATTTAAATAGGCTTTAGTACAAGGGTGCGTTCTAGTCCAGCCCCAAAATAATGCAATGCAACATAAATGTCCATGTGTTTTTAATGAATACAATTTTTCTACGACACGTTAAGATTCGTATATGTATCTATAATCAACGAAGTCATTGGGCGCATTCAACAGGGACGACTATTTAAGTGTAACTAAATTTTGGACTTCATGATTGTATGTATTTTAGAGCATACATATTCTCTTTAATACTCTTCATATGAAAAATTTGTGCCAAACAAACAGTTGCAAACATTTACGGCCACATTGCGTCGGGCTATCTTCTTCGAGCGTCCATCGGCGGTAAATTCTTGATTATCGACAATAACGCCAAGGCGTTGTAATACATTTGGCTTTTCGCCAGAGCAGCCATATTCGACGTATGAAATACCAGGACGCATCTGCAAAATGGTGGAAACAATATAAGTAACATAACATATTACTTAATTACTCAATTTACTTACAATGCACAATAATGTGGCTGGATGCATGGTTTCCCAGTTACTGGGAAGCTCGGAACGCACAGGCGGCTTCTTTGGCTCCTTCACAGGAGCAGCGGCGGCTGAATTTGGTTCAATTGGCTGAGCGCTCTGAGAATGGGCAGATGGATGCATCTCGGGAACAACAAATCCCTCACGCTCCCATTCGGAGAATAACTTATAAATTGCAAATGATGCCAGGTTTAACATGGGTAATTCGTCATCAGGATTTTCAATATTTTCATTGGCATTTTCTACTTCGCTAGTTTCCATTGACTCGTTAGCGGAGGACGGTATTTTCTTTTGTTTGGGTGTCATCTTGGAAATAATGTAATCGCGTAGAGCCTTTTCACAAGCCAAATTCTTAGCTGCCATTTTGGATTGTCCCTTACCCTCGTATTGATTCGAATTGACGGTAACAATGGCCGTAAAGCCGCCATCTACATTAGTGTTTATAGTAAAATCACTAATGGTTATGCCTTTAACCTCGTTGAGTGCCATAAGCGCATTCTTAGGGAGCATTGATTTACGCAACTGACGATTCTGACGCAACTTCTTGTCGCGTGTGCGCTCTGTGAAAAAAATGGAGTTTAGTCGGGAATGATCTAGTCTCTGTTTGCTAACAGCATCTACCCGAAGACTTCTTGCGCTTCTGAAAGATCTTCTTAAACGGTATCTTGCCGCCATTGCTGGTTTCATCGTTCAAATCAAACACAAGATCGCTCATACTTCCGGACTCCATGGTAGATGTAGTTGTAGCTACCTCGCTCGCGGATGGCATAGGTTCATCCTTTATAGCAGATAAGGGCACAGGCATTTGCGATTGCAACGAGAGCTGGTCTACTTGTTGCTGGACTTTCTCAGGTTCCAATTGAGTCATCGACTCCTCTTGCATCATTTGTACAACGGGTCTCTTGGGGAGAGCACTTGGATGCTAAATAAAAGGAGTTGAATTATGTACATATGTATGTGTGTTTTTGTGAATTGTAATAATGTCACAGTTTAAATGTTGAAGGTAGTTTTTGTCTAGGTAAGCACACTATGAGCCAATTCCAAATTAAGGGAAAACATCCATATACATTTTGTGTTCGTCTGCATCAGAGTTAGAAACCAATTGTAATGTCTTACGTTTTACACTACTGGACGCTCTCTCGGGAGCTGGCAGCATCGCCATCAGGTCTCCTACTAAAAAATATAGTTCAGGAATAGCCATGACCATTCCTACAACCAAAGTGCCCAAACGAATCATTGCACGCGCTGCGCAACGGAACCAAATGCCAACTTGATATGGTTGCCGTCTCTGGCCAAATGCTTGGAACTGACGCTATAATAAATGCCACACGGTTGTCCAGCCATCGATGGTTCAATCCCTACAATGGACTGGGCAACATTGTTGGTCATTTATTTTAACGATCGCAGTGCGCGCCGCCCCCATTTTGTTAGATTAGGGTGTGGTGGCGCTCAGTGGGGGTAGCCAAACCTTTGACAGTAGTTTGATGAGAGGTGGTGGTGTCTCGTTTGGGTACTTTTAGTGGAGCAAATGAGCATTGCTATCTAACGCAAAACTAATAATTTTAGTTACAATTGCTGGTGAATGTATTTTCAATAGCCGTAAAAGTTGCGATAATCACAAGTCCAGCTGTTTTTAACTTATTGCTGGCTATTTGTAAATTGTCCAACACTCCACAAATGAACGCGAGCAAGTGACGGTGACTCTCCGACAGGAGTGATTGGCTATGTTAATGAGGACTATGATGAGCTCTGACTGGTCTGTAAGTGGATCAGCCAGGGGAAAGTGGTAGAGCAATCGCGCATAGGTGGAGTAGACAACGCTCGGCACTTGCGATTAAGGCGCTTTTAGCGGCTATTGCTAATAAAATCACAATTGGGTAGTAAACACACATTGATATTGTGCGCTGTAAATTATATAAATAAAAAAGTTCCGTTATTGCAAAAAACTTTTGTTGCACTAAATATTAAAAATTACAAGCTAAGTGTGTGTATGTTTGTATGAGTATATAGTATGTGTTTACATGCAGCGTTCGAAAACAAAGGTACATTCTTTCTCCATTTGAGTGTGTCTGCCACAAAAATGACCGCATGGAATATATTGGTTGAAGACCTTTCTTCCCGTTGGCACCGCAACACGCAAATTTACATAAATCGGTAACTTTCTGAATACTTGCATAGAATAACCGATTTAAAAGGCCTCATTATAAGCATCGCTTATACAACAAAAAACGTATACATTCATATACATACATATGTACATATGTACATGGGAAAAATTGCATGCATATGTACGTACATATTTAAAAAATCAATGACTCTTTAGTTTTAGAACAGTATGCCGCATAACATTTTGCCAGTCTAATAGTTGCTAAAAGCAAGTCGTGCACAAGCTTATACATACATATACTGGAAAGTATAAATGTACTTATGACAATAGTCAAAGTGTGCAACGGCGTTGATAAACATTTAAAATTACTTATTATTAGATGAATTTTGCACTGTTACTTTTGCAATATGCTTAATATGGGCCAGCTTTTAAAAGTCTTTGTTGAAAAGCAATTAAATGTTTACCAATATTTAAAACTTACATTTGTTCCGCCGGGAACGAACGCCTTATTACCAGTTGAGCGGCGTGCACGATTCATTCTTTAGAGATTTTTATTTTTTCACCAACTTTTGAAATTTGTTAATATAATTAGAAGTTTACACTTAACAGACTGACTGTATGGTGACCCAATAATGTGTATGTATATCTCAAAGCCAAACAATACAACTTTGATCTAGTACCACTATCGAATATTAGAAAAATATATCGATAAAAGCTGATGAATTCAAACGTCACCACAGAACCACTAATCAGTTAGGTTATACCGGTGACTAGCTGGGAGAGGTAAGTATATAGTGTGGCAGCACTGTCAATAATTTAAATTTGACTTTGCGCCAGTGAGGCAAACGTTAAAGTGAATCAGATGGATGTTTAAATTACCTTTTCAATTTCATCTAACAACAAATTTTGATTGTCCTTACACAGTAAAATTAATAATAATGTGTCGGTATTGTGTTATTAAGAAAACGATATTGATTAATTCAATGAGGTTAATTTCGACAGTGGCGTTCACTTCCGTCTTTTGTATCGATAATTTGTACGCCGAACAATGTGTAAACTGGTGCGAGCCATCACGCCTTCCAACACTATGTACACGTAGAAATAAACAGACAACGTCGCCGATGTCTTAATTTTGATAAAAACTACAACGAAATGCAATAATTTAAGTGTGATACGATAGATAAGCATCTAACCGAGGAACGGGAGGCGCTCCAGCTTCTGTTTTGATAACGTACAGCAATCGCTGTCAACATGCAGAGCATAAGCAGCGGCAAGCGTACGAGCTCACGGCATGTTGCCGTCGTTTTGATGATGTGCCTCTTTTGGTACATCATCTCGTCCAGCAATAATGTCATTGGTAAAATGGTGCTCAACGAATTCCCTTTCCCCATGACGGTGACTGTCGTGCAATTGTGCAGCATAACCCTGTATAGCGGACCTTTCTTTAATTTGTGGCGTATACGCAAATACCAGGACATTCCACGTCCCTACTATATGCGTTTGATAGTGCCATTGGCTGTGGGAAAGCTGCTTGCGTCTGTCACATCGCATATATCACTGTGGAAAGTGCCCGTCTCCTACGCACATACAGGTAAGTCGAGTTGGTCACACGTCAGCAACTACCGCAAATTGTATAATTTTAACTTACTGGCATTATGCTCTTGTTCACAAACACGCACATACGCACAAATACAACTAAAAACACATCTCACAACATACAACACCACACGCAAACACGCAGTAAAAGCTACGATGCCACTATTTACCGTTGTTTTGACGCGCCTTTTCTTTGGCGAGAAACAGCCCACACTTGTGTACCTGAGCCTGTTACCCATCATAACTGGCGTTGGAATAGCGACTGTAACGGAAATCTCATTCGATATGATGGGTCTAATAAGCGCGTTAATTTCCACAATGGGTTTTTCGTTACAAAACATTTTTTCCAAAAAGGTGAGCTTGGCCATGTGATACTGTTTACTGTTTGATTAATTCATTGTCAACTATCACTTTTAGGTGCTCAAGGACACGGGTATACATCATTTACGGCTGTTACATCTACTTGGCAAGCTCTCGCTGTTTATTTTCCTGCCCTTCTGGCTCTACATGGATAGCATGAACGTTTTTCGACATACGGCCATTGTAAGAACAATATTATGCTGAAGATGGATTCGCATTTAATTGTCTATATGTGTTTAATTTTGCAGAAAAATCTGGATTATCGCGTTATTGCACTCCTCTTTGCCGATGGTGTACTGAACTGGTTGCAAAATATAATTGCCTTTAGCGTTTTATCGCTAGTCACGCCTCTTACTTATGCTGTGGCCAGCGCTTCAAAACGCATTTTTGTAATTGCTGTTTCGCTGTTAATTCTGGGCAATCCTGTCACGTGGGTCAACTGCCTGGGCATGACATTGGCCATTTTCGGTGTGCTCTGCTATAATCGTGCTAAGCAAATCTCAAAGGCAAGGGAACAGCCACCACTGCCACTAACGCATAGCAATCACATCAAATACAGCCCATTACCAAATGACGCCTATTATAGGGGTGCCGTAAATGGCAAACTCTCAAATGGCCTGCACAAACCGACAATGACAACAACGGCGACCATGACAAACAGTTTGCTAGCCAATGGAAGTGGTATGCCAAATGGCAGCGCAACGAGGCTGCTCTTCGTTTAGTTTTTAGAGCCATAGAGAAGTTCAGGCGGGTTACAGTCCTGGATTTTGTACCCGCCAAAAAGCATGCTAACACTATATACATCTATTTTAATCGCAGAAAAAAAATCCAATCCCAGTCCTTGTCATCATTATGTAATATCAGTTATCTTCATTGTACAGTATGGTATTTTCCGTTAATCCTTTTTTGTTGAACCAAATTTTGTGCTTTCTGTCCTTTTACCTTTATGCTTTATGCAAGCCCAATCGCGCCTTAAATTTTTGTTGTATGTAAATTATTTGTAAGATAATTGAATTGCTACACATGTATGTAGGTACTATGTAAATATTAAGTTGCCGCACTCTGGCGTCCGACTATGAAGCGAGCTCGACCCAAGCTCAGCCTCAATTGCCAGTCTGCGTCAGTTTCGAATTCGTTTGAATTTGATTAAGCCTCAAAGTGTATTTTAAAATGCAAATTGTATAGTAAATAGAAAAGAAAAAATGCGCAATAAAATTGTTGACCATGTACATAGGCATAATGTAAACAGAAAGAACACTATATCCAAAGAGTTTAATTTAAGTTATGTAATTGCAACGAACCTCATCTGGCCTGGTACGATTAAATATTTCGTGGGTCCCGGGTTGTGTTTGTTAAGCAGGTGCCAGCTTAATCCATTCATTGACCTCACCCTTTTCGTAGCCAATTCGGCGTAAAAGAGCCTCTGAACGCCAATTGTGGCTTACAATCCAAGCAGTCAGAGTAACCTCTTCACACTTGGCAATAGTTTTGCTCATGGCAGCGGCCAACAGTCCGCCTAGACCCCGTCTTTCAACCTTTGGCAGAACCTGCAATAGCCTACAAATGGGATTGTCGTGATAAGTGCATTCGGTTGCGTTTATAAAATCATATTTCAGAGCCTACCCCAATCCGGAGAAATCGTTTTGAAATATCCAGGCTACCAATTCGCCCGTATCACTGCGACAAGCACCCAGGCTCTTGTTGAATTTGATTAGCGCCCGTATATAATCCAACGAGCCCTCACCCGAATTCGGCCACACCGAGTGTACCAAGGGTGCATCCTCCTCACACAGAGTGCGCAGCTCAAAGTCCGACGGTAAGTCGGGCACACGCGCTTTCAAGGCCTGCGCATGAGGGAGGATCATCCCGTAGCACTGTCGAGCATTTAAGATACCAGCCGCTCCACGTTCCACAGCGATTTCCTTGACGCGTGCGCAAAAGCCCAAATCCACATTGGTCAAGAGCGCACCACGATGCCATTCGATGCGTTGCGTTTGCTCCAGGCACTCGTATAGTTCTGTCGGTTTCTCCGCCTGCCAGCTATAGAACGAGATACTTTGCACCAGATCGTGGTGAAGACTTACATAGGTGCCATAGCGACGAAAGTCGCCATTGCGATGAGTGTAGAAGCGCTTGCGCATTGAAATATAGGCCGCATCCTCCAGAGAAATGCCAGCACGGCTCAGCTGTTGATCCCATTTCCGTTGATTATAAATCAGCAGATAGTGAAAGTGTAGCGGACCGTATCTCTTCAGATAGAGCTGCAACAGCTCGTCCACTTCGGCATCGCTTAGCTGGCGAAGAATGTCCTCCTTCTGCGTGCCCATACTCGTATTACTCGTGCCACCTCTATTTGTGTTTTACTTTCAATTATAGTTGATTTTAAGTAGCTCTTTGTGATCCTGACCCTGATCGTGTTACTGTTGTTGCGGAGCGATCGTGTTCGTGATTGTGCGGCTGCTAGACGCCGTTTGTGTGACGGTAATACGTCTTGAGGAGGTGCAGCCCAAAAACTAGGGGACAATGACTTGGAATGATATGGCCAGACGATGGCCTAATTAATATTCGCGTACAACCCACAGAAGCACGCGAATAAAAGCTAACTAATTCAGCTGATTAGATTTCCCCAACTTGAATGCGTTACAGGGTGTTTGTGTCTCCACATACATACACATACATATGTACGTATGTATGTATGTATGCCTGCCGTGTATGGAAATGTAAGCACACAGTACGAGTGACAGGTGGTTCGACGTTTACGGGGCCGGCATCGGGGCATCGTAGAGTGGGACTCGGCTAAGCACAGCGATAAAGCTGGCACGCAATTCCATTGATACTCTTGGTCAATGCTACTGAATGGGAGATACACATACATATACATATGTATGTACCTGGACGTTCATGATATGTACTTATGTATGGAACTGTAAAATAACGGCTGGAAGAAATCAGGCTCTGTCGATCAGCTGGAAGCTCGTTTCAACCAACTTGTTAGACTTCACTAATTATCACATTTTTGATATTTAATCATACAACTATCTTTTTTATGATTATCTTTATCAGAAGTAATAATTTATCGCCTTTCTTTCTTTATTTTTTTGACTTTATTTATTTATTAACTTATCGATCATTTTCATTAATTTCATAATAAAATAGCAAGCCAATAATTAAATTTACACACTTTTTGTCTTCTTCATGAGAATTGAAGTTCCGACCGTAGAATTTACAACTACTTTATGGCTTATATAATTTAAAAACTGTCTTCAAAGCTGCCACTTCAGTCATCTAAATTGAACAAGCTATACCTTTTTAGAAAGCCTGGAATGCGAACTGCCGAAATCCAAAATTTGGATAGTTTGGCACTCCTCTATCTTGTTTTCGTTGGTTTTCCATGTATACACACAAAATATGCCGTTCATTGAAATAGTAGTGCTGCTCCTCACCACTTTCAAAATTATTTTCGAAACACTTTTAGTCATTCAAATTGAACAAGCGATATCTTCTAGAAAGCCTGGAATGTAAGGATTATAAAGCCGGCAAAATCCCGATACATTTGAACACTATATCGAATGATTTCTTTTTTAAACGTTACTCTTTTTAAAACCCTATAATCAAACTTTAGACTATAAATCACAAGAGAAACACAAGTAATTAGAGCAAAAACGGAATGCTAGAGTCGTGTTTAAAACCCATAAAAATGGCATACAATTACACGGGGTGCTCGACTTTAGCGATTTATTCATGTTTTTTTTTGGGAGGGCTAAAATTTGAGCAAAAAAGACCGACTTCGGTTTAGTGAATGTTTTTTTTAATCATTGAAAGTGATATAATGTTTCGAGGATAATTCTGAAGTAACAGCATCCTGTGGAGGAATTGAATTTTCAGCTATTTGGACAAAATGAGATATGTTTAAGGTAGTTTATGGATGCCATTGTCAGAACCGGACCTATTTGAAATGGGACCATACAGGAAGCATCAGCTTTCAAATACAAAAAGAGTCATCAAAATCGGTTCACCCAGTCAAAAGTACTAAAACTACAACCTTTAAAAAAAATAAATACAGTCGAGAACATCCTCCTTTGCAGAACCTAACTAAACTATTCTTTCCAATAAAAAAGAGTCATCAAAATCGGTTCACCCAGTCAAAAGTACTGAAGCTACAATCATTAAAAAAAAATAAATACATTGCAGAACCTAACCAAACTATTTTTCCCAATAAAAAAAAGAGTCATAAAAATCGGTTCACTCAGTCTGAGCTGACAAACATTAAAACAAAATACAGTGGAATTGATAACCGAATAAACGAAAGAGAGTTTAGTTCGCAGCAACTCCGGGGTTAATGAAGGAGCCCAGACAGAAATTTAACCAACTATCTACCTACTTTAGTAGAATTAAAAGGTACCGAAAGCAAGTTCCAAACTTTTTGCATGCATCTACTTAAAAGTACTTATGATAGTATTCTCAAGACTTGTACTGTTGAATATGTTGTGTGGAAAATATTGATATTTTTTATAATTTTTTAATGATGGTTTCAAATGACCCCTCAATCTTACATACGATTATGTCTAGAAATACATTAATAAATTCTACAGTTTTTGGCACAAATATTTTCCTCATTACGAAAAATTGCTGGTTCTGTATAGTAAATGTTTTTTAAACTCAGTAATATTTAAAAAAGTCGTTCAAACGAGCTAATAGGAATCCTACAATGTGAGTTCGTTTTTGAGTTCCCGATTCGAATCTCTGCGCTACCATCATAGCATAAAGCATGAAAAATACTTGCAGATTTAAAAAGTCTGTAAAGGTGGTCCTATCTAAAAATGTTAAGCTGTCGTGTTATGGCCAAATCTGCAGGCCGATTCCGCAACATAATAATAAAAATAATATATAAAAACTTATAAAGCCTTTCACGCTTTTGGCACAGGCTATAAAAAGTTATGAATAGCTAAAAACAATATTTTTTGTTAAATTCGGATTCTAGGGAGGGGAAACTTCCCAACGAAGGGGCGTCCTTCGCTAAATCCACGCGCTTTCAATATTTATTCAGTGGTTGAGAAAAATGGAATACAAGTCCAAGTTAAGAAATATCCACACAATTCCAGATGATGATAAACGCCTAAGCGCTCTAATAGACAACCACTTTGTTGAATGTCGTATCCATGACAACGCAGTTACCTGGGCTCTTGTTTTTCAGTTTTTGTCAAAGTCCGAACATTTCAACATTACTTACCCTGAAAAACAGCCCCAATCGAGCTTCAAGACAGCAATTATGGTGCGCAGTAAGTAATGATGTCCCCAAAGGAAATTTTTTTTTTTGATATGTTAGCCTTTCCGCTCCCGTAGTAACCGAGGAGCTGGTGCGTCGTAAATCCGAACACAATGAGCGACTTATCAGCACCCTGGAGGAGTTGTCGCTGCATCAGGAGGATGTGGAGCGCATTGAGCACTTGCAGAATTGGTGTCGGGATCTGAAGATATTGTTGCTGCAATCGAACCTAATTCCGCGCCTCGAGAACCTGCACAAGTTGAAGCGTCTTGAGTACTTAAATGTGGCCGTGAACAACATAGAACGTATTGAAAACTTGGAGGCGTTGGAATCGTTGAATAAACTGGATCTGACACTCAACTTCATTGGTGAGCTGACCAGCGTGGAATCACTGTGTGGTCTCTATAACCTTCGGGAGCTGCTCCTCATTGGCAATCCCTGCACGGACTATCCCAATTATCGCGACTATGTGGTGGCCACATTGCCGCAGCTGCTATCTCTGGACTCTCAAGAGATTACGCCGTCGGAGCGCTTGCAGGCTCAGCGTCGAGTGAAGGAGTACCGGGCAGTAATCGTCCAAAGACAGGCGGACCAAGCCATCGAGCGGGATGAGCAGCGCGTGCGCGTCGCCGAGCAACAAATGGCATTGGCTGAACAGTGCGCCAGTATTGAGGATGAGGAAGAGCGGTCACGTACGTTCTGGAACGCCAAGAGCGAACATTGTCCGGAGATCCGCAACGAAATCGCTCGACAGCACAAACTGGGCCGACAGAAAAATGAATCGAAGCCCCCAGAGGCGACCAGCAAGAGGACTCCCAATCTATTTGCACCATGTGGACGACCTTACAATCTAAATCAGGCCAAGTTGCCCTTCAATTTTCAGGACGAGGCTGATCAATACACGCTTCAGCTGGAGGTCTACAAGTAATATATTCTATAAAACCCTTTCCCGAACGAAACCTTTTCATTTTAAGCTGTTCTTCTTACTTGTAGATACTTGGACACGTCTCTTATCGATGTGGATGTGCAAACTAACTATGTGCGTGTTACGGTCAAAGGTAAAATCTTTCAGATAGCTTATAACGAGGAGGTCAAGCCGGATGAGAGTAAAGTGACACGTTCCCAGATCACCGGCCATTTACTGGTTCAGCTTAAGAAGGTCAAGCCCAACGAACTCTTGATCTTAAAGAAACCGGCGAAAGCTCAGAAGCCGCCGGTTCCGGGGTAAGCAAAATCCATTATAAGTACACACAGTAACTGGCATAAGTATTTGTCTGTTTCCAACTTTTCTGATATTTTGCCCTAACAAGTATTGAAATTAAATTCTCTTTAATTTATAATTGTGAGAACCATATTCAAACTACTATAAGGAGCCCGAAGAGTGAAAGAGTAGGCTGTAAATAATCGCAATATATTGAGAATTCGATCGCTTTTAACTTTTGTCTAGTTCATTTCAATATTTTAAGTTCCTATAAAAAGGGAATGAGGGCTTAAATAGCTATTTTATATTGGAATTAGAAAACTAAGCACCTAATAGTCAAAACGACTATTCTTAATTTTTGCACTCTAATAATTACAAAAAAATTATTCCGGGCAGGTCAAGAATATATATAGAAATATATACATAATTAGATAAGTAATGCTGTTGATCCAGATATGAGTGTGTTAGCGTAACAACAAATTTTGAATTGTTAAGGCAAATATCAAGACATATACTCAATATCCTTGTCAGCTCTACAAACAAGTGAGTTTTTTCCACTTCTGGACAAATTTTAAATGAGCGACGAGGCTCAAATACAATATAGATAAGACAATCTTTCTTAATACAAATTGGAAGTGCTTACCATGGGCATCTTTTTCGCTTTTACATTTAATGGTTATAACAGGTTCGTGTTGGGCCGTGTTTAGAAAATTTTCGTCGTGCGTGCGCGTGCGTGTTTCTAAAAGTTCAACACAGAACTTTTGAGCCATAAAAGCTAGGGACAATATCAATGGGCCATATGCGAGTATTATATATTATATTATTATATTATATTCAATGGGCGCAAAACTCACTTCAATTCGAACGCCTTTTTGTTAAAGAATATTCTTCGTGAAAGGTCAGTGTACCATTGAGGTGGGGTAAGAAAATTTTGAAAACTATTTCAATTCTGTGAGTCCAGGAGTAGCCACATATGTTTATGTTCTCGTAAATACAGTATTACCTACATATATCTTAAGGACATTTCACATATGTAGACAGACAAGTGACACACCTATAGATAGTAACTGCTGTTCTACAAAAACAACACTTTGAATAAAAAGGAGGTTGTATTTCTTTCTTTTCGATTTAGTTCTGTGCCAGCTACGGAGCCATGTGGCGTTGTGGATATAAACAGCATTTGCGTGCCACCCGATCTGCCCGATTTGATTTAAATTTTAGAGTAAGTTGAGCATTTGAGATTTTTTTGTTATTTAAAAATCGTTTATTTAAATATTTTCTTTTCTTTTTTGTTTGTTCTTCTTTCATCGTCTTCTTTCTAATTCACATCGCGCGCGTTGTAGATCCAGCATGATGCAGAGATGTCTATATATATGTATGTTTGTTTTTCTCCTTTTTTTTGTATATAAATGTAGTTACATTTTATGCATGTCTGTATGTAATGTGTGTGAAATATGGTGATGTATGTAACATATATATATACATATATGCTATATATATATATATGTTTATTTTAAAACCAAACTTCAAAACGAATAAAACAAATGAAATGCAACTAAAACCAATTTCTGCCAGGGAATATGTCAGACATACAGACCGCTTCCCATTTCCAAATCCATTTTCTTTTTTATCTTTTCCAATTGAAATCAAACGAAACGGAAACAAATAAAGTGCCGAATTTGTTATTATTAATTTTGTTGAAGTACAAATAGTTTGGCAATGGGAACAGGTCCGCATGTACACACATACATATGTACATATGTGTGCTGCTATGGTAAGTTGTGGGGGTGTCTGTGGATTCTCTCTAGTGGTGCCTGGTTCTATTAACGATGGTGGACATGTGGGCGTGCCCAAAAATGTACGGAAACCGTTTGCCAAAATGAAGTACATACATACATTCAAATATGTATGTTTACGGATAATTGGATTATTTGTCAAGTTGATTTCTTTTCTCTTGGTTTTTTTTTTTGTAAATTACCTTACATTGCTATAAAAACATGCGCTAAGTCTTTTCAAAAAGTTTTCGCTGCTTCTGATTGTTCATGTTAAAAAAAGAGAGTTCTGCAAATATCTGTTTTGTTATTTACACGCATGTTAGTTCTGCATATATGTGAACACATATACATATATTTTTATACACATATGTATGTATCTAAGTATGGGTAAGTATATGCACGGCTGAGTATGAAAAAAATAAATTCAGATCAGATCTTCAAGAAAACCAAACGAAAGAAAGCAAAGTGCGCCGCTCTTTGCGCTTCTCAGAACTAGCAGCACTTTGTTGAAAAACATAAAACTAACTGATGCTTAGTTCTTAGCTCTTTGTTTACTGTACAAAAATGGTTGTTTGCCTCTTGAGTTGTTTGTTTGTTTCTTATTCTTTTGCATCTTACAGTTCTTTTTTTCGTTTGTCTTTCATAAACGCACATACATGCATACATATGTTTGCATCGTATATATATATCGGTTGTATCGTATATATATATATATATATATATATATACATATGTATGTATGTGTGCAAAGTTAATTTGTAGGTGCATGCCCATCAATCGACTGATCGATCTGATTCTCCTCTTTGTATTTGTTTTATATTTATGCTTTATAGTACTATGTTGTAATAATCTTTTGTTTTCTTTAAATGGATAGCAACAATCTTGTATTCTCTCTCGCTCATATAATGTTTCGGTTTTTAGTTTTGTTTCGTTTTTGTTTTGAAATAGTATCGGTTGTTTTTTCATGTTTGCTTAATTTGTTAGCTGTGTGCAAATATGGTTTGTTTTTAGTTTTTTTTTTATTCATTTAAATATGTTTTGCTGTTGTTCTTCGTTTTGTTTTGTTTAGTTAAGTCCTTTGTTTTTGTTGTCTTTCAACTGGTTCTCATAGAAAAAACGCATCATAAAATGTGACAAAATAAAAAAATATTTCGAAAAAGCGTTTTGGTTGGTTTTCATTGTTGTTATTATTTTTTTGTTTTGTTTTGTAATATGTAATTTTCGTTTGTATCGTTTGCAATTTCGCTGCGGCTAGACACGAATCTTTACAACATTTACACGTTGGAAAACGAGGTAGGACATTGTTTGTTTTTCTTCTTTTTTGTTTTTGTTTTTTTTTTGTGTTGTCTCATATCTTAAAATCAGGAACAAAAAATTAATAATTTAAAAATAAATATAATGGCGCGCCTCGGCTTTTTTGTTTATGCTACTCCTTTTAGTTTAAAAGAGTGTTGTTTTTGTTGTCGTCGTTTTGGTTGTTGTCGCTTAAATAAAGTGTGTCAAGTTAAATAAACTACAATTAGCAATACATATTTTGGTTATACCCTAAAGACTTATGTATGTATGTCCAACTAAGCTAAGTTTGTCTCTGTGTGTATGTGTGTGGCTTTGTATGTGTGCCAATAATGTTTGCTTGCTTTTTTTTTTTTTTGATTTGTTGCTGTTTAAGCTCGCAAGCAAACCAAACGAATTTTTGTGGAATAACGAGCTTTAGCTCAACTGACGCCCATGTTCCAAACAGACAACGACAGTTTACAAAAAATTTCGAAAATAAAGAAATAAAATAACAAATCTATATCAGCAAATCGGAACTAAAATTTAACAAATAAGCTGCGATTCTTGTAGGTTGAGTGGGTTGCTGTTGTTGTCGTTATGTTCCGTTGCGCAGAAAAACCTACGACTATATGTATGTTGTGTATGCATGTGTGTGTATAATGAGTGAGTATCGGTGTGTGTCGGTGTGTATGTAGCTGTTGTTGTTCTTGTTGTTGTTGTTGTGGTATGTGCGTTGATCATCAATTTGCAGCAATTTGGCCAACACAATTGACTCTAGACCCGCAATATTTCGCACGCTTTATTATAACAAATGGATATCCAGTCGGGTTGCGTGGCACCCCATTGGATTTGATTGACTTCGCCCTCAGCAGCTGTATAGGCTAAAATTGGATCCTCGATTGCGCGTGGCATTTGTTGTATATCCCAGATTAGTGCTTGGTGATCATCACCGGCAGTGCAAATGTGACAGGAACTGTATGAATACACAAAAGAAATAATAATGCTTTAGTTTTACATTGCAACAATGTGTTTTTAAATAATTTTTAATTCAGAGCTGGTCTTCCTTTTGCGCTTAACCTAGCTTGTGTACACTTACCTATGCGGCGCCCACGCAATACCGTTGACGCACGCTCTGTGATTGCTCAGTCTTGCAACAGGTGTACAAGGAACACGAACATCTAAAATAATAACTTCGCATGAATCCATGGCGACTGTGGCTAAATAATTGGGATCCTGTTTATTCCAAGCCAAGCGCAGCAAGGCTGTGTGAGCAGGATCCTTTAGACACATAGATAAAAATGTAAATTAGAATGATACAGATATAATGTATGTATGGTTTGATGTTGTGGCTACCTCATAAATAATGGTCGAGTGCTCCAGATGACGCAAATCGAACATGCGTACCGAGCCATCGGCACCAACTGAGGCGAACATATCGCGACCTCCGCCCGCACGTGAAAACGCAATGTCATAGACCTCCTTGTCGTGTGCTATCAACTGGGTTTTCACATGGCCCGCAACATAGACACGAGCATGCGGTTGCCCCGTCTCCAGGCCCCATATTGTGCATGTGGTATCTATGGATGATGTGCCAACCAGATTCGGATCGACTTCGTTCCAATCGAACGATGTGAGCGGTGCGCAAAAATCGCTATTCTTATTATTATTTAGAACACATTCGAGACGTGTGTCGGGTTCGCCGGCGCGCCAAACGCGCAGATAATCACCACTGGTGGCAAGCAAATCGGGATAGATTCCTTTCGAGTCTGGTATCCACATGATTTTTGTTGTTGGATATGGATGATCAAATGTGCTGTTTTAAAATTTAAATGTACAGGCATTTATTTCAATTATTTTTTAATTTTGTATTTAAATGTGATTTGCTGCTTACCTTTTAGCACTAAATTCGCTTGTGTCCTCGTCTAGGCTGATAATTTGCACTTTGTTGTTGTATTCTTCTATAAAGCTGCCCAGAGCTAGGCGAAAGCGTTTGTCTGGACGCACGCTCCAGTTCATGGAATAAAGCGGCCATGGCGCCAGATATTTGTAGATCTCCTTGCGTTTGCCGGCGGTTGATGACATAACTGTAAGATTAAGCCGAACAGTTGAATAAACAAGTTATTGAAATTATCGGTCCACTAAAATCAGCTGTGCAAAAAGCAGCCGGTGCAAAAGCTGGGCCACAAATCGGCCAAGCCTTCATTCATACATATGTACGTACGTATATATGTATGCAGGTATGTTTGCAACACTCACCTGAACTGTTTGTTGAGTGTGTGTGTGTGTGTGTATGTGTGTGAAAGAGAGCGATGATTATGCCGAGTTAAGTTTACTAGAAACTAACTTTTTTTAAACTGTAAACTTTTGAATGCCGCTGACAAGACGAAGGTGAAGATGATGGATATTGGCCTGGGTGGTTGTGCGGTAATGTAGATGACGATGATAATGGCACGAATAAAAAATTCGGCAAATTAACAAAAAATCCCTGTGCTCTTGGATTTACTGCACGAAAATGACAGGAAAATATTGTGAAAATCGGTGAATTGTCGAATTTCTTTGCGGCGGCTCACTTCATGTTGTCTATGAGCGGCGGCAACTGCAACGGCTGCTGCTACGATTGTTTTGCGTAGTTTGCAAGAAGGTCCCAAAGATTTCTAATGCGACGCGACGACAACGACGACGATCTGCGGCTGCGAATTGTTTATAAAAATAAACAGCTTCTATTGCTGCGCAGCGTCAAGGGTGACGACGGTGACACGCTAGCAATAATTTGCTAACCACCAAATCGTTTGCTATTTTATTTGAAACAAAATATATAAATTTTTCACACCAGAACAGAGGTTTTCACACACACAAAATGTATATACACGCTATGGTTTGTGGCCACAGCGTTAGAGATGGGCGATATTTACGTATCTGTCAAAATGCCATTTACTACAACTAGGCTGGTTACAAATTATCGATGACAAGAAGTGCCACAACAGAGTGTTGCCGAAAAACCAAAAAAATAAATAGTGTATCGATAGAGTTGCCGATAGCGCTCATCGATGTTTTTCTTACATGCCTAAACCGATCCAACACGAAAATTTTTGGAAAATTCGGTAGAAAAACTCGAAGCTCGTGTGTTGTGTTGCTAAATCGAGGGTGGATAATAATAATAAGTAAATAATAAAGTGAGTGCTGCCATTTCAAAAAATACGAATTCAATATGTGTCGTGCCGAAACACGTAAATGAAGTCACACACACTGCTTGCTGCTGTGGCAGTAACGATGAAGACATTGTAAAATGTTTCAACATCTATAATTGACTGTGTTTTTATATTTTTCAATGTGCAACAAGGAGACGACCTCGTTAGTCACTTTGCTGTTGTAGACGGTTGTTTTGTGTCGTTGCCGCCCGTCCTCGTCCTATCGTCCTCACACCTGCGTGTATTTTTGCCTGATAAATCGTTTGCATAGCAAAAAAAATCATAGTCGTCACTTTTCCACTTTCCATTTTGAGAAAGATATTTCACTTTGCGTAATTCGTACGTTGGCTGGCAGTGTACATATGTACGTGTGTATTTGTGTGTGTGTATGAATGAGGATGACTGTGTGTGCTTGTGTGCGTCTATTCGCGACTGTCGCCAACTTTGCTGTCTCATTTACTCGCATGTGTTGTTGTTGCTGCTGCCGCGATTGGCGCCCTTGCTCCCCTCCTTAACAATTGCGCGACCGTCACCGACACACCGCCAGCGCCATTATAAACACACAAACGTTTAATAATATATTTGTGTATGTGTGTGCTTTTAAGCGCTTTTATAAATAGATTCGTTTTTCTTCTTTTATTATAATTATTTCGATTTTTGACGCGACTTTCGGTACGACGACGTCAGGCACACCAAATACTTCATAAAGAAATTTTTAATATTTCCACATTGCGCTTTGCAATTAAAAACGTGGTAGGAGGAAAGTCAAATAATGCGCGCTCGCTGACCGCTTACATTCATGTGTAGGTGTGGGTGAGTGGGTGTGGGTATGCGTGAACTTGAGAAATTATTTTTTTAAATAGACAATTATATGGCGACAAGATTACGATGTATGTGTGTGTGTGTGTGGGTGTGAAGAGCTTGTGTTTGTGTGCGCGCGAATGAGTAGTGCTGTGTAGTGCAGTGAGAGATCGATATGAATGTGTGCATGTGTTGTGTGCTGCCCCTTTAGAATTCGTTCTCCAGAACTCACGCACACACACACACACACACAACAAATGGTTTCTTCGGTTACAATGACATTGCTTTCCGTACTGGGCCGTAGACTGCCTGGCGGCGTCGCAAGCGGGCGCGTGCAAAATTCAACACAAACATACTTATGTGCATACATGTGTGTATGTGTAGTTGTAACTTCGTTATTACCGCATAGGCAACCCGTATATCCTCAACCCCCCGACAGTGCCCAAAAATATTGTTGTTATGGAAAGCTCGGCCACCACCCGTGCTTGTTGTTGTTTTTATTATTTTGTAATTGTAAACAAGTGAAAACAACGATAACGGTGATGACGATGACGACAAACAAATGCGAAATGGAAATGTTATTTTTTTAATCTTGCCTTGTCCTCGGGATAAAAACAAGTGAAATTGTTAATAATTGCAGTTACCTCAACAATTACAACTACAGCAGCAGCATAACAATTAACAGGATTACGGGTCGTATATTTAGCATAAGCAACCAACACACGACGATAACAAGAATAGCAACAACAACAATAACTATGTAAATAAAGCAATAAAAAAACAACAGAGTGTCCAGGTGAGAATGCTTAAAATCAGTTTTAAAATGCAGCTCAAACTAATTGTGTACATGGTATTTGCAGCAAACGAATCTATAGTTGTCCACAATAGAAACACCAGTAACAACCGCAATTACAGCTGCAACTCAGAACGGCGCCTAACGGGAAGGTAACAAGGACACGCAGCAATCTGATTAGGCAAGCGATTTAAACGCTGCTGCTGCTGCCACTATAATGCGTGTGATATCGCCGCGTCGTTCGTCAACCTCAGCGGCAGGCGGCAGTGGCAGTCTATACGGCTCATCGTCAACAGCAGCAACAACAGGCGGCGGCATCGGCAGCTCTAGCAGTGGCAGCGGCGGTACATCGTCGTCAACTAGTAACGGTTACTCAAGATACTCCACGTACTACGACCGTGGAAGTAGTCTGTCAAAATTGGTGCCCTCCAGCACATCTTCATCGTACAGCAGCCACAGCCACAGTAGCAACAGTGGCCTGGGTAGCAATTACTATCCCAGTTCGTATTCAACATACTCCTCATCGTCATCCGCATATACGCCGCGTTCGAGCGCCACTCAAAGGAGCAGCGTTGGTCCCTCATCCGCATCCTCCTCTTCCCTAGTGTATGTGCCCGGTGGTTCTTCGGCATATCGAAGCGGCTCGTCTTATTATCTCTCCAGCTATGATACAACTACGTCCGGCCGATACGGAGTGAGTGGCAAACCATTATATTATTATTATATATACTATTTAAGCATTAGTTGTATGACTGACCGATGATTGATGGATTCATAATTGATACGATTGATTGACGTTTGATTTGGTGGCTGCATATTTTATTGTATAGTTAGTATTAGTGTAATCTCCCTCAGAATCTCATGCTATTTTCTCGGAAACACTTGATACAGCCACAAAACATTCAAACACCCCAGTCACTATTCAGTTTTCCACCTCAAATACCACCACCAAATCACATGTGACTTAGCTGCTTGGTTCTAAACGGTGAATTTCCTATTAAAGCCAACAATACGCAGTCTGTGATTGTCTGTCCATGTCGTTCCATAAGTCCATTGTGTTGAATCAAGCATGCACTGACCCTCAGTTGCTGCTTCTGGAACCCTCCTATATATTTTTAAGTGTAGTTCTTCACTGCTTAATACGGCACAGCATAATGCATTTTTGGTTTATTTAAAACAAATTGTGAGGACCCTTTATTCCATTAACCAGCCAAAATTCGCAATTATGATATTGTTTATAAAAATTAATTGGGTAATGCAGTTTCATAAATTTAATCTTTTGGTAAATATTATGTTGATTTGATTCATACTTAGTTATGCTTCAGGGATATACAAAGTGCTAAGAGTTCAATACTTTCTCATAGCGAGTTGTTGTATTTAAAAAATTATAATTTCTCCCCTTGCGCTTCTTTTTAAATAAAAAAGAAAGCATAATTAATCTTTAACTGGTTCTATGAAATAGAACTGCCAATATATACGAAATATGTTATACATATGCTTACCTTTAATAAGAAGGGGCTGCTTCACAACTTTTCTAAAATTACTTCGCCTGTTTTCCGCTCTAATATTTAGCCAATAATACATATGTAATACATACATATGTATGTCCTGCTCGGTGGCTTTTTAATGCGGGGGCGAATCATACACGAATTAAATGCAATTTGGGCAATTTCTAAATTTGATTTTATTTTGCTAACTGGCTTTACTGTTGTTGTTATTGTTCAATTGCACTCAGCATATTACGTAGTTGTTGCGCACAGCAACCAACCCCAAACCCCCAACCCCCAACCCACCTGTCTTGCCCACCATACCGCACCCCACCCCACCCACTACCAGGCATAGCAGTCATAACGTCACTTTAAACATAGTTGGTTCTGATAAAGATGCGTCATTCAGCTTCGCGTCCCGCGAATGGAATGCTTAGTCGCACCGAACCACTTGTTGGCAGAGATCCAATGACTAGGCGGGTCCGCCCTTGTGATTTTGGCGCATTGGCGTCGCCAGCAAAGATGTTTCAACAAAATTAATCGAAATGAAAAAGGTTAATGTGACTCATATAAGTATGTATGTAGATTTATGTACATATATATATATATATATATAACTATACATATGAACGATGTTCATATATCTTCATGCATGAACATATAAATACATACATATATTTTTATGTGCATATATACCGAGTTGTGAGATACCGTTGCCTTTTCGTCAAAGTTCTTTTAAGTTAGTTGCGTGGCCATTCGGCGCGTTTAAAGTCGCGATCGCGACTTATCAGGCAAGGGCTAGGGAGTTGCATACATTTAGGCTGCGCTTTTATTTGCTGATAATACGCGCTCTCTTTCTATATATATATATGATCGCTCTATCTCGCTCTATCCGTCATTGATCTTGTGTAAAAAAAAAACTCATTTGGTGTTTCTTTTTCATTTTGTTTTTATTGTTTTTGTTTTTGTTTATGTTACGCCAACATGAAACATGCCCCGTGCGTCATCATTTAAACAAAATGAAATGAAAATAAATCGTAACATTAACAACATTAAACAATACCAATAACATGGCAATTACACCTGTAAATGTTTGTCATATCAACAAAAACAACAACAACTACAACAACCACCACCACCACACATATGTACAATAAAAACGAATCAAAACTCAGCTGCCGCGCAAAACAAAAAGCAGTAATGCGAATGGCGATAGCCTTAAAGCCACAGGCTCCATAAAAAAAGACGATTATACACGCAACAGAGATGCGAAAAAGCCACCAATTAGTGGTGGCGGCTCAGGCGGCTCGGGCGGCAGCAACAGCTACAGCCACAGCCACGAGGATGCCACAAATGGTGGCAGCAGCAGCAGCAAACGTTTGTCCAGCTCATGCTCATCATCATCCCTAGCACGTTTAGTTGCCACATCTGGTCTGGATATATACGAAAAATACAGTCCAGCCAACTATAAACCAAACTGTGAACTGTCACGTTCCAGATCGGCGCTCAATGAAGCCGACAATGATAGCAGCAACAACAACAACAACAGCAACAGCAACAATGATACAAGCACCACATGCACAGTTACCCTGGACAGACCACGCAGCAGTCGCTATAGTCGTCTATATAGCAGCAGCAGTGATGCCGGAGGCACACACACAGATGAAGCCACATCAGCATCAATATCGTCGACATCTCGTCTCAGTGGACGCTCCGGATCGGGCAAGTATACGTTGATTGGCAGTAATAGTAGTGGGGATGTGCCCACTGCTACCTTCACACTGCGCAGCAATCGCCAGCGTCGCAGTCAGGCGGATGGGGAACCGTCGGTGTCGACGGCTGCGATCACCACCAATGGCCATGCCACAGATAGCAATGGACTCGATACCAAACTAAATGGACTGCTCTTGTCCTCCTCACCCAAGCGCAATGCCATCTACGAGAGTCACAGTGGCAGCAGTTTGCATAAACTCCTCATCCCGACTGAGACGGATACCATCGACGATGCAACGGCGACAAAAACAAACGCAGCCGAACAAGATGTGAGAGCAAGTGCAGCAACAAGTGGTGGCGATGCCGATGGCGATGTTAGCACTGCGGCCACCTTAACTCTGGCGGAGGGTGCGGCCAGGAAGGTAAAGCGAAACATCTTGAAAAACATGATAAAACGCGTTGCTGTCTGCCTGCCTGCCTGTCTGCCTGCCCATACTGCCTGCTTAATACTAATCGCATGTCACAGAACTGATACTGATAATAACTGGAAAATAATTAATAATAACAAAAAACTCAATGGTTCATCATCAACTGTATGTTTCTGTGTGTGTGTGTGCGCTTGGCTGATTTCAATTCCTATTGTAAGGTACACATTTGTCCTCACCTTCATTGCTCATTCCCAGTGTTATAATACAAGCTGTCCCCCATACAATTGTACATTGGCGTCATGATTCAATTGCAACAATTTCCACCATCTAAAATCTTAGTACTTAGAAGCTACTACAGAGTGCCAGATGCATTTATCCATTGAAACCACTTCCGATCGGTTCTTAGAAGCTCTTTTGAAACGTACACAAATCCTGTTTTAGATCGAACTAATAACTTCAACCGTTACCGGGTTTAAGAAAATTTGTTGAAGATATTTTAAGATCAGATCACTAAGATAGTATAGTATATCTAAAGTAAGAACCGCATCCATATCACAACTCATTGTTGAAAGAGTCTTCAAGTCAGTTGTTGAAACAAACAAAGTTCGAATGAAACGGATAATTATGGAATTTTGGAAAACTGTATATAACGAATTTTATTTCTTCGTTTCTTCTTTCTAGTAGCTAAGCGAATGAATTAATAAAATTTTTTTCTTATTGAATAAAAGAGAATTGAAATTCGTTGGTCTGAAAACTGTTGCCGTTTGGGCCTTTTGGGCAGCTCTGTATAAAGCTCTATATTTGAATCATGGTCAAAAATCATCATGAATGCTTCTTCTTTTTCCCATTCTGTAATTTTCACACACAATCACCCTCCGTCCCTATCTCTCTCTCTCTCTCTATTTCTGTACTAACCGTTACACAATTTCACTTAATCGTTTTCCATTTTTATGTATTTTTAGCTAAACTTTTGCAGATCGCGTTACTGAAGCGTGTTCCCTTTCTAACCCACAAGCTAAGAACGAATAACTGTAAACATAACCAAAACCCAAAAACAGAAACAGAAACAAAAATAATAACTAACTAACTAACAAAGAAACTAACTAACCAACCAAGCAACCAACCAACCAACCAACCAACCAACACATCCGCTAGATATCCAAGTCGGTTGGTCTATGGGCCAAAGCTATCGTAGCATCTAATTTTCTAGAGCAAAGAAACCATAAATTAAAAGTTAAAAAAAGAAAAAAAAAAAACAATTAATACAGACACCACAGAAACCAAATCCTGGCATTAGGCAGGCGCTGAAACGAAAGTTCAAAACAAATTAAAATCTCTCAGTTCATCGTAGTAACTTGTATGGGAACCGACAGTCGAATGCGTATAATGTAGTTTGAGAGAATGTATTTTTGGTAAGCACAACACGTAACAAAAATTTACAAAATTAGTATTTAAAAAACCCAAAATTTTATAACAATAAGAAACCAATCACTCAAACGCATACAACAGAAAGGATCGTGTCGAGCGGCGATAAAGTGTTGAGAACGTGGTCATCCAATTAAGTCCATCGCACTTGCGTTCGCCACCAAAGCCGCAACCGTGGGAACAAGCATTAGAGGCGCATTTAAAGAGGCAGGACGAAGCAGGATAGCCTCAGCTGTAGCCATTGGAGGGGAGGGAGCACGTGCTACGTCGCCGTCTCGTCAAATGATGTTAGACGTCAAGAAGACGAGAGGTGGTGCGTTTCACAAAGTTCCAGCAGCGTCCAAACCACAGGCAGAGTCGAGCGCGAACAGCGCGTCACCAGCAGCGACAACAGCAACGACAGCAACAACAATTGCTTCAGCTGTGAACAGTGCCCGAACAGTAGCCGAGGAGCGTTCACAACAGCAAACGCAGCCACAACAATCGCACCGCGGTGTCATCAAGTTGCCCAAAACTAGTGGCACGGCATTGAGGCCAGGGGCAGGCAAGGCGCCGATAGCGACGGTTAAGTACAGCGGTGGCGCTCCTGGTGCAGGCAGTGCTGTAGCTGCAGGTGGAGGTGCTGGCTCTGGTTCTGGTACTGGTACTGGTACTGGCAATCCTGTGCGTCTGGCCAATCAAAAATTCTTTCTCTTGCCCACCTTCAAGGATCCCAGCTTTCTAAAGGACGAGTGTGAATTGGCGCATGCACAACTCACGGGAGCCAGCAATCACAGTCATAGCCACAGTCATAACCACAGCCACAACCACAGCCACAGCCACGGCCGTAGTCACAGCACCGCAGCGGCTAATCAGAGCAACCAGCCGGCACACGGAAAGCATCCCAAGATACTGCTTAAGAGATCCAAGGCGAGCAACGGCAGCGTAGGTGGCGACGATAACAAGAACAACAACAACAACAACAGCAACAATAATAATACAAATAGTAATAGCATTGGCGGAAGTCGCCACTCCAAGGGGATAACAACAAGCAGCAGCACAGCCAGCAAAGCATTGGTAGCCACCGGCTCCAGCTCGGCGCCTGCATCGGGCGTCCTACTGAATGGGATGCGTCGTCCCGCTACACTCAATGGCAATCAAACTGTTGGCGCTAATCATCGGCTTCCGAACGGAACAGGGACAGGAACATCATCATCATCAGCAGCAGCTGGAGCAACAGCAGGAGGAGCAACCGCTGGCAGTGGCAGCAGTACAGCCAACACAACCGTCCACAGAATTGACATTAAATATAATAACGCTCCAGTCTCCGGGAGTCGCTCCAAATTTCAAACATCAACAACACCTTTAACGCCTCCAAAGCTGCAGCCAAAAGCGGTTGCTAGTTCAACTAATCTAGCTGATAATTTGATAAGCGGCAAGGTGAAGTCGTTGAGCGGCAGCAACAGTCACAGCAACAGCAACAACAACAACAGTGCCGTCTCCTCCGTCATGAACAACAATAATAATAATAACAACGGAAATAACAATATGCAGCAGCAACAGAATCAACAACACGACGACATAACTTATATCGATAGCGATGAGATGCCCCCACCAAACGCTGTATCGAGCATCGACAGATCGGGAGGCACTGCACCAGGTGGGGGCGGGCCTTCAAGGTCTGGCATTGCCTACTTTAAGCCCATAACGCCACCAATGCAGCTGCGAAGCGTCCAGCAGGGATACAACCACGAGCGCAAGCTAGGTCGCAGTCCCAGACCCAAGTCCACGATCATCTCCTCGAACAATTCGAATTTTGCCGCCAACTATGAGAAGTTCAATGGCAGTTACAAGAATGCCAATGGCGAGCAGCGCGAGAATAACAGCGGCGGCGGGAGTGCCGGGAGTGGGGGTGGAGGCTATAACCCTCGTTGGTATGGCATCGATTCCCTTAGCATTAAGGCCTCCATAGAGAAGTTCAATAATCTAAGCAAGCAGAAGCGCATGCCACCATTGCGCTTGACAACAACTACACAGTCGGGAACGGCGGGAACGGCAGCCGCGTCATCTGGAGGAGGAGTTGTAACCGTTGCCGGACGAGGTGGTGAAGCCGAGCATGCCACCACTGGCAGTAGCAGCAATTTACAACAACGCTATAGCAGCGATCTGGATACGGTGACTCGGATGGCGGCAGGCTATAGTAGTTCGCTGACGCGAGCGACTTATCGCAATAGTGGGAGCAGCACCACTCATGGCACATCTGTGGGTCGTCTGGCCACGGCTATGGTTACCAATGTGCCGGCACCATCAATGACCACAGCTGTTGTGGCGCCTATCAGTAAAACCGGTCGCGCCACCAGCGGCCTAGTCTTGCAGAATGGATGTGCTGCAAAATATGCGCGCAATGCCCACAGCTATGAGAACGGTGGAGCGGGAGTATCAACCAGCAGCGGCGGTTGTAACAACACGGTCCAACAGGAATGTGCGGCAACTACATCGGGACATGCAATGTCCATGGTAACGCTGCCAAACACACTCACTACCGCCAGCAAGGTAAAACAATGCTCCGCCTCTTCCTCCACCAACTCCACAACCACCACAGCCAACACCACCACCACTAGCAACAGCCATAGCCATAACCATAGCCACAGCCACAGCACTTCCAACAATGATTGCGGGTATTCTTCCACAATAACAACTTCGTCGTCATCGTCTGCCTCCGTCTCCGTCTGCGCTGCCACCTCGTCCTCGGCGTCCAGCACATCGACACCGAGCGACTGTGTAAGTGTGTCGCGACCAGCAATCTCTCTCTCTCTCTTTCTCTCTCTCTTCTACTGTCTTATTTTCTCTTGTCTTTTTGTTCCGTTCAAAAACAACTACCTCCTATTCAATATCTTGAGGTTATCTCAAGTAGCCATCTATACTCGTATATCTTCTACCTCATTTTCATTAGCACCTGTTGGCACCTTTATTCCCCGGCTCTATTTTTTATTAGTTTTTCTGAGTAGCATTTTGGAAGTAGGCGAAAGAGGAAGTGTCTTAATTTTTCGTATTGGATTTCATTTGTTATCGATAAATGGTTTCTGTACTGTACGCCAGTTTTGGTTGGTTTCTTGCTCAGTCGCTTATTTGTGTCTCTCCCACGCTTAGAATTCTCTCTCTCTCTCTCTCTCTACCTCTTTCTATCTTAACACTTAAGCAATTGTTTTTCGCTTCTTTATTTATGGCTATGTTTGTTTGTTTGTTGCCAATTGCGCTTGTGTTTGTCGTTTTGTATTTAAGTTGGTTTGCGAAAGCATGCTTTAATAGACTCATCTAATCTCCTCGCACACATATGTACCTATCATTAAAATAAATACCCCATAAAACCACCAACACAAAAACACTCTTCAATCCATTTAAAACATTCATATTCCTCTTTTTCTAATGCTCGATCGCTCGTCGCTTTCGATTACTAACCAAAAAAACAAAAACAAGATAACACTTTTCGAGTTAATTAACGTTGTTGAACACTGAACGCGCACAGCTTTAAGCCCAACTTTGTTCAAATTCTGTTTGGCACCGAGAAGAAATGTCAGTCAATAAAATTTGAACAACTGTGGTAAAAGCTTTGGGCGCCTTTAACCCCTACATAGACTAAACTAATTGAATTTTATTTTGCAAACAGGCGCGTCATGGCACAAGCTCTGCACGCTCTTCGGCAATGCCGCCGGTGTCGCCTACGCCTAGTCGTTACGGCAATGCCTCGACGTCCATCATCGGCTCAACTGTGCTAAGCAGCTCCAACAAGCATAATATCAACAGCGGCCTTGACGATGCCTACAAAAGTGCGCGCGACGAGAAGTCTGAAGGTGGGTAATGGGGGGAATCGTTGACCCCAGAATATGTTTTAGAGCAGGCCACGCACAATTTGTAACTACATAGGGTAGTTGAAATTGAAATTTGCTGTGCTGTATTCACCGCATCCTGCCAGGAAGGACTTGGATCACCAGGAGCACTCTCCAGTTCCACATTGCATGGTTCGCGAATGCCACACGCTGTTCCACCACCACGAACGTCGATTGCGGGCCGACGTGAATTGGAGAGTGCAAAAAATGGCCAGTCCCATTCCATTGCCCTTCTACAGAACTCCTTCCGATATTAAACGATTTCTTCTTTCTTCCTTGTTCAATTACATTCCACAGGTCTCTGCGGTCTACGAAATATTGGCAACACATGCTTCATGAACTCTGTCATTCAGTGTCTAAGCCACACCACAGAGCTGACACGATTCTTGCGTTCACATCATGGTACACGCACGGGCGCCACCAAGGATCAGTTGATCTTAAACGGTTAGTGATTGATGAAAATATTATTGATAATATAATCATTGTTGTGGCATTACAGAATTTGCCAAACTCATACAGGAAATGTGGACTGCGAATGTGCACAGCGTGACGCCCGTGGAACTGAAGCGGGCCTTCTCGACAAAACATCGCATGTACAGCGATTACAATCAGCAGGATGCGCAGGAGTTTCTGCGATTCTTCTTAGACTCTCTGCACTCCGCCCTAAACTCGGGTGTCAAGGGTGAAATGCTGAACATTGACGATAATCTCAGGTAGGTTTTGAAAGAGAAATACATAATTACTTTCTGGTATACCAGACTAACGAATATTATCGTGTTGCACTTCAATTGCAGTGACAATAAGAAGGCCGATTTGACCTGGGAGTGGTATGCACGCCATGAGAATTCGCTGATACGCGATCTATTTGTGGGTCAATTGAAGAGCACCCTAAAGTGCACAACTTGCGGAAATACAAGCGTCACATTCGACCCCTTCTGGGATCTGAGTGTGCCGTTACCCTCGTCGTCGCGTTGTAAGCTGGATGCGTGCCTAGATCTTTTCATACGCGAAGAGGTGCTGGATGGGGATGAGATGCCCACATGCTCTAAATGCAAGACACGACGAAAATGCACCAAAAGTTTTACCATACAGCGTTTTCCCAAATACCTGGTTATACGTAAGACAAACAGCATTGGGGAAATACATTCTCCAGTATATGAATTAAAAACTTATTTTTGTTTTAGATCTCAAACGCTTCTCCGAAACACGCTGGAGCAAATTATCGAATATTGTTGAGTTTCCCACAGGAGATCGTGAACTCAATATGGGCTCATATGGCGCCAACTTGAATTCAAATGTGCATTATTCGCTTTATGCGATATCCAATCATATGGGTAAGATAAAAATACAAGTGAAAACATTTCGATTGTTAATTCTTTAGCTTCGATTACAAATTGTGGGGTTAGCCTTTGCTGTTTTTGTTCACGAATTTCAGTACTGATATGATAGAAACTATAATTGTTGCATACACATAGATATCCAGAAGCCAAGGTAAATTATAGCTGCATATATAGAAATATAGATTTTCGGTATCGTATGAACCCAGGACGCTTATAATTTAAGAAGGAAATTTAATTATTAGATACATAAATTTTTATTCAGTTTATAGTAAAAAAGGACAGTTTGGAATTAATACATTGATGGAAAGAATGGGAATTGGGTGTAGGGGCTAGTAGTCTAATTTTTTTTGTTAAAGAGTTATATAGAAGAGTAGTTTGAATGTTAATATTGTCCCAGGAAAACTGAGATATATTGCATGCCTGAAGAGCTGCGTTGCGAGTTCTTCAATTCGGTTACAAATCGTTATTCTATATGTAATATGTAGGTTTCATTTATGGCAGTACTTGACTGTGTAAATAATAAGTTTTGGAGTTTGCATTCACATAACTCTGTGTTTTTTGCAGGCTCGACGGCTGGTGGTCATTACGTGGCTCTCTGTAAGCATCCAGTATCACGGAAGTGGCACGAATTCAATGACAACATGTATGTGGAAATTTGTAATGTAATTACATTAGATTTATTAACGCCGCACTCTCTCTCTCTCTCTCTGTTCCCAACAGTGTCAGTGATGCCTTGCCTGAAAACTATCTCGTTTCATCCAGTGCCTATATACTTTTCTACGAACGTGCGTAAGGGTAAAAAGAACACAAACCAATTAACTAACAAACCAACCAACCAGCATTGTAAAATGCACAGTAATATGAAAAACAGCAACAAAATCTCCCCCTTTTTAGTGACGACGCATCGTAGAATTGCATAAAACTTAAACTAAAAGAAATTAAAAAAAAAAAATAGCAAAACTAACTCAACAAAACGAGAAAATTCAGCAACGGCGATTAAAAAAACACGGAAAGAAAATCTATTTTGATGCAATAATCTATTTTGATTCAATAATATTTATAATTGGTATGCATCGGCCATAATGATTGATGTTGAATGATAAAGAAACTGTATATATAAAAACAAAACGAAATTCGATGCTAAAGGAAAAATCAAGTTAATGAACATGAATATTTTGTGTAAACTCCCGGCAAACCAAACAGCGAACATCTCTAAAAATTTTGATGCGCAGCAGAGAAAATGCTTTAGTAATAATAATAACAACAACAACAGCAACCACAGTAGCAGCAGTAGCCAGCAACTGCAACAAAACCTAAATTTGTTCTGCATTTCTTTGCCATCATTTTCTATCATTTTCCGACATTTTTGGCTAACTAGTTCTAAATTGACTTGTCACTTTGTTAGAGAGAATTACCAAAACCAAAAATAAGCTGTCTTTTGAAATATTTATTGTTAATTGTTGACAGGCGTAGCCATCTATCTCGTTTATGTGTTGTTGCTTATTAAAAACAGAAATAATAATAATAAAAATAAAAAAAAACAGTCAATCCTTATATTTTTGTATTCAACTAAATTTTTATTTTGGTTTGCCGAGAGCTGTGTCATGTGGTTGTGTAACAAAAAGAATGAAATATGTACTAATAACTTTATTAAAATTTTCTTCTCTGCGCAATATAAACTTCATTCAAATTGTTTAATAATAAAGTAAACAAGCAAAAGCGATCAGCTGCTACTTGAAACTATCTGATTGAGAAACTGATGACCAGATAATCAATCGATTGAACTACATATTTATAAGCATGAAAATCGCGTACAAGAGCGCAGCACCACGAAAAAACACATTCTAAAAATAAATGAGAGAAACAACAAAACTACATACATTTAAATGTAAAACTAATTAAATTTAAATAATGACTAGCAAAAGGAAAAAGCTTTTAGCAAAATAATAGTTATAAACACAACAAAAAACAAAAATGTTAAACAAAACAAAGTGACGAAAATGAATGGCAGTTGCAAGAGAAAGTTGCATTGCGAAACGTACTTATGATAAATGCTAATACTAGTAAAAAATATATATATATAATGAGGAAACAATAAGAACAACAAATACAAATAAAAACAGTGCAACCGTTCTTTGTTATAATATATATATTTTTTTTTGTTGTTTTGTTTTTACATATATTTTTTATTTTCATAATTACATAAAATAATGCCGCATGCTATGTTCGTTTTGAAAACCAAACTAGTCTCAAAGTTATATATATATATAATATACCATATATGAATGAATGAAGATAGAGAGGGAGAAAGAGCTACTTAATGCTATATACTTATGTTAGATGATGATTGTTAAATTCATTTTAAATTGAAACCACACTTTTTATTTAATTATATGTATATGTATGTGTTTCATATGTTATTATGCTTATTTATGATTTACCGTACTCTACTCCCGAAATACCTGCCACCACCACAAATATTTTGTTAAAACCTCTCGACTTAATTTCAAACTATTTTGTTGCCCGTTTTATTTATAAAATATATATATTTATTTATTTATTGTATTTATGTAAATGACATATACAAAAAAAAAAAAAGCAAATACACAGACACACACAAACTCGTATATAGAGAAATATAACAGAATTGAATATACATTTGTATGTACATAATGTTAGAGAGCGAGAAAATTAAACACTACACTCACAAATACACAGAGAGCATATATAAAAAGAAGTCAAGCCACATAAGTTATTTGTAAAAGAAAGGAAACATCAACTACTCTATATATTTTTTTCTGGCTTAACTATTAGTTAAAAATATAATTGTTGGATATTTTACTAACGTTAAAAAAAAACACAAAAAATAAAATGCAAAAATAAATTCATAAACAAACTGTTGTTTCTTTGGGTATATGCAAGCACTAAAATATATATGCAGCATGAAATAAAACGCTAAAATATATTTGAATCAGAACTATCGTTTTATTATCACCGATAAATAGCCGATAAGTGCTGCGAGGGTATATCGGTTATCAGACGTTTTACGGAGCTCATATCGAATTGATAAATAAAAAAACGCTTTTTAAAGCTCATCACGAAATTTATGGTATTGTTTTTAACGACCAATTCGAAAAGTTATTGTTTTTACAACTTTTATAATTACAGTTACAAAATATAAATTACATATGTATGCATTATGTATGCTGTAGCGGCATGCCCTCCCTTAGTGGGGTCTAGTGTGTGGGTGTGTGTGTGTTTGTATGTGCCTGTGTGTACGTGCTCCTTGACATGCACGCGGCAGCCAACAATTTCGTAACTAAGAAAAACTACATACATAGGTATTTTAACTATTACAAAATATATATGTTTCCTTTCATCAGATGCATTATGCGCGTGTATGGGCTTTTATCTTTCGGCATGCGTCTGGCGGCATTAGCATTGAGTGTTGATCGCATGGTTTTAAAGTGTGGATTAAGGACATTGAAGAGCACCAACGCCGACGCATACAGAGCGACAAGCAACAGTTTAACAAATAACATAACAAGCCAACTGAACGACGCCTGCAAGCGCCCATGCCCAACGCCAGCAATGGCAGCGCACTAGCTTTGTGGGCGGAGGCGACGACAATAGCGCCTCTGCCTCGCCATCATTTGTGATTTGATTGCGAAGACTCGTCCTTCTCGGCCTTGTCAGCTTTGGCACTAGCCCGCGTTGCCTTCTTATCTTCGTACATTTTCAAAAGTTGACTTTTGCTGGGTATGGGCTTAATGTGGCCAGCCTGAACAAGATACTTGATGGACACCGTAGTGCCCCCTGCCGACGCAAATAAACAAACATATGTATATAGTCGCATATAATCGATATTGGACTTAGTTTCAAGCTTACCCAATGTGAGTGCATATCGCAGTGGCGTGGCTACTTTATAGCAAAGATAGGCAATGGCATAGTGTCCCATGTCGGAGCCCTGCACCTTCTCAATGATTGTCTCACTGAGATGTACATATTGCAACAATGCGGGCACATCGACACCGCTAGAATGTATAAATGGATATTAAGTGTAGTCAGCTATGAATCATATTGTGGCTTACCTCTTAGATAAATAGTAGAAACCGCCAAACCAACCAACTGATGTCAACACATGAACTGGTATAAGCACGTACCAATACTGTTTATACATATGCTTGAATTTAGCAAATAATCCCATGTTAGCAGACTCCCCAAAAAGATCGGCAGCTGCTGTGGACGAGGATTTGGCGTCCGTTTTGTTGGCACAATGGGCGGAGGATTTTGTGCTGAGGCGTGCATAGTTGCGGCATTTGATAACAAGCTGTTGTTGCTGTTGCAATGCCAACATAAACGCATCGCGTTTATTGCCCTTGTCATAGTTGTTGTTGTTGTTGCGGCCCAATAATCCAACGCTAAGGCATCTAGCAGTGAGACTGGATCTTGCTGTGTGCGTTGCCTGCAGTAGGCGCAGGAAGCCGAAACCCAATGTGCGCTGTGGAGCGCTGAGTAGACGTAGGCGTGTTAACAATGCAACCGTTACCATAACCATGGCTGCTGCTCCAGTTCTTAAAATTTTGTATACACACAACCAATACACAACACAGGCAGTGCCGCTTGCTGTTTTGTTTTGTTGACAAATCAAAAATGTGTATGTCTACTGTGGATGTTGTAGGTTTTCAGCTTGATAAGGTTTTATGAAACGACTAGGTTATTTGTAAATTTGTGCTTTTTTCAACTATTTGTATGTCGACCGGCACAATTATCAGCGATTTCTCTTTCGTATTGCGTGGAGCTTTGTGGCAACTCTACAAGAAATCAGCTGATCTGCTTAACCGCAACACGTGTGTTTACATTTAGTTGGCAACGCAACACTGACAGCTGTGAGGATGGACATGGACGCCGAGGACCAAAAGTTGGAGCCAACGTCTGTCAGTCTTAGCAATTGTCCGGGCACAACGCCCGCTAAGCCTCTCAGCAAAAACCAGGCGAAGAAGGCAAAAAAATTAGCCGAATATACGGAGCAACGCAAATTGCGGCGGGCAAAGGAGCGCGAACGCAAGAAACAGAAGCGTCAATTGGCCAAGGAGCAAGGACTGCCGATACGTGTCGGTCCCTCACGCAAGGAGCTCAAACGGCGTCAAACGAGCGTTGCCCCCAATGCCCCCGCCATTACTGTGGCCATCGACTTGGATTATGATGAGCTAATGCAGGAGCGCGACATAGCCAAGTGTGTGAAGCAGTGCCTGCGCATCTACACTATCAACCGACGTTCGGCACAGCCGTGTCGCCTCCACTTCACAGGCATCAAGCGCAATGGGCACATACACGAGTCCTTCAAAAAGAATGATGGCTGGGAGAACTGGAATGTTAGCTATCATTTCGATAGTGATCACACACAGCTGTGCGACAAGGCGCAGCTGGTTTACTTGACATGTGAATCCAGCACAGTGCTGGACAAACTGCGTCCTGATCTCACATACGTGATTGGTGGCCTGGTGGATCACAATCATTTTAAGGGCTTATGTCACAAACGGGCCACAGATGCTGGCTTGGCCACTGCACGCTTGCCGCTCAGCGAGCATGTAGATATGAAGACGCGTTCCGTCCTCAGCACGTACCATGGTGAGTAAAAAAGCTACTACTTCTGCATATGAACTCATAAATTATCAAATTAGTTGAAAAAGGCCGAAATTTATATTAGAATTCAACTTCAAAATATGGAGAATCCATGAGCTGGAATTTATTAGAAAAGATTGTCCCGAAAATTGAAAAGATTGATTGAAGATTGAAAAAGCTTAGTTTTGGAAATACATGCATTTTTTATTTGTATAGCTTTTATATATCTTAATATATAATATGCATTACTCTCCGCTTCCAGTGTTTGAGCTTCTCACGCGCGTGGCCTCGGATCAGCCATGGACGGATGCAATTCTGGCCACGATTCCTTTGCGGAAGGGCGCCAAGGCCAAGGCCGTGGGAAAGGAGACTGAAGAACCTGAAGCTACTACAATAACAACCAGCTGTGAAGCCATAGCTAAAACTGAAGAAACGGCTGATACTCTTTTAACGATTCCAAATGATGATGACCTTAGTTGACCTTGACCTCTGTGTTGAACAAAAGCATCTGACGATATCGAAATTTATTGGAGGTCTTTTTGATTTTTATTTTAGTTTCTTTTGTTTTATAAAATCACATTTAGTTTTGTTTTCGCAAATAAAATTACAACTTAAAATATATTTAGCAAAAAAATATTTATATATGTATATATATGTATATTGAACTCAATATGATGTGCCGGGCGGTAAGCGACAAAAGTCGCACGTAAAACGCTGGCGCTGGGCACATTATACGATGAAATCGGTAGAACCGACCTAAGTTTCATAAATGTATTTAATTTTGTTTAGATTGTGAGCCTAGTTTCAATTTTGTGTGGGGATTGTTGGGACTGTTCAGTTAAAGCAGCTTAATGCAACTATATTGGGGGCATAGCAACAATGCACAGTTAAATATGTGTATGATATATACATATATATATATATCTATATATTTATGTATATGTACAGTTATTGCATTATTTGTTTTTGTTATTCCATTTAAATTACATTCAATCATGAAATTCTTAAACACAGATTTAACTTCAATAAGTAATTGACAAGCACAAACAGATCAAATCGGCAGAAAGTTACGAAACCTAAAATACAAATTTGTGTATTTCTTTTCTTTTTTTTTTTTAAATATAATTTCAATTAATTCGAACTCATTCATTTTCAGCTTCGCATAAAACTAGTGAATATATATGTATGTTTTTTGTCCAGTTAGTGAAAGAGATAAAGAAGTAGTAGCGTTCATACATATATATATGGCGTGTAAATCTCTAAATGTTCCAGAGCTTTTTATCAAACGGTTTTACGACCGACCAGAGACCAGCTTGACTTTTTATTGGGTCCTTTTTTGTTGTATATACTTGTATATATATATTTATATGTGTGTGTATATGTATGTAGTTAAGTTATAGTATGTAATACACTTTAGTGCAGTCCGGACGTCGGGCGGATGCACGAGGGCGACACACATGATATTTACTTGAAATCATCCGATTCGAGTATTTCAAAGTCACTCTCATCCGATGAGTCCAGAGCAGTGACTACACGATGTTTCAGGGCTGCATCTGTGGTGTCCACAGAGCCAGGACCGGCGGCGCCACCAGGACCCCACTGCGCCAGACCTGAGATCAAGCTGGGCAAGATTTTGCTGCTGTTGGCGAGCAGGGCCTGGGTTTGGCTTTTCACCGCCAGCGCCAAGAGATCACTAACCTCACCTGAGGACGACGTTGACGGTATTGCCGCCTGGTGTGTCGCCTCGCCAGCGTTCAGCTGCCGCAGTGCCGGAGCACTTGCGTCGACGCTTGTGTGATCAGGAAATTGCAAGCCCTTGGACAAACTCTCTTCCGACGATGACGACGTGGTGGACAACGATGAGTCTCGCTTGAAATGCCCCTTGCGAAACTCAATAGGATTGGGATTGGCGGCTGCCTTTGCGGCCTCGGGACTCGGCTGTTTCTCATATTCAAGTGCTGACTGCTGTCCCGATGTAAGTTGTGTTTGTTTCCGCGCTGTCGGAATTAGCTCATCATCCTCATCTGTTGAATGCTCATCGATTTCGGGTATGCGATCTGGTATGAGCAGCTCTGAGGGTATTTCATCGCTGCGTTCCTCCTCATCGTCCGCATCGGTGGGTGAACTGATGGTCGCCACATTGCTGGCACGTTCCAGCACAAATAAATTCGATTCGGTTGCATCGGGCATGAATTCGTCCTCTAGCTCGGCTTCGGTGCTATTGTAGTTGAGCTTCTCGGACCATTGGAAGTCTGCAACGACACGGGTTAGTTTTATTTATGTACTTTTTTATTTATTTATTTTTTTAAATTACAACAAACATTCAAATAAAGAGCATGGCTTGCATTTCTTGTACATTGCAATGAAAGGGAAAATAAAGAGTGCAGTGGGTTTTATAAAAATCCAAAGATGATTTCTTTAGCTCATCATAGATTTGGACTACAGAAGCTTCAAACATACATACGTACATATAAACACAGAATTTTATTTAAGAGACCCTCTAAACAGTTGTCAAGAGTCTTAATGACAGAGTCCTAGTATATGATCCCCAATACTTTTTACAACTGATCATTTCAGATGGTTTGTGGTGGAAAATATTCAATTAATGCGTAAAGATTTCTTTCATCGAAACAATCGAAAAAACTCGTATTCCCCCTTTTTGGCAGAAACTAAACAGTTGGTTCTATGGCAGCTGTCTAGTAGTGGTGTGATTCCAATGTTTTGATCAGCACTGAATAAAATAAACGATTGATGGCACTAACTTTTCTAGCCATATCTTGGAAACAATAAACTGAATATTCTACGAAATGCTGGAAATGCTCTTTTCTATCCATCTATCTAAGGTTTATGACGCTACTCACCTTTGTGTTCGATTTTTAATAATTTAAAGTTGTATTTGGTCGAAATTAGGGCCGAGAGAACCAGCAATGTTAGCACCAGGGTGGACCCAGATATCAGATGGCCGAGTATGGCAAGTGTGCCCAGGCACCCGCTGCTCACCAAACAGAACATGGTCGGGGAATTGCGTTTCCAGTCGCTGGCGCGGTGAAGCCAATTCTCGTATTTGTGTCGCAGCTCCGGGGTCAGTACTATGCGAAAACTGCAGCGTGTCCAATAGAGCCAATAGCTGAACAGACCCAGGAATAAAACTCCAAGCGGTCGCACCCTGCAAGCAACACAGAGAGAGGGAGAGAGGGGATAGAGGAGGCGATTGTAGTAAATAGATTCGCAAGGTGGAGCTTCAAAATGAACTGAAGGTTATGGCGGGTGGTTGGTAACTGAGGCCAGCACTCCCTCGGAGACTACAAGAAAAAGTTTGGCAAACGCGCGAATTCAACTAAACGTGGTTTGTTCATAATTATTGATAGCTGGCTAATGATTGTTAAACAGGGCAAAAAAAAGCAACAACAACCACATATGAAAGGCATGTGGTTGTTGTTGCTGCTTCTTTTTTTGGGCATCACAAACATGTTCGAGCAGGAAGCAAGCTCAGCTGGCTGTCTGGCGTCTCCTATGAGTTCTCGAAGCTGGTCAAACAAGTGTGTTCGTCGTCGTTGTTTGCCGCTTGTCGTATGCATATTTCTTTTAATTGTGCCTTCAGACGTTCTGAACTTCAAAAATGTTGAAAAATTCCGCTCAGCTAAGCTAAGCAGCAGCTGTGCACAGTGATTTAGAAACTGTGCATTAAGTTCTAGTTCTTTGAATAAAATTAAAGTCCGATTGTTTCCTCTTTTATATTGATATGAACTACAAACCTCTAAAGATCTTTCACTGTTCGCTGTGTTTTACAAATCCATTACCTCACAGAAAATGACGCGATTCCATTTAAACTATATTAGCTTTCCTTAAAAAACGGATGTTAATGCGGTCTTTAGTTTGGATTAAATGTTCGAGTTTAAAACAGATTTCCATATAAAAAGAAAAAGGTCATTTAGAAGAAAACATCAACCAGTAAAATGATTGGGATCAAATTTTAGAATGTTATTAAAATACGTTATTAGGATATAAGAAATGTGACGAAGTGTTTGCAAAATCTTTTCGATTTTTCTCGATTTTTAATTTCGTAGCCAACCTTCAATTGAACTATTATTTTTCGTAGTTCACAAATGATCAATTATGGGTTTTGATCACCCAAATTAAGGTAGCTTGTTACTAATATTAATTAATATTTAAAAGAACAAGCTGTTTCCGCACTTAAGTTTTGGAAAGTAGCTCCTTGTAGTGTCACGTGAATAATTTTTTTAATTTACGTTAATCTTTTCAGTTGTTTATGCAGATTTTCGATGTTTAATTATCCTTTAAGCTTGGCTTAATTATAACTAACTTGGAAGTAATTTCTATAGAGTCTTTCTCGGAAAAGAATATTAAAACAAATTATATTACAAAAAAGAGAATACTATGTTGGTCCATATTGTATTGCTAAAAAGCGCATGGTACTTATATGTATGATTTGTAGTATTGGTTCATTTTTCTAGTTTTTTAGTTGCTTTTAAAAGCAAGTACATATAGTATGTATGTAATTCATAAAAACTTTATCAATTTTTTTTAAATTTATTGCAAATTGCTTGCCTGTCTACACGTAGATTTGGTGTGACAATGAATGCAAACATTTTTAAGCTGTAACTCCAACCCTGTGACTTTAATTAGATACTGATATGAGTTGTCCGAAGAACTTAATGATGCTGGAACCATAAATTTGCCACCACTGTGCGGTGGCACCAACTACGACTTGATGGTTGTTATTTGGTTGCCTAGCAATTCGCATTGTGTTTACTTTGCCTTAAATCTTACATACATACATACATACATACATACATACATACATACATACATACATACATATGTATATTCATATACACGTGTATATGCATGCATGTATGTATGTGTGTGTAGCTGCCGTCGCCATCTACTTGTTTTGCTTTCAAAACTGTCTAATTAATTATCATGGCATTTGTTTTGCGCAGCCAATTCGCACTTTGCACTTGATTAGTTGCCACTCGCAGCGCGACAAAACGGTACAAAGTAACGGGCGGGCAATTAAACAAAATAAAAAATTTAAAAACCCGAAATTTAAATCGGGATTCCTTCATATTGCACAAATGGCAGAGCAATCAGCTGATAAACTTGAATCGTGGGTAGCGTCAGAATTTGGCAGACAGAAAGCTAAACAACCTTACCTCTCTAGTTAAGGGCACTCGGATTGTATTTACATACATACATATGTATGTACAGGTGTGTGTGTATAAACAAGTAGGTAGGTGTGTGTGGAGGCATTGGAAGTAAACACTTTTGATCTCATTTGTGTTTACAGCTGACCACTGATAATAACAAGAGAGAACGCTATAGTCCATCAAGACCGAAAGTGAAATACCCTATTCTCAGACAAACCTACTAGCGTAAAATAGTTTTACTAATAATTTTTCTTAGACTTAACAAAACTAGATAATTGTATACAGATTACAAGAGCACAGTTTGGATTTTGAAATATGGACAGTTTTGATGAAATTCTGTAGTGTAGAGAATGGGCATCAGAAAATTAAATTAAGCTCGTGTTGCCTTAGGAATAGGAGCATCTACCCAGTTTGGTTGATGTGCGCTCAGCCGTTTTTGAAATTCAGGCGTTCATTCAGACGGACACACGGAAGGACATGTCTAGATCGATCTAGATCTAGACGGTCATGCTGATTAGGAATATATGTATATACTCTATGGGGTCGGAGATGCTTTCTTCTTCTACTCTGCACAAACCTTATACATAGTATAAAAATGTGATTGTGATTTTGCGTCCTCTCCTCCCACTTCAATTAATTTCTAATTTCATTAGCGGTGGGCAGGTGTTGGCAATTCTAAAAAAAGAAACTGACCTCCCGCTTCGTTTTTCCCGCAATTGGATTTCAAAAACAACCAGGTTTGACGGGAAAAAGAGTCTACACACCGAGTTTTATCAACGTGGCGGACAAACTAACGGACATGTCTAAATCGTAATAAAAATATATACTTTAAAGTGTCGGGGTCAATAGAGGCCATACCTAATATTAATTAACTATTTTTTATTGAAGCGATATTAACGTTGCACTTAAATCAAATAGTTCTTAAACAAAGTGTCTTGTAATTATGAAACGGTTTTGTATGGCTTTATGGTAAAAATATTAGAGAAAGCCAAAATATTTAGGGAATGGGAATGGTTGACGATCTAACCAAACCAGCAGATTAGCTTAGAGCTCGATTTCGCTGAATTAGTTCTTCCAAATCGAAAAATGTTGGTTTAGTTTAATCGTAATGGGAAATAGAAAATTTAAAATACTGTTATTACCTTCACTTTTAATAATGTTTGTTTCAAAAAGAATCAGAATTCCCAAAAATGTTTTTATAAGCAATGCTATGCCTTGATCATTTTCAATGTTTATATAAATATTTAAAAGTTTTTACATTTTCGTGAAGCTTTCGTTTGCTTCTCTTTTAACCAAAGCTTCGTTAAAAATGATGAGGTAATGAGTGACCAATTTCCAAAAGCAGCGGATCTTGCGACTGGGCTTATACAACTGATATCAAGATTTTTTAAAGCTGTCTGATTAAATTCCTTCCTTCCAATTTTTGCTTATAAGACAAAAATAATCAAACTAAACATCTTCCGTATGTTTCAGTAAACTATTTAAAAGCCAATGGTCGAAGTTCGCGAGTTAAATAATTTATACTAGCTATAAAACCGATTGTAGCATTTTTTCTAATGCCAAGCTTCATTTGTGTTAAAATATAAAGCTTCTGCTATATTTCCCCTTAGTGGGCAGAGGTTGACAAAAACTTCCCATAGGATTTAAAGGAAACATTTCATTGAAGGTAGCTAAATCTTTTTTGAAGTTTTTAACTCAATCGTTGAATCATTACATTTTTATCGAAAATTGTTTAATACTTGTATACAAACAACGCATCTGTGTGCCTAACAGCATCAACTATACATTTCAGAATCATCTATAGGTATACATACGAGTATATACTATTATATGAGCTAATATGCATGTACATAGATAGTCGCATACTCATACATACGATATTTTTGCCAATCATTTTGGCCATTAACATTCGTTGCTGTTGTTGTAATGGGAACATATCGTACCACAGAAGCTGTGTTCAAATTATTTATTTCCCTCTTTCTTTTTTATAGTTAATTGCGCCATACAAAATTGTATAAATGCTGAAGGCTGGGCTGGGATGGTTGGTGGCCCACATGGAATGACATTTTTATAAATGCACATCCACATATATACATATGTATGTATGTATGTACGTACGTAAATAAAAAGCCCGACCAACAACGAAAATGACAACACAAACCCACAAAAGCAGCGAAAAATGCACGCGTCTCTGTTCTCAAAATGATGGGGATGGGCAGGCCAAAACGAAGGTGTAAGGCACGTACAGAATGAGACACAAATAAGTGCGAGTACATACATATATATGTACATATATCTATAAAAATATTTGTATATATGTATGTGTGTGCGTGAATGGGATAGTGTGTGTGTGGACAACTATATTGACACAAATATGTACATACACATTGCAGTCTATACATACATACTTGCCTACATATCCATATATATATATATATATATATATATATATATAATTACATACATACATATTTATATACATATATGTATTCTTAAAATAAAACATTGCAACTTTTTCAATTGGCCACGCGACGCGATTGCGATGATTTGGTCGTTGTGCCGGCTCTTTATTATATACAGATACATATATGAGGATGCATACATACATACATATGTACATATGTATAGAGATGTACATCTGATCACAATAATATGGCAACTTTGCTAGCTTCACGTCACCATCAATTTCCTGGCGAGAGATGTTCCATTTTATCAATATACATATAGGAAATCGGACGGATTTATCTCGTCTATTAAAAAAAATATTATAAGTATGCCTTCCTATTGGCAACAAACAATAGGAGGAATAAGGAATAATGGTAGAAGAAGGAAGAATGGTAGATCTCATGTGTATATGCATATACATATGTATAATAATGGCGTAATATATGGTGTTTTTATAAGACAAACTAAAAAGTATATAACTGCGGCGCACAAGGCGTCGAAGATAATGTTTACAACATTGAACCCAAAACAAAAACCATACATATGTATATCTTAGTGATACAATTTCTAGCTAAGATCAATGTTCCATACTAAATATTTTACGGTAAATACCCCAAAGGTGCTCTATAAAAAATGAACTAAAGGCGTTTTAATTTGTATGCTTATATCCTTCTTTTAATAAGGTAACCTAAGCTTTAAAAACCCTTTAGACATTTTGAATAATTGTATTATGAATTACATTATTAAAATAACAAAATAAATCATACATATGTATATGAAACATACATACATATGTACGGACATCTAATTATATACTTTCTTAATTGGAGTTTAATATACACATGTATATACATACATAGCTCTTTTACTTTTTGAGATGCTTGCATGTCTTATCACGTCATATATTCGCACTAAACTGGTTTACCCTTTGGGGACAGAGCACAATAACATACATACTTGTATATACTTAATGTTCGTACATCATGTTTCATTGATTTTTTAAAAGGGTTATTTCTTACTAACCCATACCCAAATGGTGTATTTAATAATTTGATGAGTGGTGTATGTAATCTTTTATGTGAATATTTATGTATGTTGTTTTGTGCCTTCTTTCTACACTTGCTGTTTAAAACTGTCGATTTGGGGGGGACTGTGTGGCTGTTGGTGGCAGCTACCTTAACGCACAGTGTGACCCAGTTCTGCTGCTAACAGTTTCAAAAAACTTAAAAATAAAAAACAAAAACAAAGTAAAAATATGCTCTGATGCATGTGTGATGGTGTGTATAAATGTGCTTGTTAATCATCTCAGTGACACTTTCAAATACGCCGCCTTATATTTATTTAAGAAAATGCAATTTACTCACCAGGACATTAACAGTACCGTTGCAAGAGCTGCCAGGCCACATTGAAGCATTGACCGCGATGGTCTTGGTATTTTAAGCATTTTGATATTGCTCCCAAGCTCTGTAAGATATTCTTTTGTTGCAGCTTTGTAATTTACGTATTTTCTTCACGTTTAATTTATAACTGTTTCGCGCGTTTTAATCCTGCGATAAGAAAACACGAAAAGAACGTTAGAAGAATCGTTATCGACAATAGATACCGATCAGCTGTGCGCGAGTGCAAATCTTCAGTTCACCGTAAACATAAACAACAACACATCTGACAATAATATGTCACCAACACCATTTACACGCCTCTAACACGCAATTCACAATGATCAAACGTTTAAACGGTCAAGATGTTAATGTTGGCTGCTTTTCCTGTTGCTGCCACAGTTGCTGCGTAAATATGATATACTAGATTGTGCAGTATAATACAAAATATGGCATTTTACCAAAAATGCAAAAGTCCAAAAGAAAAGCCATTTCGTGCCAAACAACATCAACAACTCAAAAATAAAGAATTGCCGCTGTTTTTGTTGCGTCTATTATTGTAGAATAGGTACATACTTGTATGTACGTACGTTTGTATCTAGGATCTTTGCAAAATACGAAATTCCATATTTCAGGGCGCGACGCATCGTCGACAATAACATTTAATATGTATATATGAAAACAATCGGAATCGTAACAAAGAAAATTCTTTTAATTGCGACTTTCTTTAAGGAAGCAGCGCGTTGCCGCTGACGTCGAAACTTGTGAAATGAACAGCACCCCTTACCTCTTGTTTGCGTGTATTTGTTTACACTTTTCACGTTAGTAAAACCCCCCACAGACTGTCGGGGTCAGTGATGGGGGCGCCGGTTATGCGTGAGAGCGCTTGCTGTCAAGAGAGCGCAAGTGAGCGAAAGACCCATAAGAGCGTACGCGTCAAGAGTTCACACGCACGGCGCATGAAGTTGTGATAATAACAAAACCAACTAACAAAAAAAAAAAATGTAGACAACAACAACAACAAATAGCAACGTTGTTTGGCCTTTGATGTCTTTTCAATTGCGTCGCAAAATATATACATATGTATGCATGTGTGTATATTCGAATGTATGTATTTTCATATATGTACATAAGTATGTGCGACTCTAGGCGTTTGTTGTGTTGTTTTTTTACCGTCTATGTAAGTATACACATATGTATGAGTTTTGCTCTACAAAGTAATTAAGTGGGAAGAAGAACAAAAATAAACCGCGATAGTTAGTCAGCTAGTTTATCACAAGGCCTGTGGCGAACATGTCACCAAATCTAAGTATTGCTAAAAAACAACATCAGCAATATATATGTACAAATGTGTGTATGTATATGTCATGCATGAGTACACACCCCCTACGCAAACATGACACACTTATGTACATACATCAAAGGATTTGCAGTTTGAAACTCCAGCGGGCAAAATGCAGCTGCCTTTTGAGCGCCAGACCAGACACATACATACATATGTATGTATGCAAATTGTTATAATACAACTTGCACATGTGACTTGCCATAATGAGTGTTGTTATATATATCGAAGATGTTAATAGATTTAATTGTTTTATAATTTGCACAACAGCCTAATGCACACACATTTATGTTTATCTATATTTACAAATCACTGTCTATATAGGAGACAATGGAGCGAATCCAAGCCTTCTTGTAACGCGCAACAGCACAAGAACAAAACAAAAATAACAATGGTTACAATTCAAAGTCGTGGGTGGAGTGGGGGTATGTATTGGCGATGTCGTCCTGCGGTACAGGGTATTCTATATACTTCTGCAATATTAGATTCACGTTTTACTGTTGGTTCTCGTATCGTTTTAGCAACAGCTGAGATGAGACTAAGAACGTAATCAACGCACGGTAGTCTTCCAAACAAAAAAAAAGAATACACTCACACACACTAAAAGCGTTCCTTCTCACACAACAACCGAACGTTGCGAACTGCTGATTTATCGAAAAATAACTGAAACAACCTCTCCGGGTGGCGCATTATGAAGACTACCCAGAGAGCGCAGTGCTTATAGCAATTCGCACAATTCAAAACATTTCATATTTGCAGTTTCTTTTGATACACAAGACAAATAAGTGTATATTTTATCATTATATATTTTATCGCAACACTATAACATTTTAATACATTTTTGAAAAGTTGCTGCAAAAATCTAGTAATATATTTATGTTGGTCTTACCGCGCCGACGTTGCCACTGCATGAAAAGTAGATGTGGGATTGCCAAACAGTGTTGTCTAATTCCGCGGGAATTATCGGCGCCGCCAATGCAATTTTCGAATTTCAAAAATTTTGTCCAATACATTTTTGTGTCGTTTTTATTAATGAAAAAAAGTGAAACACATTACATAATTCGTGAAGACTTTGAACTTAACCGCTAATTGCGCGAAAATGTTAAAAAGAAAAAATATTGCAGGCCGCCGAATGACCCTAATAAATGCAGCACTGATCAGATTGAGCTCCGTATCCAGACGTTTAGGGCATCATTCGCAGGGCGCCGTCCAAGCGTATGGTTTCCCCGTTAAGCAGCGGGTTTTCGTAAATAGCTTGAACCAATTGAGCGTACTCGCTTGGATCACCCAGACGCTGGGGGAAGGGAATTGATTTGGCCAGGAACGTGCGGACCTTTTCGGGAAGAGCAGCTAACATGGGAGTGTTGAACAGACCGGGCGCAATGGTGCAAATGCGAATTCCCTGTGTACTCAAGTCGCGCGCAATAGGCAAAGTCATGCCAACAACGGCTGCTTTTGATGCAGAGTAAGCTGCTTGGCCAATCTGACCATCAAAAGCAGCAACTGAGGCGGTGTTGACGATGACGCCACGTTGGCCATCCTGGTTGGGGGTATTGGCACCCATTAGACCAGCGGACAGGCGGATGACATTGAACGTGCCAACGGTGTTCACATTAATAACACGCTGAAAGTCTTCCAGTCTGTGGGCAACGTTCTTGTTGAAGTTGTACGTCTTCACGGCGGTAGCTGTGCCAGCACAGTTTACAGTTAGATCTAGACGACCGAACTTATCCTTCGCAGTTTGCACAGCGGCTGTCACATCCTGTTCAGAACTAACATCCACGGGCACAAACACCACTTTGTCACCCAGCTCCTTGGCCACTTCGCTACCATTGGACGATGGCAGATCCGCCAGAACCACGCTGGCACCCTGTCTGGCCAGACGTTCTGCGGTGGCACGGCCCAAGCCAGAGGCGCCACCGGTAACCAGAGATACGACGTTCTGCAAATAGGGACAGTGGAGGAATTTTGTATTGTGTAACAATAATGCTGTGCCTCAGGCTCAGATCGCAGATGTCGACATGCATACATACAAATGTCTGATATGATAATCGGCCAAAGTACACGGCAGACACACAGACAGATATATTATGTATGTCTTCTTGTCTATACGTATGTACCTCCGACAGTAAACGGCTTAATTGGACTTTGTACCCGGCTGGTCCAATGCTCTGGAAATTAGCAATATCAAGGCCATAACGGCAAGCCCCTCAACTTACCTTAATCATATTGAAGAATAAGGCAAAACAGAATTGAATGCAAAAAATGTAGAAACTAACGGCACGGCTTGCACAAAGCGAATGTAGAAATACAAAACACCGGTTGCTGGCTCTCCAAGAAGACTGGACGTCGATGACTGCTTTAAATGCAAGTTCGCATAATAGATTTATCGAAACGGGCCGCGCATAACGGGTCTTTCTGTTATGCAACACTGCATACAATCATCTGTTTTTCATATCTCTGTAAATACTAGAGAAGCTCCTATGATCTGTAATAATTTAGCCAATTTAGCTAAATGTGCGTTTATATACACAAGATGTTGCTGGCAAGCACATGATTTGTCTGATTTATGGAATTTATCATTGCTTACATATGGCTTATCGATGTTGAAAAATAAAACATCGATGTTTTCGATATTACTTAAGCATCGATGTTTACCCAGCTGTAGTATATAAATTAATAAGTGTGTTGTTTGATATTTCATTGAAGGGGAGATTATTGATATATTAAATGCCATATGGGACGTCATGGCACACAGTAGCAATGAGAAGAATAGAAAAAACGTAACAAAACCTCTTAAAACAAAAGATTTCGATGAATATGAGAAGAATGAATTGTTTTACAGCATTCGACAAAATCAGCGTAAGTTACAAATAGATAGAAGAAATTTGGCAATGTGATTTTTAAAATGTACATACGTATTAAGTATTAAAATTAATTATTTTATATTCCTTCTATAAAAGTGCCCACAAAGAAGCAACCGGCACAAGATCGTCTTAAACGCCTCCAGACTCATCTTAAAAAGGCTGATAGCAAGAAGGTTGCAAATGAAATTCCTAAGAAATCAAGTACGAATAATCGGAGCACTTCCAGTCCTTTCGCCATTTTTACATCACAATCCAAAGTCACAAGTTCTCCGATATTGCCGCGTAGCAAGCCCAACAGCTTGCCCGCAACGCCGATAGCTTCAGGCTCAAAGCCTACAGCTTCCCCACCAACTCACAGCAAGAATCTTATCGAACGTGCCAAGAGCTATATCTTTTCTGACAAATCCAAGCCAGAACTCAAACACAATGCAGTTGCTGGTAAAGCTAGCTACCAATTGCTGAATAAATATAAAGCAGATGCGGTTCCCAAGCTTAGCACAGGCCATCATAGACTGAATAATACCTGGGAGAAGCCGAAAGCTCTTTTTGATGCTGGAAACAAGCTAAACAAATCGGATACTCCGCGTACAAGTGGTAAATGTTGAAGTCGTTAGAAAAAAATGTATACAATATGTGTCATATACAATTGTTTTTCAACAGCCAATGAGCGGTTAGAATCCTTGCGTCAATCCCTTCAACAGCAACAGCAAAAGGAGAGTAACAACAATGAGACTCCATCGATGGCCCCCAGCGATCATCAATTACAAACGGCTGCGCCCAAGACAATTGGTAACGTAACTTTCTCATTTAATTGCATTTTATTTAAGCATTTGTATTGTAATCTTGTAAATACAAGCCGTCAATTCGCCTCTCGTTGGGCGTCAATTGCAACAACTTAGGAAATTGCAACGTCTCAAGTCCAAAAGACTGCATCATGGGCCACGTTCATGCCAATCTAAGCCTTCAAGTCACGCTGTACGGACGTCTGAGCCAGGTATATGATAAACACATATGTACATACATAGCTCAGCACATACATACATATACATATGTAACCTAGCAGGTCTCGCACGTATTTTTGGCTCCAAAACATACATAATTACATGTTATATACAATTTCACTTCTCACATTGAGTTTATTTCCAAAAACGTTTCAATAGGGAATTTACAGAAGCAATTCACTTCGCTTGGTACCATAATGTGGAGCATATACATATGTATATATGTTTGTACATATGTATGTATTTACAACTTATTTATATAATTATATATGTATGATTATGATATTCAGAGCAATTAATTTATAGAATCTGATAGAAAACTATAATTTGACATTGGTATTTGGCCAACTTATGCAACTGTGCAACATGTAAAGGAATGTAGTATAGGTAAATACATTTTTTTTAATTTCATGTATAAATGTATCCATTCAGTTTTTAAATTCGGTCTATTTTAGTATTGTCAATTCAAATATGAATGATGTGTGTATATTACAGGATCGATTAGGCGTGATTAACGTTTTCAACACAAAATGCCTTGGAATTCTTCTGAATACATGTACATATAGCATTGTTAGCTAAAGAAATCGAAACTGTAATTCACTGAGTGTGTACTTCCATTTGAATTGTTTTGCTCTAACCGAAGCATTGTCCGTCGTTTTTCAGTCTGACACGATCACAACACGAAATTTATGCATACAAAAATTCTTTCAGTATGACGAAGCAGTACTATATGATTCTGCAGAATAATAAGTAATAATGCTAAATGCAATATTTGAAAAATATTGTTTTATTTAATACATATGGCTAATAATATAGTTTACATTAATTAAAATTGTTTTGTTGTAGATATGCCTTTTTTATATCAAAAGCACTGTTAAAACCCCAATAGTTCAGGCCACAAGATACATAAAAAGACGGGTTATTTTTGTATTCTTCTTGAACACATGCAAACAAAGTTTGAAGTCGATCTGTTAAATAATTCAGATCTTTTTTAATACTTTGGAGCTCATTTCCCCCCTTTGGAGTTCGAGTTTTTCAAAACCTTATCGCTTACCCCTACACTGTGAAAGAATTTTAACAAACTGTTTCATATTATTATTAATTATATAATTATTGTTAATTGGTTTAATTCTAGATGTGGAACCCATGGATTGGGAAGATTTGGATGATAGTACCCTAAATGAAGTTGATACTTCTGCTGATGATGATGGTGTCCATAATGCTGAGGACGTTGCATTGGTACGGAGCACAAGCGTTGATGAGTCTGCGGACGAGAAGGAGTTCCCCGCTCATCGAGTTGACCATATGTATTTTGTTTTGGATACAAATATCCTTATACACGATCTCCTATTTGTGGAAGATCTCCTGAAAGTGGTGCTTCCTGGTAAGTGCCTTTTGCACATTTACATAGCAATTGCGTCTATGTGAGTGTATGCATGTCTACTCGTATCTGTGTGAGCATGTTTGCAGTCAACCAAAGCACCAACATCAACAACAGCTGCGGGCAGCGCTTAAGCAGCAATTATATTTATGGCTATAACTTCCTGTTAAATCGGTGAAAATCGGGAAAACCCCCATAGGAGGGAAAGCCAAAAAATTAAAACAAACTCGTATAGCGTACACACATAAGGCATCTTTGTGCAAAATTTGGTGTCTCTATCTCGTATAGTCTCTGAGATCCAGGTGTTCATACGGACAGACGGACAGACAGACATAGATCGACTCGTCTTGCCATGCTGATCAAGAATATATACACTTTGTGGGGTGTGCCACGCCTCCTTCTGTCTGTTACATTTTTCAGCTCCCGCAAACCTAATATACTCTTGTACATTTCATTTACAGAGTATACAAAGTTCTGTTGTTCTGTTCTATGATTTTATATCTGTGTATATGTTTCACAAATCAAGTTAATGCATGAGAAGATAACGAAGAATGGTCTGTTTTTGCTCTATGTTTGATGCAGATACCGTCGGCAGCATGCTCTATGTACCATATGTGGTCATTAAGGAGTTGGATAGACTCAAGGACAAGAACGTAAACAACGTCGAGACAACACGTTTATATGCCAAACGAGCTATTCGATATTTAAACAAGAAATTCGACGAAAGTCTGGATATACAGGGTGAGTAGACCTGGGTTTCTTTGTAAATCCCTTATGTAATTTGTATGACATTTAAAGCCCAATCGGCCATCGAAGAGGCACAGCATTTGATCGATGTGGATTGTCCGGATGATAGTATTGTTAATTGTTGTCTACAGCTTCAAACTCAAGTCACACACATGATGCTGCTCACCAATGATGCAAATTTACGATTGAAGGCCAATGCATCGTCAATAAAAGTTTCCTGCCGCTCAGATTTGTTAAGCGCTCATGCCGAGGCATTTGCTACGCTGGATGATTCGTAGAATGCGCTGCCAGAGAGAATACAATGAAAACTACACGTCTGTGATAGGCATTTCTTTTCATCACACAATCATCACGAAAACATACTCATTCGTTTATTTTTGAAATAGTTGTAAACCACTAGCCATTAGCTGTAAGTGTTATGAATTAGTGTCACTTTAAGAATTGAATAATTACATCATATATGTACATGTATATAAATGGATATTTACACAAACACACACAAGCAATGAAATCTGTGAGTGCATTGAAATACTTATTTGCATTTTGATATCTACTTTTAATTAGTTATTCCGTTGGTTAGCTTGCTCTTTTAAACTTTAGAAGAGTGCGGCGGATTCTGGGCTTATCTTTCTGTAAATAAGATGGCGCCGAAGTCGCCTGCCAAATTGTACGCTGCTTCCGCTGCCTAAAGTTCATATTGAGCACAAATATTTAATCTTTGGCAACTCTCAGGCGAGTCAGCCAGGTCGACTTGGTAATCTAGCCAAGTGGCCAAAATTTAAAGTGTCTGCGACGCTCGTGGTGCGCGGTAGTGTGTTCGATTGGTCGGTCTTTTGGTGTGTTCGATTTTGTTTTCTTTTTTTTTTTTGTTCGTGTTGGATTAAGAGTTCAACTTTATTGGCTGGAAAATACGCTCAAGGCAATGTAATTAATGTATATATGTTAATTTTATTTATACAGAGCTTGAAATCTTGCCTTGGATTAGAGATATTGAGACTTATATACTATATATACCTCATGTAAATACATATATTCAGATAATTCACAATTTTACAACGCAAAAACAGATTTTTAGACTTAGTATTTACTCAACGTCTTTCTCCACTACTTTAGACCTAACCTGTAACCACTGGAATAAGTAAAATTCTTCATATTTTATCGAGGTGAAGCGAAAAACTAACCCGAATTAATCTTTAGTTTACTCCAAGTGAAAAGCATACTCAACGTACTATATGATTCGTTATTAATGTACAAACTGAAACTTTATTCAGTCGTTAGCTTGTTCAGACTATGAAATCATAAAATATTTTAGACAAGAGGTGGTTAGATATTTATTTATATGGATTATGAACATTATAAAAAATTATAACAACTTCATCTTTATTCATGCAATTATAAGAAATATAAAAGTTGATAGCTTTGAACTTATACATAAAGAATATAAAGGTGGTTAGGTATTTATTTATATTTATATGGATTATGAACATTATACAAAATTATAACAACTTCATCTTAATTCATTCAATGGTAAATATAGAAATTGATAGCTTTGAACTTATACATAAAGAAAACAAAAATATTATTGAAGTGATTGCGGCCGTTCCGTATTTATACAAAAATACAGAGTAATTTAACAAAATCATTTTACTTTCTGAAGAACCAATTTTTTAGCTTAAAACGTTATATATCTATTTACATATTCCGATTTGAATGGGCAAAATTTAAGCTGCTAAAAGTAATTAATAAAGATCATGCAAAAGGAAACATTTTCAGGGACTCTTAAATATATACAATTTTGGACGCAAATTACCGATAATCAAAATATTACATGATGAGTGATATGTGGACAAAATTGAATCCAAAACTTTAAAGACTTTATATTTTAATCGTACAAAGGCTCCATAATCTGAACAGCTTTCACCTTAATTATTAGTGTATTGAGGTTTTTCGATATTTTATATAGGTCTTTTTTCACAATCCGTTGTGCTGCACCTGTAGATGCAGCACCATAAGTTGGCGCCAAGTCCAGGCCATAGTCCTGTCCTACAATTTCTGATCCCCACCCGAGCCCGGCATGAACATGTATATACGATCTAGCTGCTCGGCGAGCGTTCGCTGCTCATTAGTCAGACGCATTATCTCTTGTTTCTCTTCGAGGGTGTGGCCCTTGCGTTTGGCCCGATATTGCAACATACGCTTGTAGCATTCGAGTATTTCCTGATCAACGGTGTCCAGCTTGCGTTTAAGCTCAATGCGTTTAATTTCTTCGCTGGCTGCGGCCCGCAATCGTTTTAACTCTTCGCTATTAAAATGCGCCACTGTGCTTATCTCGGCGGTGATGCGTTTTATCTCCATCAGCACTTCGTCGACATCATCGTGGGCGAATTCACCAGCTTCGAAAATTCCGCTTTCTACCAATTCTTTTTTCACACGCTGCTCAATACCCACGCAATGTTTGAGCATGGAGAGGGACCGGAAATTGCCGGCAGCGGAAGCTGAATTTGTAGATGAGGTGTGTGTATTCTCGTTGCTGCTCGTCGTGGTGCTGTTACTATTGCTATGCTCACCCACAGCCGCCTGTTCGCTGGGCAATGTGAGGAGGGATTCTTCAATAAGAGCCGAGACTAGACGCTGCGTCAACGGCCCCGTTATATTCTCTTCCACAAGACCCTCCGCTTTCTTAAGCATTGCGAGAGAATTTTGTGACTTCATTCGTGCACCACCAGGCTGTAGACATTTCATGTCCTCCTGTGCCCAAACGGTAGAGTAATGCGGCCCTAGTGTTGGAATAGGCGGCACCAGTGGACCGCGATATTGCTCGAGAAGATCATCTATCAGACGAAAATCTTCGTTTGTCAGCGGCATGCAATAGGGCTCGACTGATAGCCAGAATTTGTTGGGCATGTCATTTTTGGGCACAGCCATTTTGGGCATTTGTTGGGACTGCTGGTGGTCACTGCGCTGGCCATTGTTGCCCAAACTGGGCAATGCAGTGGCCCCAGGCATAGCATTAGGCATGCAGTCCATGCTATCATCTGTATGTACAGCCATGGGACTGTTTTTGGCATGTTTTGATGATGACGATGAAGACGCTCCAGTTTGTTGCTTTAGGATGGTCATAGAGGAGTGCTTCTTGCGCACACCTGTAGGTTCGTCACGCTTGCGTTTAGATGCCCCCGATGCTGGACTGCCAACACTGTTTGAGCCCGTAATTCCTAGTAGACCGTTAAGCATAGTGGCTGGCGGTGAACCAGGCATTCGTTCAAATTTTCGTCGATCATTGCGTTTTTCATCCTTATCCATATTGTCATATTCCGCCTTGAGCACACGTGCACGCAGCGCCACATTAGATAACATGAGCTCCAGTTCCAATTGCACCGCGTCTAGTTCCTCAGCTGCTAGATGATCATCGGATGGCCGTTGTAATGCAGCTGCTATAGTGGGTAATTGTTTTGGCACATCCTTAGTGCGTATTAGAGGTATGACCACGCCGCTGCTGGTCATGAAAACATCTGTATCGCCGGCATGGGCGTGCGCACCTCCTGGCCCACTAGCAGATGTAGATTTGCTGCCACCCGTACCACTATTGTTGCTGGCAGACAATTTACCTGAGCCGCCCCCAACTGCCGACATACTAATGCCGAAGCCGCCACCAACGTGGCCAAGCTTAACGCTCTTCGGGTTTGCGCTCATTTCCAGCAGCGGCTACTAGATTGTTTCTGCTCGCGTAAATCTTATGATATCTCTTTTGTTGACAAATACACGCAATTAGTGCACACTTAACGCAAAAAGAACAAGAACTGAGCGTCGGCAGCGACAGCGATAGCACTTCAGCTGGCAATCGATGGGCTGCCAATCGCATGAGCGCATTTATCAACACTGAACCGCGAGTCGGTGCATCGATAAACATGTTTTGTGTTTCGTGCCTATTGTTCTTTGTTGCTTCGTGCGCGCTAATTCTGTGATAAAAAGAGAACTCAACTGATGAAAGCACTTGCTTTAGTTTACTATAATTTAATGTTGTTACTATTAGTGTACAAGTGTATTGCCGACTGAAATAGATCTATTTTGAAATATCTATGAGCAACAACCGTAATATGACTTGTGTTTGAAAAACAACAAAGTTGTAGTGTACTTAACTAATTAGTTAATAGATAACCCAAGTGCTTAATAATGTTTAAGAATTTTATATGAAATATTTAATTATATATAAACGGTTGGATGTTAATCAAGTTGTCAACTAAATTAAGCAAACTGCAACGGACACGCATACAAATACAGGAGAATAATCACAGCCTGCAGTGGCATCGGCAGCGGCAGCGACGAAGGCAGCAGCAGCGTTTGTATGTCCATAGCATGCAATTTTTATGTAATTGAAAAGCAATTTACAGCACTCGTCGCTAAACCAACATCCACATAGTACGTCAAAATCTCGTGATGCCTTCAATTGGTTGTTTGTTTATCACAAGACGACCAATCAACAGTCAACATGTGCACGCATGTATGTATGTACATCAATACATACAATGTATGTATTTATGTATATTCATTCAAACAAACATTTGTGTTTTGTTTATCAAATGTACCGTTTGAAATCAAGTTTATCCGCAAATCCCCATTGCCTACTTTCATTTCAATGGAATTGCAACTGAATCATGCAACTTTAGTACATACATATGTATGTATGTAGGTAAAATTTTTTATTATTGATCAAATATTTGCCGTACGTGAGTGTCGACGTTCATCTTGATGGGTTTGAGTGTTTGATTTGCCGCGCTCTGACAGACACATGCCTTAAACTGTTTGTTATCAGCGTTAACTTATTAACAAAAACAAAAAACAAACAAAAAAAACACTGATTAACACAATAAGCGATAAGTTACATTTCTTGGTGATCTCGTTTGTTGCTGCTGGAGCTTTCTTATACCATTTTCAACAGTGCCTTCGTCTGCTTGAATGGCCAAATCAATCAAAAAAAGAGCGATATATTTAGTCACTCAATGTCGCCATCAATTTAAACTTTTCGTTCACATTTGTATCCATGTACATATGTATGTATGTATTTTCCTATTTGTTGTCGGACAACGCACGACTCTTCAATCAATTAGTTCTTTAGGTTAATTTCCAGCTTATCCTATCGTGTTATTGTTGTACCTTACACACAATTTAACGGAAGTTAGCCGAGACACACACCCACATTTAGCGCCAAGTTTGTACTTAACTTCCAGATATTTGTATAATTGATTAAAAAAATGCCGTCTCTTCAATTTGTTAGCACGACAGCGTGCAAATTTTCCAATTTGTTTAGCTTATTATACGAGTTGTGTTAATGAGATTCGTGTATCTAAATTTGTACAAGGCACTTGGCTTATCAGCCAGCACACACACCCACATCCGTGCTGGCAATGCTGCGAGATAATGTATTTTTATGTGTATGTGTGTTACAACGCACCTACCTGTTGATGTTCTTGTTAGGGGCCCATGGGGCGTAGCTTTGTGATGGCGCCTAATTATCGATTTTCGCGACAACGATAACGAGAGGGAAGGGGACGAAATTCGTGTTGGCCTACTGCGGTCGTTGGACGAATTTAAAAACTAAAATTATTTTCACATTATTTCAGCGCCTGTGCAGCGACCAATTAGTGAAGAAGCCATCCTAAATTATACTGCGCCGACATGAAGTTCGCTGAGCATCTGTCGGCTCATATAACGCCCGAGTGGCGCAAGCAGTACATTAATTATGAGGTGAGTTCTGTCCACCAGAGAAGAGTACTATTTGACTCTATCTCATATTTTGTCATTCTCTTCATATGTTTAATTTTAGGAAATGAAAGCCATGCTCTATCAGGCTGGTGAAGAAGCTCCGTCTGTCGAAAGTGTTGAGGATGAGGTTCTTAAGCGTCATTTTGCCAATTTCGATGAGAATTTCTTTCACTACTGTGACAAAGAACTTAAAAAAATTAACACATTCTACTCGGAAAAACTGGCTGAGGCCACGCGCAAGTTTGCCAATCTCAATGCCGAGCTTAAGACCTGCATTGAGGAGTCGGAGCGTAGTGCCAAGAAATCCAAGGGCCACAAACAACATCCGGCTTTGCCCGATCGTAAAGCCCGCGAACTCAAATTGGCATTTAGTGAGTTCTACTTGAGTTTAATATTGTTGCAGAACTATCAGAATTTGAATCATACTGGCTTCCGCAAAATACTCAAGAAGCACGACAAGGTAAGTGTTGATCTATAGCGTCAATTTCATCAACTATTATTGTTTTCTCATTTAATTCATATCACTTAAGCTATTATCGTTTTATAGATAAGAAGCTTTCGAAGGGTCAGTTCTACTAAAATGTTTCAAACATTGTTCTAACGCTTTAAACTATTTTCATAAATAATAATAATAACAAAACAAAACAAAAAAGTAAATAATTATAATAAGTAATACCATAGAATTGTATTTATAAAACACCATAAAACAGATGCTTATGCGTGGCAGGTCCTGTTATATATCATCATGGCGAGACGAATCGATCTGAGAACTTTTAAGCCATAACAGCTAGGGACATTTTATTCATACACAGACCATGTTTCTGTATAACAAACCATATATAGTTTCATTATTTTATAGGATAGGGTATACAGAAATCGACTTTATCATTCTGTTCTTTATCATACATTTCTTCAATGTAAGTTGGCGGAAGTTTTTAGAGAAATCATGCTTCTAACTAGAAGATGTCTTCTTGTAGTTGCTGCGCGTGGACACCGGTGCCAAATGGCGTCAGGAGTACGTGGAGTCATCGCATTTCTTCATCAACAAGGACATTGACAACATAATCAATGAGACGGAGACAACGGTTACCGGCGAGTTGGAGGGTGGCGATCGTCAGCGCGCCATGAAAAGATTGCGTGTTCCGCCTTTGGGTGAGCAACAGAGTCCTTGGACCACATTCAAGGTGGGACTCTTCTCGGGAAGCTTTATCGTGCTGGGCATTGTGGTCGTATTGTCGGCCATATTCCACGACATAACCGGCGATAACTTAAAGGTTACCTTTCGCCTATATCGAGGTCCACTGCTGATCATTGAGTTTATCTTCTTAATTGGCGTCAATATCTACGGTTGGCGCTCGTCGGGTGTAAATCATGTGCTAATTTTTGAGCTGGATCCACGTAATCATTTGTCGGAGCAGCATTTGATGGAATTGGCGGCAATATTTGGAGTGGTTTGGACGCTGAGCATGTTGAGTTTCCTATATAGTGCCAGCTTAAGCATACCTGCTTTCATAAATCCATTGACGCTGACATTAATAATGGTGGCCTTTCTGGTCAATCCATTTCATGTGCTGCATCACGATGCACGCTTCTGGCTGTTGCGCATCACCGGGCGCTGCGTATCGGCCCCATTCTTTCACGTCGGCTTTGCGGATTTCTGGCTGGGCGATCAGCTTAATTCGCTGGCCACGGCCATTTTGGACTTTGAGTACTTAATTTGTTTCTACTTTACCAACGGAAATTGGTCGGAAGCCACAGATGCGTCGATATGCATGGAGAAGGACTTCATTATAAGGCCCATTGTAAATTGCCTGCCTGCCTGGTTCCGTTTTGCGCAGTGTTTGCGACGTTACCGCGATACACGCGAGGCTTTTCCACATCTGGTGAACGCTGGAAAGTATTCGACTACATTCATGGTGGTTATATTTGCGACTCTGCGAAGTTTTAACAGTCGTACGTAAATCAGTTGAAGCCTGCTTTTCTATATTTTTAGTTTAATATTTGCTTTCCTTAAGACAACTATTCCAGTACCTTCGATAATCCTTACACCTGGCTATGGATCGTGTCGGCTATCGTCTCCTCCTGCTACTCTTACACATGGGATATTAAAATGGATTGGGGTCTATTCGATAAGAATGCGGGCGAGAATACATTTTTGCGCGAGGAGGTGGTCTACTCATCCACAGTAAGTAAACTAATTATATATAAAACCAATAAGTATTAACACATTGTTATTATTAAAGGGCTTTTATTACTTTGCCATAATTGAGGATTTGGCATTACGCTTCATTTGGGCGCTCTCATTCTATCTGACAGAAATGAAAATTGTCAGCGGCGATATTATGACCTCCATAACTGGTATATTGGAAGTTTTTCGGTAAGTCGAAGTCAAGGCATAAGACATGATTAAATGGCTAATATTCCAATTTTATTTAGCCGTTTCGTATGGAACTTTTTCCGCTTGGAGAACGAGCACTTGAATAATTGCGGCAAGTTCAGAGCTGTGAGAGATATTTCCATAGCGCCATTGGACTCATCTGATCAGACATTGATATTGCGTATGATGGATGAAGCGGACGGTGTAATCAATCGCTATACAAAAACTAATCGTCCCAAGCCCAAGAAGGTGAAGGATCCGGAGAAGCGCAGTTTGCTGCATCCACGTGGTTCGCTGCAGGATCTCAGCATTGATATTGATGGCAGCAAAAAGCTTTAGCTAAGCGATCCCTATATGATGTGCTTCCTATCATCACCACCATCAGCATTACCCCTGCTTGATACATGGAACTAGAACGATTTTTAAAAGTTATTTTTTTTCGCCCATGTGCTTTTTTTTGTTTTCATTAGCTAATGTCTACGCTTATTTACTAAGTACTTAAAAAAGACGTTATATGTGAGCCAGATTCCAGCAATAATTAGCGCGTAAGTTTTGTACTAAGCTACCATTCCATTAATGCAACTAACGGAACAATACGACCAACTACCGATCCCGACTGGACCTACTACTAACTAATAAGACAGTATTAATTGTAAAAAAAAAGAAAAAGAAAAACATAAATCAAGTCGCCTTAGCCCCAACAGAGTCTGAAAAATTGGCTAATTGGATAATTGAATGTACATTCCCCGTTCGAAAATTGAAATTATTGTTTCGTTAAAATGTTTAGGTGTTAGTCTTTGTTTAAACATGGAAAATGCAATTAGACTGTGCGAAGCTTAAAGTTTGAGCAACAATAAATTTAAATAGACTTCCCCTTCCCCCTATACCAATTGTAGTTAGGCAACCATTTAAACACACGTATATACAAAACGTACACAAATGTACCATCTACATATACATATATATATATATATATATTTAAACATATACAACATACTTATATACCATTTTTTCTGGCAATACCTTAAAAATCGAACAAAGTTAAAATGAAACTAACAAAATAAAGACACCAAAAAGACAATTAAATGCAAAATTATTTTAAATAGACATTTTCATCTAGGAGACGTTCTCCATGACTGCCGATACCAGCGCAGTGCCACGCATAATCCAAAACTCTGGCTCATTAACACTGTCTAAGAGCACGGAAAGTACAAAATTTGTGGAGTGGCCCGTAGTTGAGAGCACGCCGGAACGTTGTTGTGTTTTATAGAGCGGCGCTTCGTAGCGGACATCTGGCTTAATATCTAGGCAGGGCATGAAACAAACTACAGGCAGGCGAGTGTATAGTTCTCCAAATTTGGCATCACAGAGCCCGCCACGATTTTTGTCCCAACGTGCGGCTTCAATGAAAATGCCGTGCACATTAATGTGCGCATCAGTACATTCCGGTAGGCTTCCATAGAGTTTGGCGTCCTTAAAGAGAAAGAGTGGAGAGAGGAGGGAGCTAGAGAAATTTCACATTACTGTCCAAAAACCCTGTGCTTACATTTCCCAATTTCTCGTGCGTCTCGAAGAAATCCTGCTGCACCAGCTCCCTTTCCATCACCTCGAAGTCAATCTTTAGCGAATCGATGGGGAGGATGCGTCGGCGCGCGTATGTTTGCAGAATGCCAGTGAGGAATGATTGCGGAAAGAAGAAGCCGCTAATCCAATACGAACGCGGAGCCCCATTTTCAGCCCAACTCTGGATAAAGTCGATACGGCGTTGAAAGTCCGCTATGTAATTGGGCAGCGGCTTAATGGAGAGGAAACTACGTTTCGCCCACACAGCTGGCACCAGATTGGCCAACAGTGATTTGAATACGCTTTCCAGCTCTTCAGACATTACCACAAGACCTTTGATGGCCTTGTCCAAATTGGACAAGCTGTCGTGAATAATGTTAAGTGCGATGTTAAAGCGATCGATCTCTTGCACCAACACCGTGGTCAGTGAAGGTACTTGACCCTTGCTGTCTAGCTATAATGATAGGAAAATGGTAATAAAGGTTTACAATACTAGTTGGATACTCACTATGGTTAGAGTGTCGTGTAGGGGCTCGCGTTGAATCTTACGGGTTAGGACACCTTGTATGCGTGTAATGACCTGTAAACATATCTCATTCTCCATTGCCTGACCCTCGTCAGCAGAGGAGCGTGGTTGGCCCAGCAGTAACGTCGTTATGAAGAACTCCGTCTCCTTGGTCTGGAACACAATATTGGCATTTTGATTCATTCCAAATATTTCCGGATCTTCCAGTACGGGGAAGCCCTGCACATATTCTGAATACTCTGCCAGTGTCTTTTTGCCGGGGTCACGATAATACGAGTCACCTCGACAGTATTTATAATCGGCTGCTATAATGCGTTGCGATGAGAAAATCGTGAGAATTGTTCGCAAGCAGCGCAGATCCCAATAGTCTGTGACACGACCACCCCAAGTGATCTCGCCATTTATGTACAAAATGGCCTCCCAAGGTATTTCGTCCAGTACCTCGCGATCAATAAAGAAATCCAAGGTCTTGAGACCACATTCACGGTCGCTTTCGTTGAACTCGTACGTTATGTTCCAGCCAAGTGGTCCGAACTTACGACGCTCTAAGAGAACGGCATGAAACATGCACAAGCCAAAGACTATGGAACGCCATTTGCCGTTTTGTACGTGCTTCTCGAAGAAATCCTTCTTGAGATCGGCCAGTGCACCAATCACATTAGCCTTGATGCCTTTGGGTGGTTCGTTGGTGATTTTGACCGAATTCTGCAGCACACTTATGGGAAAATGTCTGATGGGCATTGAAGACAGAAACAGGCGAAAATCGGGGTGTGCCTTTGTTATGCCTAGTGTTAGATTTCGCACAATTGTCTCCAGCGTCCGCATCCACGAGGTGGCTAAGTGGCAATTTTGCAGAAAGACCCAGTGACCCAGACGTAAGCTTTTGTCAATTAGACTCTCAGCCACGGGCCCCTGACCCTGTCCCAACGAAATCGAATAATACTTGTCCGAGTATTTCAATTCTTTGGCAAACTTCTGGAAGCTCGACATAGGATCTGAGCCGGTGGAGAGTACAAAGACCAACGGTGTCACGGCTGAGGTGTCCGGAAAGCTGTAGATGGAAGAAGTTGATGTGATTGGTAGACATAGTTGTGATCCTTCGTAGATATGTAGTTACAATGATGGAATAATGCAACTTACACTGTTGTCAATTGAGCCCCCGACGAGGCTTCCGTGAAGTACTTGCCAACAGTCTCACGCAGATACACGACAACGTTGAGCAGGAAGCGCGGTTTGCGGAACGTGGAAATGAACATGAGTTTTTGGAAGGACTTGAGCCGCTTATCCCACTTGTCTGTTGGCTCTTGCTTTGTGCGAGCGAAATCGAACACTTCCTTATTGGACTCGATTTGCAAGAAAAACGGCTGAGTAACAGCATCACTAAAGCCGGCGAAGCTTGCGCTGAAATTCTCATCCAGAAATAGGCAGGCATCCCATTCCATTTGGCTTAATTTTGTGCTCGCCGGTTGGGTCTTCGGTCGCACCGATCCGACAGCACCGCGTGTAAGAAAATTGAATTCATCGTCAGTGACACGACCCTCTTGACGTTCCACCGCGAGGGCCAGTAGGAAGCTGAAGATAATTTTGTGATTCTCGAACAGACCACGCGAAATGTTGTCATAAATGGCTTTCAGTTCCTCTGTCATCAGGGAAGCGATACGCGCTTCAATAGCCAAGGGTGGATGGTCGACGCGTATGACGTTGCAGAAGACTTGCGAAAAGTACTTAAGACTGTACTGATACATGGGATCTACTTCGGCCAAGCCAGCGACCACGAAATAGAGTATTGCACCGCGCGAGGCCAATATGCGGTAGCGTTCCCGCGAGGCGGTTATTATTTTCTCCGTCTCTTCCGTGTCAATAAGTCGAGCGGCGATAATTAGTGATGTTTCCTGTGTGTAGGGTTAGTGGGAAGTGTTAGGTTCGTTAGTAAATAAAGTCTCCATCCTACCTTGGCATCATTCAGTGTCTCTACAAGTTCCTCGTCATCCAATATATTGCCCTGAGAGTTGAAGAGTAGTCTGAGCACTTTGTCTTCCAGCTGCATCAGTTGCTGTTTATCCGAGTTAATTTTAACTACAAGATCATTTCGTTGAATTTCCATGGCGGGTAGCTCAATGGCCACAATATCGCTGTAAATTATGGCATGAGTGGCTTCTATGGTTGTCAATAGTTGTGGGACTTACGCCAGCAGTTGATCCTCGAGTCCGGTTACTGTCACCAAAAAGTTCACTAATGTCACATTGATGCAAACCTCTGGTAGATAGTGGGGGTTCGCCAATTTGGTGGTCATATACAGTTTGAAATTGTTGTCGTAGTCGATAACCTGATCGCCCAATTTTAGATATACACGTCCCTCAAACTTGTACGTTTCGCGCTGTAGAATGGGCCGTAGGGCTGGATCAATTGTCTCGTCTATTTCCTCGAGTAGCACGGGATAGCCCTGACGCACGCTGTTCTCCAGTACCCGCATCATGTGGCCATCAGTCATCTTGACGACTTGCAAGTTGTTGTTCTTCTCCATGTTGCGTATCCAGCGGTTTGCCTGCTCCTGTGGATCAATCATGAGCGCCCAGCGGAGCGCGCGTGTCGCATAAATGCCATTCTCGATGGATATGTTATCCTTGGGCAAGCCATCTACGTTCCACTGGCGCATTTCATACGGATCGCCGAGAATCTTGAGAAGATTGAACTCCTTGCTTGAGGGTATTTTAAACTCTTGACACTTGGACACCCACAGGGTGCCTAGTTCGCGACGATATTCGTGGGAAAAGGCGCCGAGGTAGGCAACACAGGCCGCCGACACAAGCACATCGCCTGGAACACATGCCAGGTCGGCGGTCAGCGTCTTGACAGTCTCACGCCAACGCACCTGTTCATCGGCTAGGGCGGAGGTGAGGCGACCTGCTCGATTGATGCGTCCATAGGTCAAGTCGACATTATCCTGTATGACCTGGAATTCGCGTTGCTTTTCATCGAGACTGTCCTTCAACAATTGAATTTTGGCCTCAACGGCCGCAAGTTCCTTTTGCTTTTGGCGCAGGACTACCATCACTTCTTTAAGCTCTGCCTCGGCCGCTTCCTTGCGCTTGATTTTCGGCTCCACCACCTTATATACCTTGGAGAATTTGTCCATAGCGATAACCCACATGCTCACTGATTTGGCCACTTTGGAAACTTTCTCAAATTTCTGCAATTAAAAGGATAAGGACAAGGAACCTGTATAGCAATCTGTACTATTCACTTACCGCTGGGACAAAATCCTTATGGTCAATATATTTTTTGACTTTCTTGAGCACATCATCTTTCATGTGCTCCTTATCGTATTCGAACAGGCGTTTGATGAAGTTCACATCAGCCATAACTGCCTTGGCCGATGCCCAAGTTGGTCTATGGTTGGAAACACATTAGATGGAACCATCAATATCTGAAGTATACTCACTTAGCACCCAGTAGAATGCACACGGCCTCCATACAGAACTGTACAAGCGCTGGTGGTGTTGTAAACGACTTGAGTTCATTGATGTCTGCCTTTGTTAGGCCCTTGAGGGCATCTTCGGCTTCCCGTAGAGCTGGCATTGCGATCTCCAAGTCCTTACCGGCATCTTCGGATATGGCCTGTGCCACGGCTGCTTTCTCTTTGGCATTTGCCTCATCCATTATTACGCCCTGCTTGACTACATCGGCCGCTTTAGACTCCTTGTTCAGATTTTCCAGCAGACTTTTCATTAGCGCCGATTTCTCATCCAGCTGGGGCACCATTACTTCGAGTTCTTTTTGCATGACTGCAATCTATGAGGTTCGCAAGTTTTAAATGTGCAGAATGTTTGGGTAGCATGGATGAACTCTTTCAACTTACCACTTCGTTGGTTTCCAGCAACTTATTTAAGCCATTAGCAATGCGCTTGCGCTTTGCCACAATCTCTTGCGTTTTGGACTTAAGTAGATTTTGATAGAGCTTCAGCAGCTCAAGGTAACTGCTGGGCGTGGTGTAGTAGTAGCGTTTCATCTCCTTGTAGAAGCGTACCGATGTATCCTCGACAGTCTGCCCAATATTCGATTAGGAGCGGCACTTGTGCTGGGATAAGATTGCTTTCGTTTACTCACCTTATGCATAAACACCGTGGTGCTGGCCAGTGCTATGCGATCTTCCATTTTTGCGGCAATTTTCGTAAGCAGACCCAGAGCCACAGAATACAGGGCCTCTGTGGGCCAACTGGTGAACCAGTCGATGGTTGTGCAATTGACCAGCGATGGGAACATGCGACATCGCCGTCGGAACGCATCACCCACCGGGCTCATGGATATGACGACATGCAGATTGTTGCGCACACGGTTTATGAAGAATTTGTAGATGGCATCCCGATTGCAACTCTGTGACAGAAAAGTATTAATGGAGTCCAAGAAAATTGTATGCATAACGCACCTCATCCTTGTTAGCTTCGTTACAAGGATCACGTGCATCCAAAATAATCTTTTCATACTCATCGCCCTCAAAGAGATTTGGCACTTCGCCCGAGTTTAGAATATTGTTGATGTCCTCAAGGAATTCCTCTTCAACTATTTGACTGTCAATTAGTAGAAACACAACAGGACGATTTTCGATCTGCAAAAATATCGGATATGATATATGATATATTAGTAGGTTTGTAGATCAGGGCTCCCCCTCCGCTCTACTTACGCCTGCAATGCGATAAAGCACACGCAAGTCCTCGTGGAAAGCGTTCATATCATAATTGCGACGCATCTCAATCTGCCAACAGTTGTATTCGTTGACATGGGCAGCCAGTTTTGTGAGAGATTGCTTTCCCATACCGGCCACGCCCACCAACAGCCCATTGCCACGGTCGCTGCGCAGTAAGCGCGCCAAACGTACTGTGTGCTCCATGGCATCCTGGAAGAGTATTAGCTTCATATGCTTGCCCACTGCCACAGAATTGTAGTCCACTATATAATCATTTAGCACACTCTCCAGTTTTCCATGATCTTTAATTTCCTCATAGATGCGTTCAGCCTTGGGCTTGCCAAAGATCATGAAATCACCAAAGAGCAACGCAGGCTCCTCGTTCTTCACCACCTCGCGGTGAAAGTGCAGCAAACATACGTCGGCCATAAGGTTCTTGAACAGCGACTTATCGTCGTTGTTAATCAGACGATCGTGAAAAACACGCGTTGTTTCGTGGTAGAAGAGTCGCAATACTTGACTCTCCATGTTATAGTACAAATTGCTGGCCTGCAGTATTCCCTGTATACATTTCGACAGATCGCGCAAGTTGAATATATAGTGCGATTTATCTGGTGTGGGCAGCATAACATTGGCCACCCGCATATAAACGTCCACACAGGCATTCACAATCGGCTCAGAAAGAGCGCGTATAGCCGCTGAAAAGCTGTCGAGGAAACCCAATAAGATGCCCTTAAAGATTTGGGTTAGGGTCTCATCGTTCGGCTTGGGTAGAGAGAAGAGGGCGAAATGGCGTACAAAGCGTGGTGTGAGTGGATTGCGTCCACCGCCAGGGGGCGCACATGCGCAACCCAAAACCACATCCAATACTTCCTTCCAGAACATCTTCTCCCGATCGTAGAAGCCTTTAAAGTCAAGGAATTGTCTGTAAAGCGATGGTTAGTGGTCAAGTCTTTCGAGTAATTGGCACGTTTTAGACAAACCGCAATAGCTCTATAGCCGGTTGGCTGCCATAGGTGTCCAATTTAGGCATGTTGACATCGTCAATAAACATAATGACCGTCTTGCCTAGAGGTGCACCCAATTGGTTACGTTTTCGCTTATCCAATGGCCCTTCGATCATCTCCTGTGTTCGCACGCTGCTGGTCTGTGCCGAGAAATTCAGGAAAATTGGTATTACTTTGCCTTCGGACAGACGCTTCAAGCAACTAATTGCTAGCACAGTTTTCCCCACACCCGTTTCTCCAGTGAACATAACGGGAAAGTCGCGTTTAAACAGCAAGTCCGTTACATAGCTGATGGGAAGGCCATCGTTTACATAAGACAAATTAATAGTGGCAGATCGAGGATATAGTGGAGAAGGGGATATAGCTCACCCATATTTTGTGGTATCCACTGTTGGCACTTGCATGTCGTAGTAGGAAATCTCCGAACTAAAGATAAACCGGGGCATGATTTCAATCCACTTGCCCCAGTCCTTGGTCTCCAGATTGACGCGATAGTTCCACATCGTGTGCTTTGGAGGGCTTTTAAGAGGCACGAATGAGAACTTACTACCTTTCTAATACTATTCATAGAAACACTTACAACATGTTTGGGTGTGTACTTATTGCTTTGGTCCACTGTTCCTCAAAGGAGATCTTTTCAGCATCCTTTAAATTTGAGGCAATCGCCCAGAGCACACACCAAGAAAATATCTTAGTTAATAGATTCTTGGCATCCTCCTGTTCCAATGAACTCCACTTGACCTCCTCTAGCTGTGACGAGGTGAGGGCGCACAGCAGACGCACCTTGGCGCTGAGCACCTGGCTTATAGTGTATGCGGCACGCTTGCGTTCGATCTTTAGGGCTCTGTCAAAGTGGCCGATAAAGAGTTGATACAGAAATTCGGCCAGTGGCTCTGGCAGTTTCCTGCCCATGTCTATTTCTCGCCAGGTGTCTACTAACGGTACCCAACCAAGATCGCCTGGATCTACGTAGACCATTCCGCAGCGCGATACAGTGGCGGGAGAGGCCTGCAGCAGATCCTGTACCTCGAATAGCATGTGAATCCATGCCGTCAGCTTAATGCGCTCCGAGTTGGCCAGACACAGCATTTTATTGTCATCTAGGACAGTGTTTAAGTTCTCGATCCAAACAGCGTCCACGGGTCCATCGCACATAATCCATTGATGTATCTCCTCTATAACAAATATATCAAGATTATATATACACTTGGTCGCATTGCCTCTCAGCTCACTTACCCTCTACGTTGACTGCAGAACGAACAGCAATGCCGAGTAAGCCATCTTGCCACTCTAGAGTCTTGGGATCCACATATCCGTAGAGCTCGTTCATGGTGACTGCCTTAGGATTCATCGTTTGAATGTTGACGGGTCGAAAATTGGGATCTTTAACATTGTTTTCGAAGAGGTGTGCCAAAGCAAATTCGAGTGCATGAAGGACCACGGACTTGCCACCTCCGGTGGGCCCTACCAGCATAACGCCCCAGCGCACACACATCGTCTCATAGAGTTGCAGACACTTACGAATAGTTGTGGGAACGGGCTGTAGATGCTTGAGCCGCAGTCCGATGCGCAGTGCCTCCTCCAAATCGGGATGCTGTGAGTCCGGCAGCTCAACGCCCGGAAACAGATCGCTAAGAATGCCACGAAAGAGTACAGCATCGTCTGCCAAGAATTTCGGAATGTTAGAATCGCGCAACGCCGCAATGAGCGTGATGTCTTCGCGCTGATCTGGCGAGGCGCGTTTTAAGGCGCCGGCCATAACCAACACTGACTTTACGGCACGCATTCCAAAATCGTAGTGATTTTGTTGGCTAAGCTGCTGGCTGCAAAGTTGGTACATTTGCACCATCTTGCGGGCCAATATTTTGGGATCCTCGAAGCCCTCGGAGTACAATATCACTTCAGAGATGAGCGCATAGTCAGGCACCATCATGGATATTGGACGGAAAAGTGCCTTAAGATTGTCGGGCAGCTCCGTGCGACCAGCATAGCCGGGATTCATTGTGATGAAGACACAGCATGAACGGTTTATTTTAATTTCACGCCCCTCAAAAATGAAGCTGTAAAGACACTATGTTAGACTGGGGTTACTCTCTTTATATTCCTACATACCGTTTCACCTTCATTGCCTTGGCCGTACGTATTGTAATCAACTGCTGCGCAATGACGGAGAGCACCTCGATGTCTATGCGGTTGAACTCATCGAAGCAACACCATGCACCGCATTGTGCCAGCCCAGAGAAGAAACGGCCCATCATCTTGTAGTCCAGCCCATCGGAACAGTTAAAGACAACGCATTGCTTGGCCAGCGCTTTGGCCAAATCCTTGGTTGTCTCCGTTTTGCCGGTACCCGCCGGACCTGCCGGAGCACCGCCAAGGTCCATCTGGAAAGCTCCCATCAAACAGAGGTAGCAACGATCTGTTAGTGGAGTTAAGACCAAAACACCGCCCGCTCCCAAGTATTCATAGTAGTATGGTATGTCGGCAGCTGCCATGCGAGAAGAGACCGTCTCAGTGTCGTCGAGCCAATAGAAACGCAGCATTTTAAGCCAATTAAAGTCGTTGCTGAAAATTGAAAGGAACTCAATCAATAATTAGGTTATTTTTCAGGATTGTAAGTACAGAATTAAGGTAACCAATGAAGCTTTAAATTTGTTCTCCCCAAATGGGATTGATCGATAGAAAGCGAGCTTATAACAGAATCTTCAGGGGCTGGGACAGTTAAGCTGTCAAGCTAAATTATGTTCTGATTAATGAGTTCCCGAAAACTAATTCATGTTTATTAATGAGGTTGATACTTACGATTTGGTGACTCTTTTTTCGACCAGCATGTGCACCGAATCCTTAGCATGCACATCTATGGTTATCAGAGCGCATAGAACTTTACGCAGCAATGAGGTAATACTTTTGCGAGTGAGCGCTGCGAGATTACCCAAGTCCTTAAGACATTTTGCCTCGAACCTAGCCATCTTTTCGACGACAATATCCGTTGATTTCTCTTTTGTGTCAACTATGCGATGTATATCTGCGGCCCAAAGCACCTGCGATATAGTAATGACGACTTGATTGGGATGATCCTGAAACCACTCATGTCGCTCTTTGGCTGGATAGCATTGATAGCCAAAGCGCATGTAACGTTTGACGGATAGGAACATAGCCTCCTCCACTTTGCTGAGCCACTCCTCGACAGCGCCACGTGCCTTCAAACCTTTGCCGAATTGCAGTTTTTCACCCTCGGGTGATAGAAAGGCAACTATGTCGTTGGTGAAAACCATTTTTCCATCGCCACCTTCTTTCATGCCAAACTCGAGGCGATAGATGGCATCGAAGCATTTGCGCAAATGGGGCTGTACAGCCTGGGGAATGCGCGTCTGAGCCAGTATCTCGAGCAGCTCGTCATTGGATAGAAAATAGAACCTATTGGTGATGGTAGGCGCATGAAGATTAAGTTCCAGCCTATGAAATAATATTCAAATATAACATACCTAGGGAATACAACACGCTTCACTTCCAGATAGGCCTCCAGACCACGGGTTATCAAGTCCAACAGTCGATTGTTTTCCACCAGTGTATCGTACACATCCTTGCTGGACATGGTGGGCAAGGCCAGAGAGACTTTCTTCGCCTGACGCACAATTTCCTTAAAGCTCTTGTCAACGGTGAAGAACATTTTAGCCTCATTGGGCAGCTGTCGTTGTATGTCTGCCGATGCGAAAATGGCTTCCAGATATATCCATTGGCCCTGACAATCCATCCATGCCTCTGTAAACAGCAGCAAAATATAATGAGAGTTGTTTGAGAATTTATCGACTTCAATGGGCAATACCAAAGGTCTTTCCAAACTGATCCATAGCCTCGATCCATTCATCGACACGCGACTTTATGGGCCCCACAAACTTGGAGGCAGCAATGGTATTAATATTCACATTTGAGTCATCCAGCACAGCTTGCAGTTCTTCTGTGCCAGCGAGAATAAACACATCTTTCTGATCATGGTGCATGACGCAGGATAAGTCGGTTTCCTTCCAAATCTGCTCGATATTCTTGAGCATATTCTCCAATTGTATTTCCCCTGTAGCTTGCGATGATATTTGCATGAGGGCCTCCGCAGTTTCTTCATTGGCAAAAGCATTTACATCCTCATATGTGGCGATTTTGATGTCTCTTTCTTGGAAGAATTTTCTACCGAGCAGCTCTTCGATATCGGTCCAGTGACGCTGTATTGCGTGTGGTGTTAGGGTTTCTTATTATAGGTTCAATAAAAAATACGTACCGCTCGCAAATTGGGGTTGCGCAGATAACCAATGACAGGCAATTTTTCTCTGAAATCTTCCGCAGACTTCTGAAGCAGCGGCACAATATTATTTTCAGGCAGGTATTTAAGGAATTGCAAACAGTTCTTGATGGTCTTGGCATTCAGATCAACCATCTCAGCAACAACAAGTGTGTTAAATTCCGCCAATTCCCATTCTTCTAGAGCTGTCTCCCAGTCTTCCAATGTTTTGAATAGGTTCTGGCGCATGCGTATATCATAAAAGGCTTGGTCCATTTCTTCGTACATGGTAAGATCGAGCTTGAATTCTTTCTGGTAGCTAATAAGCTCATCAGCGCGGGCTCGAAAGATATTCAACTGATCCAGCAGTGCAGCCAGCTTCGCGTTAATAGCTGCGCGGTCCGATTTCATCTGGAACAAGGTAGTTTAGAGATTATTTCCATACTTGTAGTTCAAATTAAAGTTGCATTGCTTACGTTTAACAGCCAAGGTTGAACCGCCTCGATAGCCACCTCATGTATTTCCTTCTTCAGTGAGATTATATCTTCCTGAATGATCTCATTCAGTTGTAGGACAAAGTCTTCTCGCCTTTCTTGAGTATCCTGCAACGTCTCTTTGGTGCGATTCAAGAAGTCCTCCGTGTCCATATAATCCTCCTTCCGATCATCATCGATTGGAATCGAAAAGTCCTTGATGATCAGCAGCAGATCATGCACATAGTCGATACCAACGAATAGGGCGTCCAGCTCGCCAGCGCAAGTATCAAGATAACGAATATGTGATACGAGATCAACCGTTGTGAGCGGATCGTAAGAGATGCGACCGTAGAATTCTTGAGCCCCTTGATATATGCGGGTAGTCTCCTCCTCAGCCAGCTTTGGCAGATAGACGGCGAGCGTGTTTTGCAATTTTTGGCAAACGGGAGTGACCGTGTCCTTCAAGTTGGACTGCGTGATCTTTAGCAGACCCAGATTCATGTTGTTCAATATTCCATCTAGGGCTCGCACATTGTTACAGTATCGATCGCAGTACTCGCGCAGCTTAATCAAATCTATCCATAAGCGATAAAGAAGTGGAATATTTTAAAAATACAAATCAGACATTGTGAAGGTATATTACCGCGCTCCCGGTTCAGAGTGGAGGGATCTGTGCGAGTATCCACCTCATAGTTCTCTCGAATACTGTGGAAGCGGGTGGCGTACAGACGTGCTCGCTCGTACGACGCATGAATGATAAGAAAAATGTTCTTGCTGCGATCGAAACAATGGATATTATGAACATATGCGACATATAATTTATAAAGACTTACCGGTTGAGTTGAAATGATTGATCGGCACGTAAGAGAAAGTGCAGATCAGGTGCCCCATCGTACAATATCTCCTCCTGACGCCCCATAATCGAGGGCCTATGCGGGTTATCGAATTATATTGCACAATATAATCAATCCTTAAGCTATTAAAGGGATTAACTTACATAGTATATTGCAGGTACATGGGATCTGTCGTGAATGTGCGTATTTCGAGAACGGTCTCCAATATTAGGCCAACAATGCGTTGAAATACAACCTTCAAGATCTCCTCCTGTGGCTCCAAGTCGATTCGATCTGGCTGCAGACGCAGATTAATTAGAAAGAAGGGACTTTGCGGCTTTTTCGGTGGTCGGGTGCGCTCGATGCGCTTATCCAAGCGCTGGTGCCTCTTAATCTCGGCTTCCGATGGCCCCAGCCTATCATGTAAGTCAAAGGCGCCGGCCAGATCCGCAAAACTCTTGATTGTCACACGGTACAGCATCTGATAGACCATCATGTCACAGAAGGTGAGAAAGCTGTCGACATTAAATACTGAGAGTTTAGCCAAGTATGGAAGTGTTCGCACACTTACTTGGTTAATGTCTTGCAGAAACTCCGTTTGCGAGCACGATCCATAAAGCTATGAGCCTCACGCATCTTCTTAATCGACGGATAGTAGTTGATCTCATCGTCCGGGTAGTAACCACGTGCTGTTATGGCATCCGTGCAGGCGCGAACTGCGTGCGAGTCACAAGATGAGAAAGTTCTAAACACTCTGGGCATATGTTACTCACATATTGCCTTTCCAGTTATATCGCGAAAGTCATTGAAGACCCGAAACAGATTCTCGTAGATGCGCATGTGCATTTCCAGAAAGTAGAACGGATGCCAGTTCTCAATGTTGGTAACGTTGACAAAGTTCAGACGCTCCAGTTGTACAATTTCGGATCGAATTTTCAATGTGGCCTTGGCCAGATGTGGTATGGCAATGAAGAGATTATTCTCCAAAAAGTCGCGTGCTGTAAAGATTTTCTTCCACTTTACCGCCTTCTCCCAAACCTTGAAGCCCTTCCAAACGCGAAAAATTGAGAAAGATCGAATTTGAATAATGCTCAGGAACTGCTCGAACTCCTGTTGCCATTGAAGGAGTGGTGTGAAGAAGTTCTCGCCACAGTGCCAGTACGTAACGCCATGTCTAGTAATCGTGTAGTATGGTTCAAAGATATCCAACTCTGCATATGTGAGTTCTCGCAGACTATAGGGTGTGAAGAACTCGCTGTCTGTTGGAAGCATGTAGTCCATGTAGACGAAACTGTCGTCCTTTTTAGCGCGCATGCGATTGATGATGACGTTGAGATCGGGTATAAGTGAGGCGCCTGTGGTTATTTTCGTTTTACTGGGTATCACCGATAATTTGCTCAATAGGTACGATCTCGATGGCATTACAAAATCGGCGTGACGCGTTTTTTTCGAGCCCCTATCCTTATTATTAACCACAAGACTGGCGCTCGTGTTTGCACTAATGGGACGACTGGTCCCGCTCTTTTTCGAATCAACCCTCGACGATTGCTTTGTAGCACGCTTGGGAGGATCCGGTACGGTATCGCTGTACGTTGATGGTGTTCCACTGCGAGACGATGAATCGCTGTGTATCATGGCTTCGCTGTGCGATGAACCGCTTTCCCCATTGATGACTTTCATTTCATTGGATTGAGAAAATTCACCAGATTTGATAGCCGGTATGTCTGCAGATTTGGATTTGTGCACCTTGCCCGATTTGGATTTGTGCACGTCTTCGGATTTGGATTTGTGACCCTTCTCAGATTTGGATTTATCCCCCTCCCCCGATTTAGAACTGCGCATCTCCCCAGTTTTGGTAACGTCCTCAGATTTGGAAGACTGAAAGTCTCCGGTTTTGGATTTACGCACCTCTGCATCTTTGGAGCGCGCACTCGATTTCGTTTGGAGCAGCTTCGAGAAATTATATTTATTGGACATATTGAGGCTGGCCGTTAATTACCAATATTCAATTTAAATTAGAAAACAATGTGGCTAAAATTATTATAAATATTTTTGATTGACTATGCTTGGTAACTATTGTTGTGAAGTGGTTGCTTCAACTGTTTGCCGATTGTTTTATTTCACCTTGGCAACATGGTGTGCTGGCGTCATGGAAGTTGTTTGCCAAACATGGCTAAAAAGTACGCTTAAGTACCATCTGCTTTGAGCACTTCCTCGAAATTTGACTCGATCAGTGCAAACTGTTGCGATCCTGCTCAATTTTTCTTGCTCATATCAATATGCACGTTCATTTGTTTATCGTATTCACAAGACAATAAAATTACATAATTTTCTTCATGGATTCCATATATTTTTAAAGTCCTTACAAAATATGTTCTTGAAATACTCTTAAAATACTAAACAAATTTCACATTTGTGCTGCCCTACATGGTCTTGTTGGATGCGCAGTTCCTTCTCTGCCGCTCTCTTGCCCTTGTTGTCCACTTTCCATATTTTCTTTACATTTATAAGTACAGTGAAAACTCCCTTAATGGACACCTCTTTTACCCGGACACTCTCTTCGGCGGACACTTTTTCTAAAAACATTCGATCGGTGTATAAAGTAATTAAGTATCCCCTTAAGCGAACACTCCCCTTGGGCGGACAAAAATTGGCCGACCGTGAGTGTCCTGTCGAGAGTTTTCACTGTAGCTTTTTCATTTTGCAAGTAACAAAAAGATAAAATTGATTTCAGGTTCACAAAAAAAAAAAAAAAAAAAAATTAAAAAGAAATAAAACTGAAACTGGGGCTGAAGGCTTACTTACTAGAAATCCCATAATCTTTGGATCCATGCTTTATCAACTTGCTTATGATTTATTTCGGTGTTTTAACTTTAAAATAAGGTTATTTTATCCCTGCGCGAATAACAAGTCGGCAGTAAGAAACATTTTTTGAATATATTAAAATCAGATGAATTTTTGTATTGACGGGTGATTAAAATTATACTTTAAGTGAAAAATAATTGTAAATTAACATTTTTGCGAATACAATCCATTCACGTTTTCGAGCGGCTTTATGATATTTTTATAAGATTTCTCTCTGTTCTTTGATGATTGCCCGCACAATTTGGATGGAGTTGATATGATGAAGAATTTTGGTTGACCAACAGGTGTCTCAACACTTATCCCTTTTTAAAATCTTTTGTGCGGGAAAACCCCCTCCTGCAGTTTGTGGGCGCAATATTTGTGCAAAATTGTTTCGCTAATAATTTTTTTTAGAACTGACAGATTTGGAAGAAACTAAAAAAAAACAGTCGATATTAAATATTTTTAAATGGTTTATATAGCAAAAAAATAAAATACAAAGAATCTATATACTAAGTTTGGTCGATGTGGGAACATCATTTGCATCGAATTCTCTTATCATGCTGATTAAGAATAGTTTATGCGGGTCGGAGATGCTTAATTCTGCCGGTTACATACTTGGCAGAAACCCAATATATCTTTTTACCCCTTCGGGTATACAAATTAAAATGAAATGGTCGGCCTCATCTAATTTCCACTACGGGGGCGAATTCGGTTGCAATGAAGCTAACTGGGCCGTGCTAGGAGGCATCTCTAAAAACTTAGGTTCTACTGATTAAGCAACTATTTGCCGGAGTAGAGCTCACTAGAGTTTCTTAATTATCTGATGCATTTTAATAAATTTAATCTTCATATACAATACAATATTTCTATGCAGGAGGCATCTCTAAAAACGTAGGTGGTTAAGCAACTATTTGCCGGAGTAGAGCTCCCTAGAGTTTCTTAACTATCTGATGTATTTTAATAAATTTAATCTTCGTATTGTCATCAATTTCTGGGGAATTAAACAATATTTCTATGCACACATACAAATTCGCGCACAACCAACAAATAACAAGCTGTAGTTGTTTGGAATCATTTGCTATATACGTATGTATGTATGTGAAAGACTTATTGCCGCACGATATTATGGATGAGTGGAGACAAGGGTTAATTGATGAATTGAAGTGCGCGAGCGCAAAGTACAGACAAACGGTTAATTAATCAAAAACTCACTGAGCGGAGTTGGAAACAATCTCTTAGCGCTTACAAGCACAGCTGAAGGCAATAACAAAATCAGAGGCAGCGTTGTACACAGAGAGAAGGCAAAAGCGAAAAAACACACACACACACCCATACATACCTGTGTTCGAAGATGAATCCGCTTAAAAGCAAGAGGCAACAAAAAGGAAAAACAAAATGCACACAGCACTGAAGCCGGGACAATGCAATTACGAGTAGAAATTTGAGTATACTTTTGAGGAAAGAACAATACGGTAAAATGTATAAAAATGGTTTAAAATGTAACTAAAGAAAAAACACGTCATTTACAGACTCTCTTAAATAAACAATGAACAAATTACAAATATCCGTGGGTTTTTCGAAAACCTTCCCAAATGAACAGTCATACTTATGTCTTTTAATGCCTTAGACTCTAAGGCTAGAGCTTCCACCCAATAGATGCCCTTGTAACACTGGTACTTATACTTATAAGTAACACTACATCTTCTAGGAATGGAGAATATTTGACGTCTACCTGTTGTAAAGAAAAGCCTCATCAATTTTAGCAGATGAGATTGGTTTGTAAGACCCGGTGAAATAAATTAGTATTGCAGTATCTTCGTTCCACATTATTATAAGTATGTATTGAACAATACATCATTTCTTTTAATGTTTATTTAATTTCTGTAATCCGTCTGTCTGTATGATCGCCCGCATTTCGATAACGGCTGAGTCCACATTCACCAAATTTGGTATGTAGACTATTTTAGTTGCTAGACAATGCGAATTTATTTTATTTTTTTCCTTTATCCCTTCTACAGAATTTCGTCCATTCTGTCCCTAATTTCGAAGCTACATAAATTAAATTTGGCATAGTATCTATCTCCATTTTCATTTCATCCGTAACAACAAGTCCGAAGAAAAGTTTTTAATAGCTTTCTTCTACCTCTTCTTTATACAGAGCCGCTAGATGAGATACCCGAAGTGCCAATCACTATCATTTTATTGTTTTGTGGCGTAGAAAGTTGTGAATCCCTGTTCATTCATAATTTGCCATACATTTTGTTATTGTTAAACGCCTTGTTTTAAATACAATTTGATACTAACTCTTGGATTAAACTTAGAACTCTAGTGTTCATTATAACATCAAGAAGAACGAACAATTTAGTATGCACGACATAGAAATTAGTAAGCTCGGAAAAGCATTTATTTATTTCCGCTCTTCATCTGTGGAATGAGCCAGCGCATTACCCAAAAATAGTCAGTAGCGAAACGCACTTTGGAGTTAAAATTCAAGCACACTTACAAAATGTTTATTAAATGAACGTTACCTTAAATTAAACTATTAATTCTACACTTATTTTAGTATGCAATATACGTTCAAAAAAAGTAAAACTGATAAATCTTCAAAAAATAAAAATAATGAAAAATAATTAAAAATGTTTAATGCCGAAAAAAAAAATCATATGAAAATAACCTAAGTTCGATCTATAAAAATGTATAATGCCTAGCGTAATAATTTAAGAGTACCCTGATACTTGTAATGCTAGGATAAGGATCATAAATAAATAAATTAATTCTCGTATGTTGTACTTTTTCAATGTTTTTCCGCCGATTAAAATTAATATTTCTGAATAAAGTTAGAGTTCTGGGGCTGAGAAGAATCGCCTAAAAATGGCAAAATATTAAATAAAACTTCTGACGGGTTTTGCAAATAACTGGGGGCCGGGCTCAAAGGGGAGGGGCAGATGTTGGCATCCTCGAGTTCCATTTGGCGGACGTCCTTGAACATATGTATGTACATACATATGTATATGTACAAGTATATGTGTAATACGAAATATTGGCGCACTCTTTGTTTTTTGTTTGATTCTATCTGAATGGTAATTTAATTCGCGCTTTCCTTATTTCGGGCCGCATTTTCTATCTGGTTTGTTGTTACTGTTGTTGTTATGAATGCTTTAGAGGAAGCTTACGTTGGAAACTTTCGACTGGAATATCGAAAATACGCTGCAGCTGTTGCTGCTTTTTATCCCTATGTGTTGGTATGTTGGCCCATTTTACTTCCCATTCCTTATAGCATTCCTTTTATCCATTCCTGTGTGCGGAGATGGTCGCTTCCAAGCGCGCGCAAAGCTTTTTTCGAGTTAAAAGCTTAAATAGCACCCGGCATTTTGGTATTTTCCCATTTGAGTGTTCAAAGCAACGCAGATTGTTGCTTCGGCTTGGAGTTTTCGAACATTCTGGCTAGCTGCTGCTGCTGTTGCTGTTGGCGCTGCTGACCTTGAATTTTGAAGTTCTTGCTGGGGGTGCAGCGCGTGAAGCTTTCAGGGCTATTTTCGACTTCGACATTTGATTGAAATTAAATTTTGTGCGCTGATAAAAATCGAATTAGCCAAAAAGCGCACAACGACAAAAGCAAGAAACAAGAAAAAAAAGCTTAAGGTAAAAGCATCTTTTCCTGATGGCTGCTGCTGCTGCTGCGGCCGTACGACTGCGGCAATTGCGGCGACTGCATTCGACAAATGTTGCTCTCTGCTTTCGCTGCTCTGCATGCCAGCCTGCCTGCTGCCTAGCTGTGGGTGTGTGTGTGTGTGTGTGTGTATGCTCGTATGTATGTGTTCGTATTTGCGCTCGTGCGTGTTTTCGTCGGGCCTGACCCGAACGTGCAGCCGTGGCGGTTGACTGTTGTTGGCGATAGCATTGCGGGTCTCCAGAACTGGCGCTGCGTCAGTGGCCCATAGTCGTTGGGTATACGCCGCGATGTACAGAGCCGCGAACGCGAACGCAGCGCAACGCACGCAGCAGCAGCATTAGTTGCCGTTCCTTTAGTAGTTGTAGCACGCGTAGCCGCCGCCGCCGCTGCCGCCGCTGCCACCGCCGCAGTCGCAATCGCAGTCGCTCACAGACGTAGCGCAGTGGAAGACCCAAGA